ACTAAAAATTGTGGTGCTTATATATATATATATATATATTCTCATCTCACACGTCCAACCCCTACACCACCAGACTATTCCTTACGGGGAAGTGTTTATGCTTTTTATTTATATAACAATTGATTTAATGCAATGCTTCACTACTAAAACAATGTAGCCAAATTGATTATTAATTTATTTGTTTATTTACAGTATTTTTAAAGTTATATAATTGAAAAAAATTTCCCTTCTATATATAGAACTTATTGTTTAAAGGTAATTTAAATTACTTTAAAAATAATAAAATAATTAAAAATATTTGTGTTTAAGTATTTTCCTTTTTTAATAATATTTGCAAAAAACGGCATTTATTCAAAAAATTTTCAAGACATTCTTCTTATATAAATTAATACTCATATAAGTTTTTAAAAGTAATCAGTCATTCTGATTCATGGTCCATCGAATGATCCTCAAAGCTCTTGCGAATAACATCAAACAAGAACCGGACAATTCCGGAAAGGCTTATTAAGGGGAGAATATGCTAGAAAACTTACTTTAAAATGTTAAGAAAGAATGAGAGAAAAAAAAAAAGGGAAAGATTTTATGTGCTTAGATATAATATAAAATTGTCTTTTTATGGATACCTCCACCCTTTAGATCTTGATGACAGGGGACAAAATTCCCCGACCATTATTGTTGTAAGTTATAACATTTGTGATCAAATCTCATTTAATGTAAACAGTTTTTTAAATTCAAACAATATGCAATAATATCGGGTCGAGGTTTCTTGGCTATATCATAATATGCCATGCACATGCAAACACAAGCTTTCTTGTGGGCTTATTTTAGTTGGCTTTGATTTGTTTCGAGACAAAAAATAAAAATAAAAAAAAAATCCGATCTTAGAGCAAATATGAGTGCAAAAAAACTTCTAAATACGACGTGTCGATGCAATCAAATTTGACTCCAAGTCATTGAATAAAAATTACACAAAGTGGTCTTCAATAAAAGTATGTGTATCTCCGTCATCTTCTTCAATTTCACGCACACCCAGCCATCCTCATTGCCTTTCTCCCTCGTCTCTTATCTCTCTCACCTTGTTCCCTCTCTCCACCGTCCAACATACTCACCAGCGATTGATTTCACCCAACCTCGCCGTCGCCGCCAACTCCAACGAGTTCTACTCCAATGTCAGTGTCGCTCACCTCACCCAATTGACGGCGGATTCGCCCCAACTCAACCATTGCCTTGTCCGACGAGAACCTCGCCAGCGTCAATCCCTCAGTCATCGTATTCACTGCTGATCTTTGTCTTGTGATCTCTTCTTTAATTGAGAGGTAAACTTGTTCTTAATGCTTTTGATTTGAGATTAGTTCTAATTTTAAGGATGAAATCTAGTTTGTCTGCTGCTTTCGAAAATTTATATTAGATTTAGAATTGTTGATACATGTTTTGTGGATTTGCATTGATGTTGCGTCGGAATTGTATCCGACGGTCACCGTGAAAGAGAGAGAGAACAAGAGAAAGAATGAGAAACTGGGCTTAGACGGCGCGTTTACTGCACCAAACATTGTCCATGGAGCATTGATATTTTGGCCTCATAATTGATCTTATTGTGTGCAAATTTTTACGAGCCTAAACAAAAAAGCTTCGATTTTAGGTGAGAGGCCCCTGTATTACAGAGCCATGTCTTTCCTCTTATCAACCCACAACCTATGTCCATTTCTAGTTTGGACGGATATGGCTCGCGTATATGGCTTATAGGTTAACTCTCCGTATATATTGCTATGTTTTGTATTCATAGTTGTGGTTTAAAATTAATTTGAAATGAATACTGATTTAAATTTTTGTTTAAATAATATTTTGACGTGATATTTTATATTAAAAATGTATAAAATGAATAGTATTTATTTTGATTTAAAATGCTAAAAAGACAAACTCTATATATAAATACATGATCCATAAGGCATAGCTAATTTGTTCCAATCATACTTTTAATTACTAATCAATAAATTTCAAGAAATTTTAAATTTAATATGACTTTTATTAATTTTTAACTGTTTAACCAACAATATATTGATATGTGAGAAAATAATACTATGTAATATGAGAAAAATGTGAAATAAAATATTTTTGTATACGACCAAAATAAAAGAAAGTTAGACCATATTCGGGGTGTGTTCTATTCAACATATTGTTTTGTTTATTGTGTGGAGAAAAATAATAATCTCTTCATTGCGACACATTTTTTATTTTTGTTTAGCCTATAACAATTAAGACATTTTTATCGTGGGTAAAACCTATTAAATCAAAATATATCTAACAAATATAAATCAATTTAATAAATTACATAACATATAATATCATAAATCATGTAAGGCTCATTTAGAACTCCTTTATTTTATTTTATTTTTTCCTTAGGTGCCGAAATTTATATTTCTGGGCACTTGTGAATAACTAATTAATTGTATATAATCATATTAATTATTGTAATTAATGATATAAACTAAAAGTAATTAAAATATATGTATTCAACACAAGCTGAATAAAAATCTATCGCCGTATGATTAGTGTTGTATTTTTTATTGTGATAAAATTTACAATATTTAAATACATATTCTAAGTTTTTTTTTAATCATATATATTAAATTTATTTTAAAACTATTAATATTATTAATAAGTAAATAAATAATAAAATAATATCATAATTAACTATTACTTACTAATTAAATATTATTTCCTTAAATACTGTATCAAAAAGATTCAATTATGTTCTAATTGAGGGAGTATATTTTTATATCATAATGATTGCTTATTTAAAAAATTAAATTAAATTAAATTATTATTAAAAAATGTTATCCTACAAGAACCCTTAAACATTAGGGACCATTAATATATTCAAAATATAAATAAATAACAATAACTTATAATTAATGACAATAAAATAAAATTTGAAAGTTGAATTTCAAATAAACTATAACTCATTAAATGTGGGGTAGACCTGCAAAGGACGATCCCTTTACACCACATCAATTTCATCCCCCTTGGAAATAACCTTGTCCTAAGGCTGAAGTATGTGAAGTATCCCCGGAAGTCAGGGCGGGATATCCAAGTAGCCTTATCGAATGATTGTACATGTCACTTAACGAATAATTGCTCAACAGGAGCCTTGTCCTTTTGAACTACTTGCTGCACTAAAACCTCTGCAGGTTCAAATACGGGCTCTACAAACAGTTCCAAACTTGGTTGTAAATCTCCCTCCACAAAAGTCCGACACAACACTGGGTCCCCCTTAGCTCCACTCAATCGATAGTTTCCTTGAAGCTCATGGAAAATTCCACCCAATTATGAACAATTTCTCCAAGTGTGGCGAGCCATGCAATACCCAGATAACTTCCACATCCCCTAAGGGAAATACATAGCAATCTGCTACCGCTTCACACCCCGGTAGTCCAATGGCTAAATTCCGACACACCCCTTCCGATTTCTTCGGGCAACCATCTCCCATTTTGACTCCTAATTTTCCCGGTCGATTCTGGACGCAGAGCCAATCTGTCAACCAAAGAAAAGCATATAAAGTTGTGGTTCGCTCCACTGTCGATTAATATAGTTATCTCCGTGTCCTAAACTATGTCCTGTAATCGCATCGTGCGAGAACTGAACACCCCAATCATCGAATACATTGACAAGTCCCCCAACTCTCCCGCTTGTTCCTTCTCGCCTCCCTCTAGACCGGTCACCTCATAATATTCGTACTGATGGAGAGCTAACTCCTCGTCTTCCTCAACGATTAATACCCGTAGTTGCTTGAGGGAGCAATCATGCCCCGGCGAGAATGGCTTTTTGCAACGATAACACAATTCTTTCACGCGTAGTTCTTCCAATACCTTAGGTGGAAGTCGGGTGAATCTAGAATGTACCGTAACTATCCGGATGACATCGTACTCATACCAACAATGTGGCTTCCAACCCTTGGGCCATTACGACTCATATTGCTCATATTTCCAGAAATTAGACCACCGTCTAATGATCGGAAAAACCCCCACAAACGGTGTCTAAAGTTACTAACTGTCTAACTCCCTTGTTTGTCATTCTGCAAAGCCAGGTTATCTTCTATGTCCCTAGACAACTCCATCGCAATCTCCAAATTAGTGGGTCGTAGAAGACAAAGTAAGCCCCAAACTGAATCCTTTAGGCCACTCATAAAATACCCCAGGTAGTGCGCCTCCAACAATCCCAAAACCTGACTTGCCAATTGAACAAAGAGCAATATATACTCATCCATCGTTCTATGTTGCTTCACCTCTGACAGTCGCTCATAACAATTGTCCTTAAAACGTGTGTCAAACCACGCCACTAATGCATGGGTGAATTCCTCCCATGGCAGCCCTAGGCGATGTGCGCATAGCCATGTCACCCAATACAATGCCGGTCCTTCCATTGCGACCATCGTCGTTGCTACCTTCAGCTCTGGTGATGTGCCGTAAATCTCAAATTGTTGTTCAGCCCTCGCCACCTAGCCGATCGGGTCATCTCCCGCAAAGGATGTCACCTGCACTGTTGTCCCGCTGTGTGTCATGCACTCCTCTTCACCCCGTGCTCCCGTCACCCATGCGGTTGTCGCCACATTGCCACCCGGCTGCGGCATGCCCCCTTGCTGCCCACTCGCTGCGCTCATCTCACCTGCTGCCACCTCTGGCGCCTTCCCCCGCAGTGGTGTTCCATCCGCCAGCTGCACAACCAGCCGCAGAAGAGATAGTCCCGCCGTCAAGGCTGCCAGGGATGCCGCAATATCGGTGCATCCATCTTCAGTTCCTGCGCATGTAGCTTCGCATATTGCGTATCCATCTCTTCCTTGAGTTCATTATGATCAAATTCTAATCTGACGTCCCCATGCGACACAATCATCCCGACGGAAACGGAACCGACAGGTCGGACCAATTGTTAGGAACAGAAACAAGAACAACGATGGGTTCCTCAATGTCAATTTATACTCTTCTAAGCAATTCAAATTCAAAATAGAAATAAATGGCAATAACTTATAATTAATGACAATAATTTATAATTAAGGTGGGTTTATGCCCGTTTCCGTTGATGGTAAACCAACAAGGGCTGATCCCCTTACACCACATCATTATACCAACAAAAAACTTAGAAAAACTCAATCCCATCAAGTTCAGATTTATTGATTAAACAAATCTCTCCAAAAACACAAAATTTTCAATGGAGGTGGCATGCAAGCAAGAACACAAACGGAAAAACTGAATTCCTAGCGAGTCTTTGAAGAATTAAAGTAGGAAACCTGTTTTCCATGCTAAATGGACGGTCGAATGCCCGCCCTCATCGGTTATTTAAGGTAAGAAAACAGCTTAGTAGCAACCTGTGGTGGAGAAAATGTTTGAAAATGAATCAGCAATGTGTATGTTTTTGAGGGGATGGTTCCTACTGAGGGAAATGCAGCTTACACATTTGTCGACGCAGTGCCAGTAGTCAAAGTATTGCCCAGTACAGTGCTTGTGCCCGGAGTCGTCACCTTCAATTCTTTTAGTGCACGCCTATTGAAAACAGAAATAAAAAACGAATTAGATTTTGACATGGCACTCACTATTCTTCAGATTTGTTAGAGCAGTGGAGTGTTAAGTGTTAACACTTGCACATAGAACGTTTTTTATTTTTATTGTTTCACATTTTCAAGCATTGGCTCCGTTTATGATTAAATATTTAAATCACTACAACAACACCAACAAAAAATATCTTGTTAATATATATATAAATGTCGACATTCTTACATCAGGGCAATCCTGATCGCTGTCCTATAAAACTGTGGTTGTTAAGACAGATACAAGAGCATGGCTGGACACGCATAGTTATGAATCCTGAGACAACTAAACGATTTTCAATTCTTGACTTTTTGAACATTTCTTAAGTTAGTGAGTTCAGAATGATTCCTTAGCTTGTGACAGGAGATCAAGAGTAAGTATTATTTCACTTAATTTGATGGAAGCCTGAAAATGATGACTTGAAGGAACTTTTTGGCAAAGGCAAAGGCTAACCCTTGATTTCAAAGAGCTTTCAGTGGATTGCTCTAGTCATCACAATCGGATTAGTTCGTATCTCACTATTCTTAATTTAGTATAATAATGATTATAAATGCAAATTCAAATAATGATTGAGAACTAGAGTATATAATGAAAGAGGGCAATGGACCAGTTGTCTCTGGCTTAGCTAAGAATTACATTTTTAGTCACAATGGCTGTTCTTAGGTGATCCTGGCCAAGCAGTTAGTTTTAAAACACAAAGAACTAATGGTTTCATGCATGTATAAAATATATTATCGAATAATCATACAATATATACATATGCATACAATGATATAAACACATAGGATCTGTCTCAACATCATCTCCAACAACTATTTCACCCAAATCAAACAAAAACACAAACAACACAAATAAATAAACCCATAAAGATCCAAACGAAAATTTGCAAACCTCATTCAAATATCAAGCAAATACTCCACCTAGAGATAATGAAACAAGACAAACCCAAAAATAGTCTACTACACAAAAAAGGCTGCATGAAATGAACATCAGAAATTAATATTGAAAATACTAACAACACAAGCATGAGAAAAGAATATGCAAGAATAAAGTCAATACTGTAGTATTAAAATGCATTAACAACAGACTAGGCAAATAATGCATTCTGTTAAGCAGACAAATATAAAACGCCACAAAAAATCATACTGAAGCAGAAGCAATTGGCTCCAACGACAATCACCTGATAATCTTTAAGTGGCCGTGCACATGGTGCCTTACAGCGGTCTTCAAGCTCCCTCTTTGGATCTACAGGTTCATCATCAGCCCTGAAATATAATTTGGAATCAGATAAATGCAAAGACACTTTCATTGAGTACAGATGAAGAATATTAAGGAACAGTGTTATAGTTTCAACAATCATCCAATTAGTCTAAGTAGCTTTTCTCCATTACATGAGAAGCTTATAGTACAACACGATTTGCAAAAGGGGTCAAATGCGATTATAATACTGCAATACTGTTTAAAGTGATAAACTTATTCACCTGATGGTATTGGGTAGCTTGTAAAGTATCATGATTTATTTAAAAACTTTAATCACTCGTTATAAACATGTTATTAGCATGAATAAAATAATTTATCCACCCAATCCATCAGAGCAAAGGTGTCCATAATGTGCCAGAAAGAGAGAGAGAGAGAGAAGTGAAACCTCAGCTATGAAGATTCATTTCATGTTCTAGAAAGCAAATACAATTATTTCAGAAAAAATAAAAAATAAAAAAGAATAAGTGAGTAAACTCCAATACCTCCTTGTGGATTAGTAAAGAATCACTACTCTTCCATCAGGTAAAAAAATATGCGAGGCCTATTTCCGTATTACAAAACTCTATAAAGACGTATGTTTTACGATGCAACTTATATTGCATATTTGACGGTTTACTTTGAGTTTCAATACAAATATACCCCTTTGCCCCAGGTTTTCATATTGTCTGGATGGTTTTATTTGATTTCTACTAGTCCCAAATTTTTTTCCCCAAAACCATCAAGTCAAATACCTAGTTTTCATTTACACTATAAATCAATTTTACATTCAAAATATCACTTTTATTCCTATTTATATCATATCAAACTACTATTCAAATTATAAACATTCCAATTCAAAATCTAAACCCCCAAACAATCGCAAGTAAACTGTCAAATACACAATCTCACTTATAGTCACCAGGAACTCTATGTACTGTTTTACAAAACACATATAAGCCTCACACAATATAAATATAATTACTAGGAGGAAGGGTGTGCTTTTATTAATCGTAGGTGAAATGGAATTGACCTGAAAAAAAAGAATTTTAAAAAAAAAAAAATCACAATGGGAAAGGATCATTCAATGATTTCAAAATTACCAACAGCTTTCACATCCCACACGAATCCTTCAAAATTATCAAAACTTTAATAATCATTTAAATATTACCACATTTAAGTTAACATTTAAACAAAATTATACACATGTGACATTCAAACATACAACATACACTTAAAAAAACAATAGCTGATTCGTACGCTGCACCATACAATCGTTACACAAGATTTGACAAAAATATACCCAAAAAACACAAAGAAAAGAAAAACACCTAAAGCAATCATATATTCATATAGATCAACCAATAAAGTTTATAACTTTGATAATTATCTAAAGAGTGGAAAAGTTTGATACTTTTACTACTGATTACAATCAGAATGTGGATTGTGGAAGCACAAAATTCAGCTCCAAACTATAACTGGATGCATTTAAGAAACTTTACAAAGAATTCAAAGAGAGCCATACACGAACTGAAAACATGATGAAATAAACAAAAGCATAGAATATGAAGAACTCAACTGCGTAATACAAATGCAAGAAGCAAATCACATTCCAACCACGGTTTCTTCGAATTCAAACAATCAAGTGCGCAAACCAAAAGTCATGAACAAAGTATAGATCACATAAAAACGTACGCCCGGGAAAAATGTGATTTGGACTTAACAGAATAAGAAAAACATAACAAATACTTACATAGCTGAACAGGAAATAGATCAATCAAAGCAACCTGCGAAATAGCAAATAAAACAAAATAAATTATACGCTTTCAAACGCAAAAAGAATTCGCAGAATTGAAGATCGAGAAGTAGAGTCCCGAAAATAAATCGAACCAGAGGAGCGAGCAGAGATCCAGTAACTTACCAGAGCGCGAGAGGTGGCGTCGTGAGAATGGAGGTGGGCGGAGGAAGCGCGAATGGTTGATCTGCGAGACTCGGGAAAAGAGGATCTGGTTGGGTCAACTAACGTGCGCCGGAGCGTAGGATACTCCCTTGAATGCTTCCTTAATTTAACTATATGCTCCCTCCCTCTTCCATTTGATTTGTTTATTATTTTTATTTTAATCTCTCTCTCAAATTGTTGTGCAATATCTTATTTCTAGCTGATCTAACTACAAATATTATACTCCCTTACTTCGAAATTTAAAGAATATTAATATTATATTGATAATAGATAAAAAATAAATATAGTTATTTATAAAAATAAGATTATTATTATTATTATATTGAAACAGAGGAAATAAATAGTATTTCATCACATATAATATTATTTAAATAAAAGGCAAATTCAATCTTCCCAATCCAAATCCAATTAAACACACGTTAGGTTTTGTTTTGTTTTGAGTAAGTTTTGTTTTAAATATTATTTTGATATAATTATTTAGATCAAGTGCTCATAAGCTGAAATTAATCAACACTTTTAATTTAAAACTAATTATTTTGATTTAATAAATTATCCAATTAATTGACGGTATGGATCAAATTCAAGATTGCTATAATATTTTATGTGATAAATTAATATATTTTTATTAGGAACTTTATTATTATTTTTTTTTAATAACGTAGGAATTCGCAGCCGCTACCCGAAAATGCACACCTGTAAATCCTGATCAAACCTAATACTCTGCAAATCAGGCCCGACGAAAAAATCAGACGGCAAATCTAATATATTTTTATTAGGAACTTTATGTTTTAAATAGTTGGAACTTGGAATTGAAACCCAAACCAAACTCAAAACATCATTTTCTTACAAGTTTTTTAAATTGTTTAGTTAAGATTTTGCACCATTTCTAAATGTAAGTGTACAATTTTTATACCAATCATATAATTTTTCTAAGAAATAAATAGATGAAACAAAAAAAAAAAAATAAATTGTTTGATAGTGTTTTGGTATGTTTTGAGTTGATTGACATATATCTTAAATGTAATACTACTTTCCTCCCGTTAGGATCTCATTTATTTTTATGTTAATTTTTTAATATTAATTATTACTATCAAAATATAATACAAATAAAGAAAAAATTGCAAAAATATTTTTAATATTAAATACAATGACACAAAAAATTATACAAATATAAAAATATTTTTAATATTAAGTACAATGGCACAAAATGTAAATGTGATCTTTAGAAGAAGACGGATGGAGTAAAAAAAAAACATTTTCATATGTTATTTTAAATAAAAATTATAGGTTGTTCACACAATTTTTTTTTTTACCGCAATTTCTTATAAATATTATCAAATAATATTATATATACTCGTATTAATACAATATAATATATATATATATATATTATTGACTCAAAAAAAATTAATAATTTAATAAAAAAATATTATTTTTATATTATCCACACAATTTCTCATATCTAATATCTAATATATTATTTTTATATTATCCCTAGGGTGTGTTTGTTTGGGGGTTTGGATTTTGAATTGGAATTTGAATAGTAAAAATTTTGAATTTGAATAGTTGTATGATGTGATATAAATAGGTGTTGATGTGATGTTTTGAATGTAAAATTAATTTTTAGTATAATATAAAAAATAAAAAATAGGTGTTTGATTTGATGTTTTTGGGGGAAAAAAATTGGATAAATAGTAAAATTTTGTTAAAATTCTACAAACGAACACACCCTTATGAACAACCCCTATATTCTATAACACTATTAGGGGAAAACATATGTCATCCTTTGATAACACAGCTAAACATTATTTTATTTGTCATAGCATTTGCCAAATTTCAAACGTAATCTTGCCTAATTTTAATTTCCTCCAATTATTTGTGGACCTAATTAATGCTCGGCAGGAATTATTCATATTTATACGACAAAATAAGGGGTTAATATTCAACAACACGAGTGCTTTTTGAATTGAGATTTGAATAGTAAAAATTTTGAATTTAAATAATTATATAATGTGATATAAATAAATATTGACTTGAAGTTTTGAATATAAAATTAATTTTTAATATAATATAAAAAATGAAAAATATGTCTTTGATTTGATATTTTTGAAAAAAAAAAATAAGATGAATAGTGTATTTAAAATTCAACCCAAAACAAATGCAAAGGTCTCAAACATTTTAGAGCAGATTAATTACATTTATAGAACTTTTCTCGATTGGACCAATTCTATCATTAAATATTGGTTTCGTGTAGGATTGACAAAATATTCGAACCAAATGGTCGAACTGCTAAATTTAACGGAACTACATCAAATTCTAGGTTTACCGTTGTAATCCGATTTAGATACAAATACTATATATTAGATATTTATTAAATTAAATTAAATTTTGTTTTTTACTATTTTGTTTGTTTAACCAAACCAAATGGAATTTATTTATAATATTATTTATATTATTAGTTATGTTACTATATCTACACAATTAATTATAAATATGATTGCAGTTCGATTTTATTCAATTCGGTTTGAAATACATAATTTTTTCAAATTGTGATGACTGAAATTTAGGTTTTTACAATTCAAATTCTTTTTTTTATAAAAAACATTATTTTTCTTTCTATATTATACTACAAATTTATTTTATATTCAAAACAACACGCTCATGATCTATTTATATCATATCAAACAACTATTCAAATTCAATTTTTTACTATTAAAAAATTCAATCCCGAAACTCGAAACCCACAAACAAACACACACTTAGGGTTTGTTTGGTTGATGTTTGAAATTGATTTGTAACATAATGTTTGATTTGAATTTTTATTTAAATATATTTTGATGTAATATTTTGTAAAAAATAATTCTCCCTCCATTCCAAAATTATAGTTTGGGTCGTGTTTGGCATGAGATTTAAGAAATATTGATATTATTGATAGGGGATAAAAACACGGGTAAGAGACTTTTTTGCCCTTGTGAGTGTATTAGTATAAAAAGTAGTAACAATTGTGTAGTAATAATGAAATAGTAATGGTAGTTTTACAGTGATATAATTATTTATGGAAATGAGATTATTATTTTGGAACGGACAAAAATGGTAAACAAGACTATTGTATTGAAACGAATGAAGTATATTGCTATTAGAAACGGTGCAAAATGAATAGTGTTAATATTAATAGAAATCACAAAAGAACAAACCTCTAATATTTGATTAAGATCGATTTTCTATAATCTATGTTTATTTTTCAAATACGAAGAAAGCTCAAAATATTAAAATATTAAAGTGTGAGATCATGTGTTGAGATGTAATTAAGTTTGACAAATGTTGAACTTAATCATAACCTTAAAAATTGTATAAATACTTTCAAAATTAAAAATTATAATTAAAATGAATGATTTTGATTGGATTCAGCCCTGCTGAATCTCAGCATGAGATCCATCTTAAAATATTAAACATAACTTCTCAAAATCATGAGAGCACGAAAATTATATATTCTTTCTCTTGTATTAATATATATGATCACCAAAAAATTAATAAATTAATATAAAAATTATTTTTTATATTACAAACTAAATTCTTTATACATGATAAAAAAAAATTTATTCATAAAAAAATGGAAAGTGAACAAACCCAAAGTGTTAAGATACTAGTATGTTATATTAGTATGATGTTGATTTGCTTCTATATTTTAATTGGATAAAATTAGTATGATGTCGATTTGCTTCGGACGGTAACAATCTCAACATTATATATTTTCTCTGTCATTAATATGTATGTTCAAATGGTTGAGCCCAAATTTTTATTAAAATATAATAATATCTACTTTCTATCTAGCAAATTATTATTATTATTATTATTTTTTATAAAAAATATTCATCCATTTGCCTCTAAAGATCACGTTTACTTTTTGCGTCATTATATTTAATATTAAAAATATTCTTATATTTGTATGATTTTTTGTATAAAAATCCTTCTATTAGTATTATAAGACACTAATTGAAGTTTTTTTGCAATTTTTTCTTAATATGTACTATGTTTTGATATAATAATTAATATTCAAATATCAACATACAAAAAGTAAATAGACCCTTAGAGCCGGACGTATGTAGTATATATTTTTATTTATAACAAATACTCCTTCTATCCTCGTGCAAGATTGCCATTTGTTTACTTTTTGTACGTAGATTTTTGAATATTAGTATTATAATATATTGTAGTGAAAAAGACAAAAATGCCCCTATAATATTGTGTAAGATAAAAGTAATGACATTTGTAATATAGTGTAAGTTGGAAGGGTATTTATTATGTTAGGTAGGTAGCACAATTACTAAATTGAAAAATAATAACCTTGTTTTAGAACAGATCGAAATTGAAAAATAAAAACTTTTCAATAGGAGAGATGAGTAATTCTTATAAATTTTTTAATACTAATGTTATAGTTATTTATAAAAACATCACAAGGATTAATAGACTCTATTTATAAAAGTTTTCTCACTTTATTAATTTATTCATATATTTTGCAAAATATTTTTATTTAATTTCACAATCAATGTAATATTATATATTTAAAAAAAAATAAATTCGTGGCCAGCTCAAATAAATATAATTTGATGAATTATTGTTTTCCATAATAAAAAAAATACTACTTTCATCATGAAAATTTATGCATATCTCTTTTATAGTAAAAAATTTAAAAATAATATTATTTACTAAAAAATAAATGAAAGTACTTTTTGACAACAAAATAAATCAAAAAATGTGAACATTTATATTTTTACTAAAAAAAAATAAAAATATTTTAGAAAAAGTTGAATCAAAATTCTGTCAGATAAATTCAACTATAATTCGAAAGGGAATTGAAACTCAATTATCCGAATATTTTATTTTCGTTATATATATATATGTGTGTGTTTTTCAGAAAAAAATCACCACACTTTGACGGGAGTAATAATTTGATGAGGTTCTCAGGATCAGAACACCAGATTGATCCGACAGCGCCATCACGTGGTCCCAACGCGATGTTATTCGATCGGGTGCAGTAGTCCATGGAGCACCCAACAAGAACCCAGTCCGCAGACACACCGTTGCCTTTTACGTGACCCAATATAATAAACACCATAATTGTGCCCACTAACCTAACCACCACAGCAATCATAAACTATCCATCCATCCGTAGACCTTCCGTTTCACCATTTGTGTTTTGTTTCTTCAATTCGGACTGGAATTCACCCGCAATTGCTGAGTGGATGAGCACAGCAAGGAGGCGATTCTCGCTGTGACTGTCTCTTGAGGTTTGACCCGGTTTCTGCTCGATCTCCTTTCCTTGCGCTTGTAAAGGGTGTTGTATGTTTGGATGCGCCTCGATGTTCTTGTACTTGTTGTTGACTTAGGGTTTTTGTGTGTGATTTCTTGTTGTTAGTGTAGATCTCCGACGCCAAGTGCCTCAGTCTTAGATTCCTTGTCGTTGTGGTGTTTGAAGTCAATGTGCGGTTGAGATTTGTTGAAATCCTTCATTGCTGAAGCTTTCTAGTTTGTTCTGTTGGTATATTGAAGTCCAACAAAGCCGTGTAGATTTCGTTTCAGATTTTACTTGCTGGGGATAATATTTTGGGTATTCTATTTTAGTTTTGTTTTTATTTTTTCATTGCTTCAAACCTTTTTCGTCGTGTATATCCTTGTGTATCTGCACTTTGCAAAAAGGGTAGTTCATAGTAGATTTATTTATTATGTTTTGCCCGAGTATTTTTAATTATTGTTACTTTTTACATTTATTGAATTTGTGTCGTTGCAGATCTCTGGAGAAGAGATGGGGTTTTATGTGTTGCTGCTCTTTTAGCAGCTCTGGTGCTCTTGTTAAGGTACCTTTGAAAATTTTGTATGTTTTGCTTCTTTTTTTTTTCTTTATTATTATTATTATTATTTTATTTTATTTTTAAAAATTTTCCAGCTTATTTTTACATACATTTACACGAGATTATCGTAAATCATTTTATTTTGTAAAACCTGAAGTCTGATGCATCACCATGAGCAAAAGAGATACTATATTGTTGTGTTTCTATGAGCTAGCTGAATGTTTACATTGCTTAGATTTGTGAATTTATTGCAAGTGATTTGGTGGCTGTCATTACTTTTTAGTGTTTGGATGTCTTAGTGGATGGTCTGATAATACTATTCTGAAGGAGGATCGATTCTCTGATAGATTGCTAAAATCATTTAGTAACATATTTATTGTATTTGCTGGAATCCGGTCTTCTTTCAAATAGGGTAAAGATTTATGCATTATAACTAAAAGCAAATCTTATTAGCAGTTTTGATCTTCCTTTCCCCTATGCTCGTATCAGCATGGTTATTCTCACCCTATTTATTATCTTTGCCCTTTCATTCAGTTTCTTGATTTAAAACTTCATTTTAATTTCTGGGAATGATTTTGCTCCTTTATCCTCTCTTCTTTTTGTTCCCTGTCTTATTGCTTCTGAAAATTATTTTACTTTCATCTGTCATATAAAATGCAACCTATCTCCATTTGTCTAGAAATCAATTAGAAAAATATTGGTTGTTATGTTCACAGGGTACTTCAGGAGAGCAATGTCATTCCGCAGCATAGCTCGAGATATAAGAGAGAGCATTGGGAATATATCACGGAGAAGTTTTGACTTGAGGCTGCCTGGGCATTACAGGGGAAAATCACATGGTTCTTTTCAATATTTGAGTGACCAGCCTTTGGTTATCCAGAATAGCCACTGGGCTAACCTCCCTCCAGAGCTACTATTTGATGTAATCAAAAGATTGGAAGAAAGTGAAAGTAACTGGCCTGCTCGGAAGAATGTAGTTGCCTGTGCTGGTGTTTGTCGCTCTTGGAGGAGCATGTGCAAGGAAATTGTCAAAAATCCTGATTTAAGTGGCAAACTCACTTTTCCTGTTTCCCTAAAACAGGTATCTGTCACTTGTGATTGCTTAAACTATTACTCAAGGCTTACCAACATTATTTCCCTTCTGCAACTACTACTTTCACTTGTGCTCTGTTATGTCAGGCAGTGTTTATCTATAATTGATTTGTGCCTCTATGCTTACTTGTTACTTGTGTTTGCTCTTTTTCCATGTACAGCCAGGATATCGTGATGGAACAATTCAGTGTTTCATAAAGAGGGACAAATCGAATTTAACTTACCATCTTTATTTATGTCTTAGTCCCGGTGAGTGTAGAACCTGCCTTTTCAAGCACCATTTTTGCTGTTTAGCGATAAGTTATTTGTGTTCTCTTAATATTCTAACACTCTCATTTGTTGATTGTGTTGTTGGCTTCTCAATAATGACTTGTAGAATTTCCTTTAATAGTAATATGAGTAGATGGAAAAAATTTGTGCTGTATTATCATCTAGAATCATATTTCTACTTTCTTTTAAGTCTTGTAATAGACAATCAAACTTTTGCAGCTTTGCTTGTTGAGAATGGAAAGTTCCTTCTCTCTGCGAAGAGAACCCGTAGGACTACCTGTACAGAGTATGTCATCTCAATGGATGCAGAAAACATTTCGAGATCGAGTAGCACATATATTGGAAAATTGAGGTATTATATGTAATTAGGTATCTCATTTTCAGTCAACACTTGCTTTCATCCTAATGGCACTAATATTAGTTAACTAAAAATGTTTATTCTTCTTGATGAATTGCCTGCAAATTTAATGCATTTTATTCTATTGAATTGGGAGTGATGACCTGCAATGTAATTGACTCTGCGGGATTGTGTAGATTACCATAAAATCGAATTGCGGTTATTACATGGAATAATGAGATCAATAATCTGGATAGTCAAATATAGATTTTATTCGTACTTTGTTCTCGATTTTCAATACTAGCTAGTTACAATGATCTGTTTTGTAAACCCTGGAGAAGGGTTTTCTATTTATGCAACATCATATTAACATTTCTGGCTGTATATATTGGGTGTGAATCTGTAACTTATGATATGTTAAAACCTTCTGCAGATCAAATTTTCTCGGCACAAAATTCATAATATATGACACGCAGCTTCCACATTCATGCTCCTCCACATCACAACCCGGAAGAACAAGTCGTAGGTTCCATTCCAAGAAAGTATCTCCGAAAGTGCCAACAGGGTGCTATAACATAGCCCAGATCACGTACGAGCTGAATGTGTTGGGAACACGCGGTCCACGCAGAATGAACTGCCTTATGCACTCAATTCCCATATCATCCCTGGAACCTGGTGGGGTGGTGCCCGGGCAACCCGAACTCCTCCCAAGATCCCTGGAAGAGTCGTTCCGGAGCATGTCCTTCTCAAAATCCCTCGACCACTCCACTGAATTCAGCAGCTCCAGATTCTCGGATGTTGCAGGGCTCTCCTCAACTGAAGATGAGAGCAGTAAAACCTGGCCCTTGATTCTGAAAAACAAATCCCCTCGGTGGCACGAACAGTTGCAATGCTGGTGCCTCAACTTTCGAGGACGGGTGACAGTCGCCTCTGTCAAGAACTTCCAGCTGATTGCCTCCACGCAACAAGCGGCAACAAGTGCCCCAACAGCTTCTCAGCCATCGCAGCAGCAGCAGCAGCAGCAGCCGCCGCCCCCTGACCACGACAAAATCATCCTCCAATTTGGTAAGGTAGGTAAGGATATGTTCACCATGGATTATCGATATCCCTTATCTGCCTTTCAGGCATTTGCAATTTGCCTGAGCAGCTTCGACACAAAATTGGCCTGCGAATAGCCTGCCTGTTAAGGGATGGTCTCGCCTCGATCGAACCTCAAAATCAAAATGGAATGAGGCAAATACAGAGACAGGTCAGGTCAAGTCAGATCCATTCATGTAGCTTTTGTGTTGTGTTGTGTTGTGTAGTGTATATTTTGATTTTCGATGTGTAAATTTGTGAGTTTGTTGTGTTGGTTGATGTTTGTTGTAGAATGAAACCTTTGCAATAATTTCAGCAGTTATGTGTCTAGTCATAAAACACTAGTATTGGATACTTTTCTTTGGTCATTCATGAATTCCTTGCCTTATCTGATTCTGCATTTATTTATTTATTGCTGTGGGTCATTCTGAAAAATGAGTATTAAAATATACTGTATGTATGGCACATCATTGCTATGTCTCATTAATGCATGGACCTATGTGTAGGTATTTTGAGGGTATGTTTATTCGGGTGATTTGATTTTGGATTTTGTTTTTTAACAGTAAAATTTTAATTTGAATAATGTGATATTTTAAATGTAAAAATAGTTTATAATGTTAATATAAACAATAAAACATTTGATATTTTTAGGAGAAGGATTTATGTACAATGAAAAATAAAGCAAATCACCCAAACAAACATGACCTTATAAACATGTCTATAAAGGGTCATTTGCGTTCTAATTAATCCACAAAGTGTCATTTTCAATTTTTCTTTGCTTCTTTGCTACGGTTTTGATAGTATGTTTGCAAAAAATCCATTCTAGTATATTATACTGGTGTGTTGATCCAAATTTTTTTATTGATTTGACTAATAATTTAATATACAATATTAATTTTTTTTATTATTATAATAATTTCTTATGGTTAACATTTAAAAAAAAAAAAAATCATCCAAAAATATAAAACATACATATATACATTTATATAAAAGATAATAATATATATAAGATAAGATATCATCAAAGAGGTTTTGTTGAGAAATAGCGTATTTATATTTTAATACCCATACCCAATATTATCACATTCCAATTAAAATCGGCTGCTTCTATTGGGTTACTCAAAAAAGTGGTACAGATTTTTTTATTTAAGAAATGTTGGACAAATCATGAAGAAGTTGTGTATGTATACAATTAAAAACACTATAAATTTTATCTAAGAAATGTTGGAATACTAAGAAATTAAAGCTCTGCTTATTCTTTTTGGGAACCCGCGGCTACTCGAAAGTGCGCACTGGTTAAACCCCCAACCAAATCTAATATCCTGCAAATCAGATCCGACGAGAAAGCTCTGCTAATTCTTTGTTTGTGGATTTGTCTTCCTCTGTTTCAGGCTTTTTTTTTTTTTTTTCCCTTAAGAAGTAGTATAATAAAAATAATTATTGTATAATAAAAAATAATTATAAATATTAATTAAATATTTTAATTAATATTAAAAAATTATAAATTATAAAATTTAATATACGATTAAAATGTATAATTACATTTCCAAAAAAATGATAAATTATGTGGGACGAAAAAGAGTGGATATTTTATGTACACAGAGTATTTGTTTTGCAAATTCTTAGGCCCGTTTGTTTGAAATTGTAAGAGAATTTTGAGTTCGTTTATGTATTTTTTTTATTTTTTTTATTAGTTCTTGGTGATATTTACACATATATTTTGTATTTGAAATTTTCTTATTTATTGGATTCTTGTAGTCTATGTCCGTAGATGTATAGAGATATATCTCGAACTATGTAAAGTATTTTTTAAAATCTTTTGTATTATTTCTATTTAAAAATTTTATGATATTTTGCTCGTCAATTTTACAATAAACTAATAACAGATATTCGGTTCTGTTTGGATTGTCAGATTGTCATTGATTTTGAATGCTTTTGATTGTATAGGACAAAATCCGAAATTGAAAATTTTGATGATAAAAATGTTTTAAATAATAACGTATTAAAATGCGTAGTTCTTTATATATATTAACAACCCAACCTATCAAAGCCCAGACCATCTTTTATATTTCCTTTTATGATTAATTATTTGGTATTAAATTTAATTTTAATCTAACTTTTCTTCCCAATTCTAAATTTTACAAATCATTCCCTATTTCATTCCTTCCTGCGAATTTGCCATATTGTATTGATTGTTTCCTTCTCCTCTACGCATTTGTGATATTGTACTGACTGCTCCACCATGCGTGACTGCGCCCACACCGCTTTCCTTTATTTCATGCCGGCGAGTCGGCGACCGCAGCTGAGCGATATGGTTTTGTCTATGGGCTGCGGCTACTCAACTTCTTGTAAGTTTAAAATATGAAATGTATTTATTTGATACTTTTAATTTTAAATTTTTATTTCTAGTTATTTATAAATTGTGTTGTGTAAATTGTCTTAAACAACAAATATTTTATATTGATACAATTCATAAAAATACATTACAAATTATAATATGTCGGTATTTGGCTTAAAACTTTGGATTGAACCATAAAAAAGAAAACAAAGAAGTAATGATGATTTGATTGTGTCTAGTTCTTGGCTTTAATTTGGTCATTTGGCAACTACATTGAATTTATCTTACAACTACCTCTTAGACAATAGCTTGTAAGTTGTTTATATACTTTTAGTTGGTTTGTTTATTATTATTATTTTTTTTTAGTTTGGATGTTATGGTTATTAGATTATTGTTGGTTAATTTGATTTCACATTGTCTTTAGATATTTAGTTTGAATATTTTAGATTATTCTTTTTAGTTTAATAGTTTTGTATTTCTATTTTTAGTTTTGAATAAATTTGATATTCTATAATTTTTATTGTTATCAATTTGATAAATTTTTGTTATTATTTAGGTATTAAATTATGGATAAATTTATTATTAAATCACAGAGGACAACTTCAAGTTCATCTAATTCAACTGAAATGATTAAGAATGACAAAGAAGTTTAAACAACTAAGATTTCACAGATAGAAGTAGAGTTGTCGTCGGAAATTAAGATAGTTGGTGATCCAATATTACATAAACCTATTGATAATTATCCTTTTAAGATGAATTGAGAAGGCGATATTTGGTTAAAGGTCCATGTAAACCACATTAATGCAATTCTCCAAAAAGTAGCTCGGGTAAATTTATGAGAAAGTTTCAAGTGGCATGATTTGACAAATTTGATTGGCTTGAATATAGTGTTAAGAAAAAGATACTGCATTTTTCTTGGCATGCTACTTGTTTAGTAAAGGCCATAGACATGACGGAGATACTACTTTTACAGAAGTAGTTCGAAAATTGGAAAAAAGTTTTAGAAAAATTTAAAGAGCATATAGGCGATACAAGAAGTGCACATCATGGTGCTAAAATTCAAGCTTCATCATTTAGAGATCAGAGGAATAATATTGATTACATGATATCCCTGAGAAGTAAGGAAATGTAGCTTAATTATCGTGTTCGATTGACGACGATTGTGAACGTAGTTCGATTGATTTTGCGACAGGGTTTTACTTTCCGTGACCACAATGAATCGAAACATCTTTGCAAAGAGGTAATTTTCTTGAAATTTTGAATTGACATTGCGATCATAATGAAGATGTTAAGAAAATGATGAACTTAAATGCTCTGGAAAATAATTAGTTGACTTCTCCTAAGATTCAGAACGATATTATGCTATGGAAGTGAGGAAAGTTATTTTTGATGAATTTGAAGATAAATATTTCTCAATTTTGATTGACGAGGCTCGAGACAGTTCTGTGAATTTTTATTTTTTTTATCATTTAATCCGTATTGTGAATCTTGTTGGAGTTTCATGTAAAAGAAGGGATGCGATGCGACAAAAACACCATGAAGATCTTGTTTGGAAAATCAAGTGAGGTGAAATTGCTAAAGAAAAACGCAAAAATCAAGAAAAATGTTTGGCTCGTCCAAATAATACTAATTGAGGTTCTCATTTTAGGACATTAGACTGAATTATAAATATGTGGGATGTAAAAAAGATGTTCTTGATACTAGCTATTTCGGAGGATGACCGTCTGGATCAAACAACTCGAGGAACTACAACCATGGTTCGCCGGATCGACCGAGTCCGCCATATGTGTTGTGTTGGATAAAATTTGTGAATTGAAAAATTTTCATAGAAATTAAACGCAAATAACAGTTGCTTTGTCCGTGTTGTAGTTCTATGAAAATTTTTCAATTCACAAATTTTATCCAACACATTGGAAATCACTCCAACTTTTTTATTCTTATCGTGTTTGTCTATTTTTTCTCTATTCGTTTCTTGTTTGTTAGCTTGCTTTAATTGGTAAGGGCTGAGATGTGAAAAAAAAAAAGAGTGTTGGAGAAGAATGTAAGTGCTGGGAAGAAAGGCTGAGGAAAAAATAAATTGTGGTAATTTCGGTAATGGTCCATAATTTTATTAACTCAATTAATTTAAATTTGTTGTAAATATAGTATAAAATTTATTTATTTAACATATATGCTAATTGAGTTATAATATTATTTATTTTAAATTTTAATTTATTATATACTGGTGTAATATATTTTCTTTAATATTATATATTTTAAAATTAATTATATCTATGGTTTGATATATTTTAATTGCTTATTATAATTTTTTAATAAATATAAATTTCTATATTAAAAAATGATATAGATCAATATTTGACCGATACGATGCGCTGATACACCGCGACATATCTAGAATGGTAAAGGCCGATCTGCGACGGAAAACTATGACTGCAACAGGTCTAATTGGTAAAATGATAAGCTACGAATTTGTTTTTATTTTTCATTTCATGTTGAAATTGTTAACAAAAACAAATATACAGTCGGCAATCATTTAACAAAAAACACAAAACATTGGTAATGTCGTGGCTTTAATTACAATATTGAAAAAGATGATTTGAAGTTGTACGGAAAAGATGGTTGGAATGATTTGTTGGAAACGATCAAAAAAAATTTCTTTAAAAATGATATTTTTATGCTGAATCTGGAAGATCCTTTGCTTGGTCGAGCTAGATTTTAAAGGAAAATCGATGGTCAATCAAAGACTTATTTGCACTTTTTTTCAACTGGATATCTTCTTTAAGGTACTTGTTTGTAAATATATATATATATATATGTATAATTACATGTGTTTGATTATTTATTATATAAATAATTTATTTACTTAGCCTTTGACATTAATTATTTTGTACCTAATTATAATATATTAATGATAATTAAAATGTATTTGATGTAATCTTTTACAATTTTACATCCAAATTAACATTATTCATCTTTTCAATAAAAAATACATTATTTTTTTTTTTCCATAAAATATCATATCAAATATTTAAACAAAAATTAAAAGCAATACTTCACTTTAGTTTAATTTTAAACCATAACCAAACCAATTTTAAATACATATATAGACCTAATGAAATATTATATAATGTTCATTTAATTTTATATAAACATTGATTGTGTAATTAATATTATTGAATAATTGTACTATTTATACAGAATTAATTTTATCATAAAATTTTCTATAATTGTGATGATTTTTAAAATATATTTATTATGGTAATATGTATAAAAAATACAAATAAAGAGTATGAATAGTTACAATTGGTTTTGTATTTTAGTTTTATGATTTTGTTTGAATAATTATTTGGATGAGATATTTTATAAACAAAAATAAAAATAAATTAAGAATGTGTTTGGTTATCACCTTCGATTATTAGGAGTTGCATTCTGCGAGTTCAAATCAAAATTAAAAGTATGTTTGGTTAGACTTTATTGACTACCATAAATCGTTCGTAATAATAATAATAATAATAATAATAATAATAATAATAATAATAATAATAATAATAATAATAATAACTAGTTAATTACCTTAATGGATAAATTTTCATAAGATAAGATTTTGTCTTAATAATCTTCACAATTTTGACAATTATAATTTAGATTACATTTTGGACTTCAACTTGTACATGTTTTGACACTAAATAAATAATTTTGGATGGGTTTCTGAAAAAATTCGATTTCGTCAAATTAAGCAGTATCAAACCACATGATCCAAGATACTCAATTTATGACTTTGTAACGGGTCCAAACAGTAAGGTAGCACACGTGTGACTCACTTGCGTGCCTTGTCTACACCTTTTATCACTATTAATCATACACAATCAACTCAAATTTTAATTATTTTTAAGTCACAAAATAATTAAAAAAACATAATATGTTTCTACTAACCGATTAATCAATTTTTAGAAAATAACGAATTGAAGTTTTCACAAATTAAATTTTATTGATCATAGTAATTGATTTATTTAATGTGAGTAACTCACCAATACCACTCTCTTAATGTTGTATGAAGTATAGAAAATTAAGACGGATATGCTACGTTGATCCGTTATTTAGTTCCCTTCACAATGGACGTAGCGCAAACGAGTATAGACGTGGGAAGCAGCCGAATTACCAAAAATGAGAGAAATGATGATTGTTAGTCTGAGTAGAGAGAGTAGCAAGTAAGATGTAATGACTTCTAATTAATTGCAAAAAATATCGCATGATAGATAGTTAGGAGTTTCATTTTTAAAATTTGTGAGCTTTCACTCTCCTTTTATCTTCGTGGCTTTGTAACACCGCTCCAAATCCACCATTATTTTCAAAGTCTCTCGTACTGCCATATGCGTAAGCGACAAATGCCAGGAAGTCGATCTTTGAGTATTATTTTACTATTTTAATTTACTAAAATTTAAAATTTAACAAATATATATTTATTAATTATATCAATTATAACTATATTAATGGTAATCTATTAAGTATAAACAATTAATGTAATTATTTTTATTAAAACATTAAAAAAGTAAGAAAAAAAATACATTATTATATGAGATCATAAAGTTGTCATAAAATAGATAATAGGAATATATAGATTATTGAATGATAAATTGGATTAAACTACAAAATATCATAATACCCAACATAGACTAGCAAAACTAGACAACAATATGTATGTCCAAAGAAAATCATTATTGCCACAAATCACCCAAGGAAAAACAAAAATTTATGCAGTTAATATAGATTTATTCACTTACTACACATTTCATATAAATATTACTCATTCCGTCAAGATACCATGTTCACGTTGCCGTTTCTGTCTGTCCCACATACCATGTCACTTTTCTTTTTTGGAAAATGATCACACACTTTAATCTCATTTTAAATTTTTTAATTTTAATTTTTTAAATTTTAATTGAACTAATTAGTTATCTTAATCTTAATTTATAATTATTTATATTATAGGATAATTATTTTCACTAATATATTCTTAATTATCTACTAATTACACCATTCCTAAAATACTGTGTCTACAGTGTAGCAGACACGGTATATGGGACGAAGGGAGTATTTCATTAAGAAAATATAATATACACATATATTAACATAAAATATAATATATATATATTATCTACTTACAAAAAGATTAATAATTTAATATAAAATATTATTTTTTATATTAATAATACAAATTTTTACATCTAAAAAAAAAAAAAAAAAAAAAACATATTCATCCAAACACACAAAGTTCTTACACGAATAAAATTGATGGTATTTTAATTTTACTGTCACAAGACTCTAATTCACTAGATAAAACATAGGAAATAGAGGATTTGGAAACAAAGAATTAGAACTAGTGGAAAACAATATTTTATGAAAAGTAATATTATCTCTGTCTCATGTTTGTATATATATATATATATTTTATAAAAAATTTTAAAAATATTAATAGTATATTGAGATAAAATAAAAATAAAGGTAAAAAAACTAAATTAATATGATACAAAAATAATGATATTTGTATAATATATTGTAAATTGGAAGGTTATTTGTAATGTTAGGTAGATAGTAAAGAGAAATTGATATTTTGTTATGAGACGAACCAAAATAAAAAAATAAATAAATTGTTAACGGATAGAAGAAAAAAAAAGGAAGTAGTTTATTTTTTAAAGAAATAATAAAAAAAAGAACAAAGTAAATAAATATACAAAACAAATAAACTAACCAAATTACATGTTTAAATAAATAAATATATATATTAATATTAGTACGATATCACTGTGTTACGCTATCACGTGTTGTTTATTAAAATGTATACATATGTTTGTGTCTTTATCCAATTCACGATTCGAATTAAAATAATAAAAATAAAAATATTATTTAGATGTTGGTTGGCATTTCGGTTGCGTTCTGACAAAAAATAATTTACATGACAGAAATATTGTCTGCCACGTCACAATAAATAATTAATATTTGGAATAATTAATGAGTTTTATGTTATCGAATATAGTGACATTATTTAATTAAAATATTTAAAATTTGAAAATTATTAGACAACAGCTAAGATAGAGTCGTCCATCTGTCTTCTTTAAATACGGGTTTGTTTGGTTGCGAATCTACTTTGAGTTGAAATAAAAATTTTGAATTAAAATACTTAAATAATATTTTTAATATAAAATTAATTTTTTTAATATAATATAAAAAATATATTTAATTTGATATTTTTAAAAAATAAAAATTTAATAAATAGTAGAGTTTTGAACTTTCAAACAAACCCAGCCTACTGTATTTTATACTTTCTCAGTCCCATACATATCGTGTCTGCTAATGTAGACAATTTAGAAGGAGTATAATTAGTATATAATTAAAAATATATTAATAAAAATAATTATTTTATAATATAAATAATTATAAATTAAGATTAAGATAACTAATTAATTTAATTAAAATTTATAAAAAAAATAAAATTAAAAAATTTAAAATAAGATTAAAATATGTAATATTTTTTGTGACATGGTATGTGGGACGAACAGAAAAGATAGTTGGACATGGTAGGGGACGGAGGAAATAATTATTATTTTTTGAAAAAAATAAAAATTTCAGGGAATTATTTAAAGGTTTCTTCTTCAACACAGCTTCTCCTCTCCTCTTTCGTGAGAGCCCTTTTAGCTTCTCGGAGGGCTTTCATGTCCTTCGCTAGGGTTTCGTCCTTCCGTTTTAATTCCGGAATTTTCCATCATTTCGGTTACGGCTTCTCCATGAAGGTCTTCCTATTCAGTAACGCATAATCAAGGTATCGGTTTCTCATTTTGCCGGACTCGATTCCTGTTAAATTGACTTCACTGCCATTTTTTCGTGTTTTACTTTGCATTTGGATTCAGTCCATGTTTTTGTTTACTTTGCGTGATCCTTCGGTGAGGATCTGTTTTCGGGGCCCGGTTTGGGGTTTCTAGGTTTTATTTATTTGTTTGTTTGTTTTTATTTTCCCGTTGATTCGTGAGTATGATTGGATTGATTAGTATCTGAATTTTTCATAGTTCAAATTTGTTTATGAGGTTCGATGTTTATTAGAGGTTTTCTATTTTGTTTTATTTTATTTGATTGTGTGTTTGGTGTTTGAAGATCTGTGTATGCTTGATGAAATTGTTTAGTATAATTATTTACTTCTTAAAAATGAGATTCTATGAATTCTTGGGGATCTAATCGTATTCACAATAGGAGAATATAATTTTGGGCTAACTTTGTGGAAACTCCTCTGGAAAATTTTAAACCCAAACTAGAATCAAGTTGCAAATGATTCAAGGATTGTGAATTGCTGCTTGGTAAATGTATCCATCAAAATTTGTTTGTGAGTTGCAGGTTGGATTAAATCTCGGCAAGCTTCTAGCTAATTAGTGAATGTACCAATTCAAAGTTCTCATGGATTTTTGATGTGATTATGTTCAAATGATTGGAGATTTTTTCTTAATTTCTCTTTATCTGTAGGATCAATGAAATCGAGGTTGAGTTTCAGTCAATTGGTAGATAGAGCATCATGGTTTTTATGTATTTTGTGTGTGTGTGTTTTAATTATTTCACTTTATTTGCTCATTCAATGAAATCTAGACAAGGTTTCAGATAATTAGTAAATTTATTTATTCAGGCTTCTCATGGATTTGATTTAGATTATATGTAAATGATTTGTGATTTTCCTGCTATTTTATCTTTAGTTGCTGGATTAATGAAATTGGGGTTCTGTTCCCGGTAATTAGTAAATGTATTTACCCAAAATTTTGTGTGGATTTGAGTCAAATTGTGTTTTGAATGATTAGTAGATTTCCACGTTTTTTCTTTTTATATATTTTCTATGAAATCTAATGCAGGTTTAAATTATTTAGTAAACAAGTTAATTTAAGCAGGATTGTGTTTGTAATAATTTGGTGTACACTTTATTTCTATATATTTGTGTGTTTGATGAAACTCTAATTGGATTTCAGTTAATGAGTAAATATAATTGATTTGAACTTCATGGATGTTCATGTGAATTATGTTGAAATGATTTAAGGATTTCCGCATTACTCTTAATGTTCCTCTTCGATGAAATCTAGGTTGGTTTTAGTTAATGAGCTAATGCAAGTAATTCAGACTTATTTTGATGTGGATTATTATATATTGAATGGTTTCACGATTTTCATGTTATTTCTCTTTATTTGTGGTTTGATGAATTCTAGGTAGTGCTTTTGCTGATTTCTGAATGTTTTGATGATTCCATCTTCATTAGGAGATCTGTTTACTGTTCAAAGAATGCCTTCTTCAAATACTCACAGTTCTCCTATCCCATTCGCATCATTTCGTCGCCCTATCATTACTATCAGAAGCGATCAGGTCCATTCAGAAATGAGCCACATTTCAGACATCCCAAACTTGGAATCCTTCCAAAGACAAGTCTCTGCCAGGTTTCATGATCTTTCCGGGGTGGATGCTGATGAGCTTCTCTCCATTTCTTGGATACAGAAGCTCCTGAACGCGTTCATTAGTTGTCAGGATGAATTCCGCTCCATTTTAGCCGATAACAAAGCCCTGCTGTCAAAACCACCAGCTGATAGGATTGCAGTCGAGTATTTTGACCGGGCTATCAAGGCTATGGATATCTTCAACGCAACCCGTGATGGGGTTGAAACAATTCGCCTATGGCAGAGGCATTTGGAGATCGTAGTCTGTGCTCTCGATACCCAACAAAGAAATATTGCTGAAGGCCATATTCGTCGTGCGAGGAAGGCCTTGATCGACCTCCAACTTGTGATGCTCGATGAAAAGGACAGTGGCTCCATGTTTTCGCAGCGGAATCGGTCTTTCGGACGTAAGGTTAAGGATCACCAACGCAGTTCGTCATCTGGGACCCATTCACGGTCGTCATCTTGGAGCGTTTCCCACAACTGGTCGGCATCTAAGCAGCTCCAATCCATTGCAAACAACTTGACTCCTCCAAAGGCGAACGAAATCACAGCCACAAGTGGTCTTGCCGTACTCATCTTCTCGATGAGCTTCATTCTACTGTTTGTCTTGTGGGTTCTTGTAGCCACTATCCCATGTCAGGACCGATCCACGCAAGTTAATTTCACCATTCCCCGGCAATATTCGTGGAGCACGCCTCTGTCTTATCTTCATACCCGAATTGTGGATGAATCCAAGAAGAGGGACAGACGTAATTCAAGTGGATTGATGAGTGAAATATATCGGATAGAGAAATCCGTGCAGCAGATGACTGACATGGTTGATTCTGTTCAGTTCCCTCTGCCTGAGGAAGTTAAGAAAGAAGTTAGAGAGAATGTGGACGAGCTTTCTTCAATATGTGAGTCTTGCAAGACGGGATTGGATCCACTCGAGCGTAAGTTAAGGGAGACATTCCGGAAGGTTATGAGTTGCCGGATCGAGGGTCTTGAGTTCCTAGGAAAGGCTACCGAACATTAATCGAGAGAAAAAAAAAAAAAGAAAGAAGTTGCGGATTGTCAGGGCAACCGGAACAACTTGGTCAGGTCAGGTAGATTTTGTATTTACTGTCACATATATATACATTTATGTAAAAATTGCTGTTTTGTGTGTGGTGTTGTTGAGTGGAGTGGAGTGGAGTATATGAGCTTGGCCTTGGAACTACCTATCATCTATCGATTCCATTTATTCTTGATTGATTCTTTCTTTACTTGCCAATAATGATATGATATGATATGATGATATATGAGAATACATACATTACAGCATGATAGGTTTTGTGAAAGTTTTTACATTTCAGACATTAAAATGGTGTCATATATATATGTATTTTCAGGTGGAGTGGAGAGTGGAGAGTGGAGAGTGGAGTGGTTTCTTCTTGGTCCCTTTGTGAGTTACTAATAAATAAATAGTAATTCCTTACTGAGTTAGTTGTTGACAGTAAAGCTTGTGCTTGTTTGTTTGTTGATTAAATTGTTTGGCGTAAATGTATAGAAAGTGAGAAATTGTGATGTAGGCAGGCAGGCAGGGAGGCCATTGTCAAGTTAATGTTGTGCTTCTTCAAGGGTTTGATTCAGTGGTTAGGTTATATATGGAGTATTATTGTGTTAATATTATTATCATTATTATTATTATTATTATTATTATTATTTGTTGAGAAGAGAAGAGAAATTTGCTCATCAAGGCAAGGCAAGGCAACAGGGATAGTGGTTTGTTGGTTATTCTGTTTTGAGTGAGTGAGTGATTTGATGACTGATTGGGACTGGCTGGCTAACTGTTACTGTTAGTAGGTTTGTCTGGATGTGGATGTGTTTTCGATGTCTTTGCCTTTTTGGACTATTTTTTAATATTATTATATTTCACTGTTTTTTTTTTTTTATTATTATTTTATTTTATTTCAGAATACTATATCAAATTTATTAAGTATTGATTTCAAATGCCTACGTGCAAGCTTATTTCTATCATATTTTTCCATCTTTTTTTTTATATCTCCTTTCAATATAAAGTAGTTTATTTTTTATAACTTATATAATAATATCATCTTATTTAGTTAATATCATATAACTAATACACATTAGAGCATTCTGACATTATCTCTAGTTAGTTATTTTTTTATATTTCTCATCCAACATTTAAATTACTTTCTTTATTATTTGCTATAGTAATCATATTCACACATTATTTTTATTATTTTATAGGATCTATACTAATTTATTTATTTCTATATATTTTTATTGCATAATATATATAATTTATTTATTTCTATTTCTATTTATTTTTATTGTCTAATAATATTTTTAAATAATTTTATTTTTTTAATAATACTTTTTCTATCATCTCAAAATGATCAAGATAATTATGAACATTATTAAGATATATACTCCTAATTTTTTTTTTTTAAAAAAAAAAAAAAAAAAGAAGACAAATTTATTTCTAAGGCCACTATTTCTTTAATCCAATCAAGGTTTATGACAAACCCTTTATTATTTTTTTAAAGAATAAAGTCATATAAAAATAAATTAAATCATGTTGAGATAATCAACAACCCATAAACCAATACAAGTGGTTAATGCTTAAATACAATAATTAAAAATTTATAAAACAAAAAACTTAAAGATCATCTTTGATATTCGTTGATACATACTATAAATTTGTCAATATTTTACAAGTGGAAACCAAAGTTACCCTTACATAGTCCTTATTTATAGCACAATATATAGTACATTCGTCCCTTAACAATCTATCCATTTTTTTATTTTGATCCGTTCCATAACAAAATATCAATTTCATTTTTTTTAAGTAAGTGTATCATCTGCCTAACATTACAAATATCCTTTCAATTTACAATATATTACATAATGTCATTACTTTTATATTATATAATACTAATAGGGGTAATTTAGTTTTTTTACCTTTATTTCTACTTTATTATAATACTAATATTTCTAAAACTCCGTAAAAAAATATATGATATATAGATATGGGACGGGGGGAGAATTAATCTTTTATCAAAACCAATAATTCACATTTTCAAGTGTTTAGAATCCAATATCTTTATCAAGGTCAATAATTCACAAATTTCAAACATTAGGTGTTCAATGACTTATCAAGCCTTTTTTTTTTTCTTATATGGAAATGGAAATATATATATATATATATATAATACATAGTTCTTATTTATAATATACTAACACTTATTTGGAATCAAATATTTCATCAAAGACTGTATCACAGATTTCAAATGTTTGAAATTCAATATTTTATCAAGACCAATAATTACGGATTTCAAAGGCTTGGAATCCAATGCCTTATCAAAGTCTTTTTTTGTGAAAATGAAAATAAAACTTACCTTTTTACAACGCATGCTTTCTATTTATAATAGAATATATATTTTAAATCTAATATTTTATCAAAGTCAATTTACGACTTCAAATATTTGGAATAAAATGTTTTATCGAAATTACTAATTCATTAATTTCAAATGTATATAATCCAATACTTTATTGAGTTTTTTTTTTTGTTCCTATAAAAATAGAAGAGTTAATTTTCACCACATGAATTTGTCTTCTAGAGAAAAATTTTAAATGTCTTCTTCAATATGTGAATTTTATATGGAATTTTCTCATTGTTGTTGTGGACCATTTTCATCTTTCTTCTTGATAGTTTCAATCAATATATCTTTAAGTGCTCCAAAAATATCATCAACATAAACCTAATTAGAATTTTGAGCATACGTGGAGGCGGCTCTCAAGAGAGAGCAACTGCTCAGACCCATAATTTATAGAGAGTCCATATTTTAAAATTTTACCCATTATTATTATTAATTTAATTAAATTTTTAACTTTTAGTTTATATATATATTATTTTTCATAATTATCCAATTTAATATTAAAATTAAAATTTAAACTCTAATTATATATTCTTTTATCTCTTCTTCATAAGTATGTTTCACCCGTCTTTCTAAATTCAATCTTCATCTACATGTTTCTATACATATTTCTACATCACATCCAGTGGCACTGTTCTCACTTTTCGAACCTTCGGAAATCCTATCTCTCATCTTCTTTTCTCAAATCGACATTGTCGAGACTGTAAGTTCAATCTCTTGTCCAATCGACGCCAATCAGCAATATTATTTTGAAAATATATTTTAATAATATATCTATAAGGCCAATTTAGTTTTGCTCAGGATCCCAAAACAAACAATCCGAAACGGCCTGTGTAGAGGTCAATGTAGATTGTAGAGTCTGATTTGGCCAATTTATTATCATATTCAAATTAATGTATAATATATATATATATATATATATTATCTCTTCACCGTATTTTTCAATGAATTGTTCATTATCAAATGAGAGGCAATACATAACCAACATCTAATAAAACTACCAAACAAACCTACGCTTCTCCAGTTATTTCCCTTCCCCATTTCAGGTCCTAATTCGTTCTATTTCATTATTTTAAATTCAAATCTATTTCATTAGTTGAAAAAAAATAAATAAATAAAATAAAAGAAAAAAAAAACTATTATTCTATTTCATTTTAAATATAACAAATCTTGAGTAAACAAACTACACACGAATCAACCACCTCATCAAAATATTGAAATCATGCCAAGATCTATCCAAATAATTGTTGTGAAAACAAAAAATGAAATATCAAATAATGAAGAAAAAAAAAAAATACTCTCTCCGATCCCAATACAATAATTTCAAAACAATAGTCTCATTTTTATAAATAACCATATCACTATAAAATTACCATTAGGCAAAAAAGTCTTTTAACTTATACTTTTTATCCACTGCCCATATAATATCAATATTCCTTAAATCTCGTGTCAAACACCGGACGGAGTAAAACAATTCAAGAACACCATCGTACTCAGATCTATCGCCAGCAATTCAAGTATGCACATTGATTAAAAAAATAAATTCATGACCAAATTCAATTTCACAAATTACCTTTGCTTGATCCATCTTGAAATTAAAGTAGATACCTCTTCCATACAAAGCAGCATCATATATGTGATTTCAAAATAAATTGACTTACAATGCTAACAATATAATGTAATTCTAAGGACATCATATTGTGTGATATAATACTCCCATCATTTAATTGAACATATAGACAACAATTCCATATTAAAAACTCTCTTCGTCCCACATAAAATGTCCACACTTTCTATTTGTCCGTCCCACATAATTTGTCATTTTCTTTTTCGAAAATATAGTTATACACTTTAATATATTTTAAAATTCATAATTTATAATTTTCTTAATTTTAATTAAACTATTTAGTTATCTTAATCTCAATCTATATTTATTTTTATTATACAACAATTATTTTTACTAATACACTTTTAATTACGTATTAATTATACTTTACTTAAATTCTCGTACTTACTCTAACATAAACAATTTACATGGGACGAAGGGAATAATCCATAACTTTACATTTTTACAAGGTATAAACAATATAGTTTAACACACTACAATAGTTAACAAAAGTGTAAATATCAGATGTCAGTAACTCGTAGCGAAGATTTTAGCAAAAGCATTTTATTGAATGCCATTTACAGTACTATGTTATATCACCAGACATATAATCATACTACACACTAAGCAAGAGTCTACAGTCAGGTTATTCATGGATTATCGTAAAAAATATCAACAAGATACATGTCCCCTCTTACCAACGAAGTAAAAAAAAGTAACAGATATTTCTGTATATGAGAAGTTGCATTTTAAGCTCTTCCACCCTTAAATGCATTTAAGAACCCATATTACCAAACAAATATTTACTAGCTCCATAACTTATTTTACCTAAGATTCGAATAATTATTTTTGAAATAAGAAACTAAGGCTTATACGCTTACAAGAATTTGTAAGGCTTTCACTTTCAGGGATATGTATCAAAAGACCTTGGTGCACACACATTCACATAAATCTTCTACACATGAAGGTAGATTATTGCAACTGAGTATGTTTAATTGTGTGTGCACGTGAAATAGGCCATTATCAGATCAACTAGGGCCATATGAAGCTGTCTATAGTCTTCAGTTGAATGTACTAACGTGCAATTAATCCATGAGAGATCAAAAATAGTACCTAATTAGGAGAGAGTTCTCGACCACGCTTTGCAGCAGCAACGACTGCATTCATCAGAATCCCACGGAAACCAGCCTTCTCCAGCTCGTGAATCCCTGCAATAGTTGTCCCACCAGGTGAAGCAACATCATCTTTCAGCTGGCCAGGATGCTTCCCAGAATTTACGGCCATTGTTGCAGCTCCAAGTACCTAGATAAGTTGAAGAATTGCATTATATGGGGAAAACATAAAAGGGTAAACTGCAAGTTACTCTTAAGTGCCGGCAGGGTGTGTACTGAATATGTCGTATTTTACTACGACCTAATTCGAAAACCTATCTTAGGAGGTTGTATAATCGTGTACAAAGGCACGTGCATAATATAACAAACAAAATGCTAGTGGTGGCGTACTGTTTGAGAAGCCAGGCCAAGTGCAAGTTCCCGAGGAAGACCAGCAGCCACACCTCCGTCAGCTAAAGCTTCTACTGCTAAATATATGTATGCTGGCCCGCTACCACTGAATACCATGAAAAGGGTCATTTTGAGAGAAGCATTCTTGAACTGGAATCAACAATTTAAATATATTCGATGTTGGCCATCTGCTATACATGTGTAAAAGGAAAATAGCTTATTGGACTATCAGACAGGCAGTAAACCTTAGGCCAGTAATAGCATCAAACAATTTCTCATCAGCTGTCCAAACTTTGCCAATTGCACCAAATATCGATGCAATCAATTCACCATCTTCCTTAGTTGCACCAGTGCCCAGGCTGATAACTGCGCAGAGATTAGGAGAAGCACGCATTTACACAGTACAATAGGAGAAGAAAAATAAAATACTTGATCATAGTCAATACAGCGCAAACTTATTCCTAAGAATCTAGTGATAAAACTGGAAATTTCAGGCACTCATCGATCAGTTTGCGAGCAATTTCAGGGCTACAACCCTATTCATATATATAGAAAAGAATAAAGCGTGTCAGTAGCATACAGCAGAGATAATTTAGTCTCGTGTATATGCATGAGGGTGTGTCTTTTGCATCAAAGCATCCAAATTCCAACAGCATATGTTCCATGTATTCTTAGTTGAAGTATTAAGAACTTGATCATGTGAAGGTTGTCTTTATAGTACAAACAATTATATGAACTTGTGATTATTGAACAAGCAAAGAACAATGATGCATAATAAGAAGCTCCCTTCAACAGTGTTGCTAGATTTTGAAATATATAAAAGAAAACAACATATAGCTTTTTATAGAGATATTGGTATACCAGATGCAGCTGTACCAACAGCAGCAGGGGTATTTGGCATTACCCTTATAAACCGGTCTTGACCCGCCCAAGCCTGGATGAATACCATATCAACAACACGGTAAAACAAACAAGGGAGCAGCGAGAATAAAGAATGCCAATGCTAAGTAATTTTAGCATCCAATATTGAATGAAAATATCACACGAGATGCATCCAATTATTAAACATATTGTATTCTCTTGTAATATTTCTGTCCATCTCTGTCAATCTTAACGGTCCCAAAAATGATAGGACAGACTAATAAAACTTGGGGCATATTAACCATCTTTATGTTATTCAGTCAAACTTAAGTTTTCCATACATATTACAGGACCAAAATAAAAATTGACATTCTTGTCTGATTAAAAATATAAATTTTCCATTCAAAGTTGAGGACAAAGATAAACAAGACTCAGACTCATGTAATTATATAATCTTAGAGGTAATGAGAAACAAGAAAAGGAAAAACATGCAGAAAGATGTGATAAAATAAAGCTTAGCCATACATATATAGACAAACCTCACCAGCTACTCATACATGTAAGGCAGTAAGTTAAAGAAAGGTTTCCTTAACCTACCTGCAAATCTTTTAACTTGACTCCAGCTACAACAGAAACCAATAGCTTCTTCTCTGAGAGGAATGGCTGCAACTGCTCCACAACCCCTTTGACTACACATCCAAAGAGCATCATGGAGATAGCAGGGTTAGCATTCTGAAAACAATGTACTGTTATACAAAATAAAATAGATGAACTGGAAGAAACTAGAGTATGCTGAATATATTTATGCATATTGCTCAATATTAAGATAACTATTTAGTCACAACATTTGATTAATCATTTCACACCTTATGAAATTTTTTTTTTCCTTTACAATGAGAACATTGAACTAACAGAAACACTAGGTATCAACTAGAATAATAAGGATTGAGTACATAAGGCCCACTTTGTGCCCAGTAATATTTTCTAGCTTATGCATTCCTTTAAAAACTATTAAGAGTAAACTATAAATTAATCCCTTGTGAATACAACTTAATTCCTAGTGAATAAAAAAGTAAATAAATAATTAAATCTCAAGGGCTTCTAAAAGTAGTGTGATTCATCCTCATAGGGGATTTTTTTTCTGTAGTTCTCTTTAAGATTTACAGAACACAAAGGGTTGTTTGCCATTTATTTTCAGATAACCATCATCTTTTACGTAGAAAAATTATTCCCAATTTGCCTAAAAAAATTAAATCTTATCATGAGCCAGAGATAAAGAAAACTTCCAAGGGCTCACTTTTTTTAAGTAATGGGGAAGAGGAGTAGAGGACCGAAACATGCCCACTGAAAAATTCTATTGAGACAAGATGGGCCGTCAAGAATGTAGGGGAGATGGGAAGTTGGTCAAATCTAGTATGAAAAGATAGATGAAATGCAAAAAGCAAACAGGAGACAAATGCTTGAGAGTAATCTCTGCTTCTATTGATCATATGAGAATATTGCACATATAAGATTTTCTCACACACAAGTCAAGAATGTGATTTTGGAACATAATTCCGAAGTTTAAAATGTGAATGCACGGATAAAGGAACAACCAAAGAGATGCGAAGAGACAATGAAAGAACTTTTTATTTCATAGTTTTTCTCAAATATTATGAGGACAGCCCAATAAGGAACTTCCCGCCAAAAAATAGTGTATGCAGGGACTTACCAACTTGAGGTTTCACAGAGAATACAACCACATCACTATCTTGGACGACCTGCCTTTGAGACACAACCAACAAACAACAGGAAATTCTAGTCATGATAAGATGTCAAACCAAGCAAATGATCATATATATTCAAATACATATACACATATATATATATAGAGAGAGAGAGAGCCTCCTTATCAGGAGAACAAGATCACATAAATCACGAAACTCGAAGTACATCAAGTAGCACCGGACTCCAATTATTCAAGTGGACAAGAAAAAAGATCAACCAAATCCATCACATTAGTTTGAGAACGAAAAAAAAAATATAGTGTTAAACAGATTTACTCTTTACATCAAACTCATACCAAATATAGAGGGTTTGCTACATCATCCAATCAAAATCAACAAGAAGAGACGTGATAACAAAATTAGGTTTACAAAAATATCATATTTGAGGAATACCAACATTGATAGTAAAAACACAAATGCCGGAATTTTCAGGTTAGTGTCCAGAGTGCAAGGACCAATAACAGAAATCAGAATCACCAAAAAAAAAAAAAAAAAAACTAATGTTAAAACTACGGATCCTAACTAAGCACTCAAGTACACATGAACACAACATATATATACAAAAAAATACACACACATACAAAATTAAATCGCACACTCAAGCTAATCCAGGGGTAGAGATTAGAGGACCTGATGGTTGTCAGCAAGCACATTGACACCAAGTGATTCAAAGGCAGTGCGCCTAGCTTTGCCACTGTGTGCGGTTCGAATCTGAGAAGCAGGCATCAACCCTGACTTAATCACACCTCGTGCAATGCTCTCAGCCATTTTTCCAGCTCCGATAAAGCCAAGATTGATGCAGTCACTTGATAACGAAATGATGTTCGACATCTTCTGTTAAAATCACATCAGCGTTCACAATAAGAATGGACTTATAAATTGAAAGCAGGCATAGAGGTGTATGAGAAATCAAATAAGCAATCCCAAGCAAGGGCGGACATGCCGTACTCGTAGGCTGTGTTTCTTTAATACGCCCAAATGAGTTTGTTACTGTTCAACTACTGTGGAAGAAATTAGAGCTTGAGCCCACCCCTACCGATCGGAACAAGGCGTAGTGCAGTAGAAAAACAAAATTAATAATAAAAAATAAATGAATAAATAAATAATAAAAAGACAGGGAAGGTAGAGACGTCGAAAAAAGCCAGGGCAAGTAAGGCGAAGAGGAGAGCAACCGTTGGACGAGGAAGACGACTACGACCGAAGACAGAGGAAATCAGAGGTAGGGAAAATGAAGACGGCGACAAAAATAGAATCAGGTCAGAGGAAGATGAAGACACATACCCCGGTGTGAGAGGAAGATGACGGTGTAGGAGGCGTAAACGGATGAGGAAAACGACGGCGAAGCTGCACAATCCTTCAAATCAACACTCGTTCCTAGAAGATGGGATGGAGACGAAGGCGATGAGGTGAAGCTGAAGAAGAGGTCGCGGCGGCAGAGGAAAGAGTGAAACAAACAGAAAAATAAAATAAATAAATAAAAGAAGCGCACCTGAGAGTCGCCGGCGGCAGCCGCAGCGGGGCGAAGAACGAAGGAAGATGGAAGAAGAAACGGTTTAGGGCCAAAAGATGTACGTTTTTTCTTAATATAGTACTATTTATAATTCAAATTATACACTTACATCTGAACGGTACAAAGATTCCAGACAGATCCTGTTATTTTTTTAAAAAAATAATAAAATAAAAAATATATTTCTCTTAAAAAAAAAAATAATGTATATTACATATATTTATTATTTTTATATTACTTATATAATTTTTATAGCTCATATAAAAAACATATTTTTTTTAAATTTTTATTTTTAAATTGTAAAAAAACGAAATCAATTGTAAACATGGTGTAAGAGCTTCTATAACTAGGCTATTGTATGTGATCTCACTACACGTCTATTATTTTACTGTTTTAATTTGTGTGTTTATATCATATTTTAAGGTATTATTTTTAAATTTATGTTCACGATTGATGACTCCACGTATTTTTTACAAATTTTCTATTTTAATCCAAAACTAATATTATTAATTCAAAAAATCCAATTTTGCTTCTAAAAAAATACATACAGATAATATTAAAATATTATTTTTTAATCTTTCTATCCAAAAAATTTAAATATAAATTTAGACTGAGAGAATTTTTTTTTAAAAAATTGTCTTCTTCTTAATCAATACTCTTTTTAATATTTAAAAATCTATTTTACAGTTTATTAAATTCCAAAATTACACTAATGGCTTGTTCAATATTTTTTTTAGTGATATGATTTTTATAAATATCATCAAAAATATACAATATATGCATATTAACTCAATATATATGCTAATTTGGATTGACTTTTAGTATAAGTAAAAAAAAAAATTGAATGTAAAAACTGTTTCTTTGGGAAACAAATTGTAGCTTTTAAAATAAACAAAAATATTTTTTAGTTCAAATTATTATTTTATCCATAGTAAAAAAATAATAATAAAAATAATATTATAATATAATATAAAATTAATATATTTATATATATACATATTATATTTTAATAAAAAAAATTATAGTATTAATTTAATTTATATATTATTATTGAATTAAAATTTAAAATTATAATTAAGATACCAAATTTAAATAGGAATATATAGTTTTTTTAATTATACTAAAATTATTAAAAATAATTTATAAAATTTTAAAATAAAATTTAAAATACAAATAATCCAATATTAAATTGTAATTTTATTTTTAATTTATATATCATCCTTAATTTCAAATTTTAAAAATATTTTTTTTATACTATAACTAAAATCTCCAAATATAATCAATAAAATTTTAAAATAAATTATAAACTTTTTTTAGAAAAATACAATTTTATTTCTTTTGATTAATTTTAACAGTTTAAAATCACTTTCAACTTTATTATATTCGAACAATTTTTCTTTTAATAGAAAATTGCTTTGATAATATTTCATCCAAATAGAAAACTTTTTACTAATACTTATTCATTCACAAAAAATTAATATTTGAACATATAATATATTATCAAAAAAGTTCTCCCTACCTAACAAAATACATCCAAAAATATAAAGATATTTGAATAGGAGAAAATATTTGCTTCCTCCTAATGACTCGGCTTTCATAGGGCTGCATAGAGCTGTTAAACGAACCGAGCCGTTCATGAACTCGGCTCGGTTCGGCTCGATTCGGCTCAGTTAAAGCTCATTCGCGAACGTTAACGAGCCGAGCCGAACAACATAAATAGGCTCGTTTGGTTAATGAACGAGCCCGAACTTTGTTCGCTAACGTTCGCGAACGTTCGTTTAAATAATATATTTATTATAAATATTATATATACATATAAAATTATAATTTATAAATAAATAAAATATTAATCTAAAATATATAAATAAAATAATTTTAAATTTTCTTTATAATTTATATATAAATTTAAAAAAATAAGACAAACGAGCTCGAACGAACTTGAACGAGCTTAATCGAGCCTAAACGAGCCGAACACGAACACGAGCTCAAACAACAAAAATTCCTAACGAACGAGCTCGAAAGCTTAACGAACAAGCCCTTTGCGAACGTTAACGAACACTTAAAATTTGGTTTGGCTCGGGTCGACTCGGCTCGGCTCAGATCATTAACAACTCTAGGGCCGCACAAGTCCGCATGCAGTAGCTCCAACACGGTTGTAGCACGCCTGGCTTTTCCCACTAGAAAGGCTTTCTTGGCTTGCTTGCCTAGAACACATCCCTTGCACATTTGTTTCAAAGGCACTATAGATGGTAGATTTACAACCATTTTTTTTTATTTTAATAGATGCAGGCCATTGTAATTTAGATGACCATATCGTAAGTGCCACAATTCACTTTCTTCCAAAGTCTTGTTTAATAAAACTATATTGGAGGAAAAATCAAGAGGAAACATCCTATTGGTTTCCATATAAGCACATGCTGAAACTGCATCAGTACCTTTGCTTTTAATTATGCATTTGACGTCCTTGAATTCAACCGAATACCCAGATTCTATCAATTGCCCAACACTTAACAAATTGTGAGCCAAGCCTGGAGCATAATGAACATCCTTTGTAAACTTTTTTTTGTTGTTCATGAAAACTACAACAGTTCCTTGACCTTCGATAGGGAGTTACGCCTAATTGAACATGAGATCTCATTGACTCATCAAGAACCAGAAACTTCGATTTATCCCCTGTGATATGATGAGAACAACCGTTGTCCACAAACCAAACATTACTTGCAGCTACCTCAATCTTTGTCACGGTCATGAACAGAAAATCCTCATGCTCTTCTTCTTCTGCATATTTCGCTTCTTCTGGTTTTGACCAACAAAATTTATCAGTGTTTCCATATTTATTGCAGTATGAATAATGCAGAGACGAATTTCGCCCATGACCTCTGCCCCGGCCTCGAAATCCACCTTTTGGCCCGGCCTTGTTGACTCGAGACATCATTCTCCCATTTCATCTGAAAAACGTTCTCTTATTCTTTTGTGGTACTTCTATTGATTCGAGTTTCATGAGATTGTAAAGAACCCATGAACTCATCAAAAGAAAACTTAGAGAGATCCTTGGACTCCTCAATTGCAGCCACAACATGGTCAAATTTAGGGGGTAAGCTTCTGAGAACTTTAGCAACAACTGTTTCATCCGCAATCTGTTCACCATATGCTTTCATTTGACTAACAATGGCTGAGACCCTTCCCAAATAATCTTGTACAGACTCACTGCCTTTCATACAAGACGTCTCAAAGTCTCTACGAAGTGACTGTAGTTTAACAGTTATTACCTTAGTCAATCCCTGGTATTCAGTCTTCAAGATTGTCCATGCTTGGTAGTGGTGGCTGCAGTAATCCTTGAGAAGATTGACTCATCCATTGCTTGTTGAATGAAGAAAAATGCCTTAGCATCACGCTTCTGATTTTCCTTTTGAGGAGTTTCATCATTGCTCGTTTCTGAAACTCCAGTTTCAACGATGTCCCACAGATCTTGCGATCGAAATAGTGTCTTCATTCTAATGCTCCAAAATTCATATGAATATCCCTTGAAGATGGGTATTTGTGGTTGGGACATGCTAATAGAACTGAAATTTGTAGCCATTGCGAAATGAAACGAGAAAACAGAAAAAGATGAATAGAAAGTTTAGGTCAAAGAACCTGACTCTGATACCACTTTTGTTGGAGAATATAATCGATCTAAACACCTTCAAGGAAAAGAGAACGATAACTATGCAAGTTAATTATCTTATTGAATCACAAAGGAGAGAAAATGAACTGAAAAAGAAGGAAATAACTTAACTACTGCAGAATATCAGGTTGACTTAATAACCACCAAATTTGAATGAGTCTTTACTTCCAACAGATCTTTCTCGGATATTCACCGGCAAAAGGGATAAATGAATTTTGGCTCAGCCTATGGTGCGAAAATGGCCCTAAGTAACCATCCGGTCGGCTCTACACGTTAAACCTCGACACCACTGGAATAAGCTTCTACTATCATCAAAAACTCATTGGAATTCCTATCGGCTTCTCACTCTCAGAACCTCACTGAAAATCTCATTGAAAGACCGCTCTTTTCTCTTCGATCGATAGTTTTCTCCCGAAACCCTCTCTATCTCGGTTTCACTCTAAAACCCACTAATTAAAAAAAGTTCATCTCAAATTCACAGACTTAATTTTAAGTTTTAACCCGCGAAATTAAACTATTATACGATTTCATCCTCGTAACAAACTCTAATTTAATCACTAAAAATGCTCCATCATTATAATAAAATATTAGAAAATTAATTAAAAATTAAAAATTAAAATATCATTGATATTCAAATAATTAAAATTTAATTCAATTAAAATGATTAATTTATATTTTTAAAATATAAATATATACCAATAATATTGTATTAGCATTTCTTAATAAATTGAGTCTTTTAATTCATTTTATTTTAAAATTTTTATATTATGACACCAATATTTTTTTATTCTAGAACAGTTATTTTAATATTTATATATTATGACACCAATATTTTTTATTTTTTTTTTCAGAACAGTTATTGTATGGAATAATACTATAAACTAAGGGTTTGTTCGTTTGAAGAATTTTACAAAAATTCTACTATTCATCCAAAATTTTTCCCCCAAAAATATCAAATCAAACATATATTTTTTATTTTTTTATATTATACTAAAAATTAATTTTACATTCAAAACATCACATCAACGCCTACTTATATGACATCATACAACTATTCAAATTCAAAATTTTTACTATTCAAATTCTAACTCAAAATCCAAACTCCAAACACACCCTAAGTAGCGTCAATTAATTTTTTATTATAACTTAAAAATACACGTGTTTGTTTTATTATATAATTTGAAGAGTATTTTTTTTTTTTTTAATGTTGTTATAAGAAATTATATAAAGTAATAAATACGTATAATATATTAATATTTAAAAAAAAAATATTTATTTTTTTTTAAGACAAATTAAAAAAAATATATATATATTTGATAGACAACGGGGTGTGTTTGTTTGAGAATTTGGATTTGTTTGTTTGAGAATTTGGATTTTGTGTTGAGATTTGAATAGTAAAAATTTTGAATTTGAATAGTTGTATGATGTGATATAAATATATATCGATGTAACGATTTGAATGTAAAATTAATTTTTAGTATAAAATGAAAAATAAAAAATAGATGTTTAATTTCATATTTTTTTTTTAAAAAAAAAAGGATAAATAGTGTTTTTAAAATCTAATCCTCCAAACAAACACTCCCCAAAAGTATATTATATTCATTTATAACAAATAAACGATCTAATATGAAAGTATATATTTATATTATACCCTTTTTGTCCTACAATAATTAACATATTTTTTATTTTTTATTTTTCTTTATTTCATAACTATTGATATCTTTTTTTTATTTGAGTAAAATTTGTTAAATTAAAATATACTTAATAAAGTATAAATCTTAGGGTGTGTTTGGTTTGGGGTTTGGATTTTGAGTTGGGATTTAAATGGTAAAAATTTTGAATTTGAATAGTTATATGATGTGATATAAATATGTATTGATACGATGTTTTAAATGTAAAAATAATTTTTAGTAGAATATAAAAAATAAAAATAGGTGGTTGATTTGATATTTTTGAAGAAAAAAATAGAATAAATAGTAAATTTAAAATCCAATCTCCAAACAAACACACCCTTGATAAATTAAATATATTTTAAAATAATAATTTTATAAATATATTAATAAATAAATTTGTAAAAAATAAAATTATATCTTACCTATGTCAATTCTAAAAAAATAAAAATAAATTAGGCCGTATGGACTTCTTGGAACGCCCAAGTTTGGTCCAGTCCCAGTCAATCGTATAAATTAATATATATAAAGACTATTATACTCCTTAATATTTATGATATTAAGTATTATTATTTGATGACATTTGTGTAATATTATATAAAAGGTAGGATAAGATACATTTATTATAAAAAAAAAATATAAATATATTTGCTATCGATATACTAAAATGACAAAATAGATAAATTGACGGTGGACTTGCCGGTAGACGAAGTGAGTAAAAAAATTTGAATAAGACAAGATTGATATTGAATATTTAAACCCTAACCCACACACACTAAACGGCCGCCGCCTCGTACCCGTCCTTTTCTATTTATTCTTCTCTTAACCCTTTACATAGTTCTTTCGTCATGCTGCTGCAGCCGCCGGTGACTTAGCCTTCAGGTGTGCTTCATTTATTTTCCTTTCTCCTGCATTCCCCAATTCCTCTTCCTCTCTCGGCCGTGTCCTCGTCCGTTTGCCATCATCTTCGCCGTCGTTGATTTGCTGATTCTAGTGCATCTATTTGATTTTCTGCATTATCAGCTTTGATGCTAGCATTTTGTATTTGTTTTGCAATTGATGTGGTTTGCGAGCATGTAAAAGAAAAGCTTGATTTAGATACCTTCATCTGGAGAATAATCCTCCCGATTTTTTAGAAATACATGTGATATGTTTAGTTTCGATTTGATTGATTATCTGATATTATTTTGTACGGAAAATTATTTGCATCCACGTATGTGCTGTGTTGAATAGTGCATATGGATAAGTGATTTGTGTATGCCTGCATTTGTTCTTCAGGGTGAAGGGGGCAAAAGATGTCACACAGGAAGTTTGAGCACCCCAGGCACGGGTCTCTCGGTTTCCTCCCGAGGAAGCGAGCCGCACGTCACCGGGGAAAGGGTAACATAACACTCTCATCATTGATCAGAAAAAAAGGAAAAAAAAAAAAAAACTCCCATCATAGACAATTTGGATGCCAATTTAGGGTTCCGTATTGTGTTAGTAGTCAATGAAAGCAATCAATGTTAATTCTTTTTTTTTTTTTTTTAATTACTCTTTCGTACAAAGTTGCCTGTGAGGTTTGTGTCCCAAAGAACTTTATGCTAAATATTTTTGGAGAGAATTTCATATAACGATCTCAAATATCATTGAAAATTCTAAGTTAAGTGATTGTGCCGGCCTATGCTAATGATAATTATATTTAATTTCTCTCTACCAAAAACAAACATTTTTAATGTAAATTAGGCTTGGAATTTGATGATTTAAATGGAAAATAGGTAGTGTATGTGATGATTTTCTGTTAAACAAAAACTTTATTATAAATTGCACACTGCTTAAGCAACATTGAACACAACCAAAGTACCAAACAAAAAAAAAAAAGGTACCAAACACCCCAATTTCAAATATTTTGTATAAAAAATTTCCGATTGGGTAGGGCTCCTGGCATTCACCCCTAGGTAATTTATACCAATGCATTGATCGATGATCTGGATTGATTCACATTAGAATGCAGATATCTGTATTATCTATTGTTTCACTGTATTTTGTGTATTTTCCTTGCCTTGCTCATACTGTATTTCTTGTAGCTAAATATCATTGATTGAATATTGCAGTGAAAGCTTTCCCAAAGGATGACCCAACCAAATCCTGCAAGCTAACAGCCTTCTTGGGTTATAAGGCCGGGATGACCCACATTGTCAGAGATGTGGAAAAACCTGGATCAAGTAAACTCTTTTTGCCCTTTCTTTGTCTTTCCTGTTTAGTTTCATCATAGTGTAGTAGTTATTTATAGTTTTATACATTTTCTCACATCACTGGTTAAGTATTCTTTCAAAGACCGTTGAAGTATAAAACATAAATGGCTGAACTTGATCTCCTTGTAAGTTTTTAGTCTCTTTATAATGCATGTTTCTAATTCTAGTTTTTTAATCGTTTAAGAATAAAATAAAATTAGTTAATGATTTATATCCAATTATTTCAATCTCAGTTGTTGAAATCACTAGCAATTTTATTTTAGCTCGATTGTCTATCTACTACCTTGCCCTTGATGAAATAGGTGTTTTCTTAGCCATCCATTTATGGCTTGATTCTATCTGCAAATGTGTATTTCTTTTGTTTGCACAATGCAATGTGCAGTTTTTCACTGGGGAAATAACTATTTCAGAACTTCATAAGAAGGAAACCTGTGAGGCTGTCACTATAATTGAAACACCCCCAATGGTTGTCGTGGGAGTGGTTGGGTATGTGAAGACACCTCGCGGTCTTCGCTGCCTCAACACAATTTGGGCTCAACATCTAAGTGAGGAGGTCAGGAGGCGATTTTATAAGAATTGGTGCAAGTCCAAGAAGAAAGCCTTTGTTAAGTACTCGAAGAACTTGGAGACAGACGAGGGGAAGAAGGATATCCATGCCCAGCTCGAGAAACTAAAAAAATATGCATCTGTTATCCGTGTGTTGACTCATACTCAGGTATTGTTCTAACTGTTTATCTTTATTCCATATCTATGGTTTTACCCTGTCATTATCCCTCTCGATTACGAATGTGGACCGATGCACACAAACTGTGAAACTAGATTTAGCATTATCAAGTAATATTATACTGATGGGATGGTTTCTATTATTTCGGATTAGGAAGATGAAGGGGCTCAAACAAAAGAAGGCACATTTGATGGAGATACAAGTGAATGGAGGAACCATTGCCCGAAAGGTCGATTTTGCTTATGGCTTCTTTGAAAAGCAGGTCCCAATCGATGCTGTATTCCAAAAGGATGAGATGATCGACATCATTGGTGTCACAAAGGGTAAAGGCTATGAAGGTGTGGTGACACGATGGGGTGTCACCCGCCTCCCTCGCAAAACCCACAGGGGTCTTCGCAAGGTGGCTTGTATTGGTGCTTGGCATCCAGCCAGAGTCTCCTTCACTGTTGCCAGGGCTGGTCAGAACGGGTACCATCATCGAACTGAAATGAACAAAAAGGTCTACAAAGTTGGGAAGGCAGGGAAGGAAGAGCACCTAGCCCTAACCGATTTTGACAGGACTGAAAAGGATATTACACCCATGGGTGGATTCCCCCACTACGGCGTGGTAAAGGATGATTACCTAATGATTAAGGGCTGCTGTGTCGGACCGAAGAAGAGAGTTGTGACACTTGACAGTCTCTGCTGAACCAGACTTGTCGGGTTGCTCTCGAGGAGATCAAGCTTAAGTTTATTGATACCTCGTCTAAGTTTGGACATGGACGCTTCCAGACAACCCAGGAGAAGCACAAGTTTTATGGCCGAGTCAAGGCGTAAAGGTATTATTTATCTGAAATCATTTTTGACCTAACATTCTTGGATTTTTGTTTGGAAATCATTCTGAAACATTCTTGACTTGTGTAGGTTATGATTACGCATGTGATTCCATTTAATGTTACACCTATTTTCCTGACTTGTGTAGGTTAGTTTCTGAAGTTTGGATGAAGCCAACCTAACCAAGTAATATATGATAAAGTATCAAACTGAAAATGACTTGAGAGTCAAAATCTAAAAGAGAAGTGGGAATATGGTTTTAAGTGTTGTTAAATAGCACTAGTAAAAGTAAAATTTAACAAACTATGTATGGTTAGGGGCAGAGAAGAGTGCAAAAATGCAGCCAGCTAGGCAATGTAAAGAATAATGTTACAAAGAAAATAATCAATATCAATATGCATGTAATGAAATGTAATGTAAGTAATGATCTCACCTTCCCTTGCAGAGATTGAGATTGAGATTGAGATTGAGATGGAAAACTCACTGAGTTTTGTCTGTCTAACTGCCTTTGCTTTAGTTTTCCTTTCCAACCCACGTTGGTAATTTACTTTTGCAATATTTATATAATAATAATAATATTTGTGTAAAGATATATAGATAGAGCAAAAGTGTGTTAGATGACTGATGATGATGAGGAGAGTAGAGAGAGAGAGAGAGAGAGTTCAGACAGCAAGGCCATCGAATCCGCACTGTTTGTAAATTAGGCTTTGCTTTCTGGGACTGATCCCTATAGTGCAATCCACTGATACCTGCCCAAGTTCCAACTCTATAGTAATAATAATAATAATAATAAATCTTTCCAACTAATAAAAAAGCATTACACATTTGTTCACACGCACACTGAAATTGATGCACACGCACTTCATCTTCACATGTAATGAATAAAGCTAATCATAATAATAATAATAATAATAATAATGTAATAGACTCTAACAACTAATTAGCCAGCTCTATGATCTTTCTTAATTGCCACTCGTCTTTCTTTCTTTCTTCCCATGTAATATTACTAAGTAAGAAAACAAGGAAATTTTCCAACTATATACTTACATTTATTTGTTTTGTTTTGTTTCAACTTTCCTTTCTTTTCATTTCAATCTTGGTCTCATTCCTCCATTTCCTACCTCTTAACTTCTCTAAATCAAACACACATATACAGAAAAGCAACTCACGACAGCTGTTCCAAACGTTCATTTTATGTATAGTCTACAAGACTCTCCCAAGTCTAAGAACACCTCTGAGGACACAGACACACCCAATCATGTTAATATTACACTCCCAAGCCAAAGGTGCTGTGCACCACAGATCGAGGTTGTTGTCCAAAACTCGACTCAAACATATAAGAACAAAATAAGAAATTTATTTATGTTAAAAGGGCCAAAGTAGTCTATAACCAGATATATCAGTGTTTACGAATGCTTGACAATCATGTTATCTGCGTCGAGTTTGAACAAGAAATGTACAATTCTTTTAGACTGTAATTTAGCGAAAGAGTTGGATATAGACTAGAGCGATCCACAAGTTGAATCTAAAAATCCTCATCGAATTTTCTGCTACATAGGATAAGCAAAACTATAGATTCGTGTATTCTTGGCCCTCGAATAGGATTGCTAGTGAGTTTCTCTAATCCCATCCAATGGCAAACAAGCCATAACAAAGTCCACACTCCAGTTGAAATAGTGATAAAAAAAAATAAAAAGAAGTTATCAGATTCGGGCATTGAATTTCATAAGAGAACCATTGGTAAATCCGAATAATACTCCAAAGATAGAAAAGTATGCAATAAGGCGGATACTCATCGAATAAGCTTGAAGTGAAACAGACGAAAAAATTTGTTTTTAACTAAAACTTGTTATGCAAAATTTCCATTCAAGCTCAAGTTCAAGTTATTTTACCAAACTAAATTGAGTCGAGTCAAATTTGTAAATAAATAGCTCACTAGGTTCAACATCTTCCATTCAATTTACACACTTCTTACATATAGCAAGAAAGATCTCTAATTCCAATTTCCAACTAAAATGAACACAAAAGCAAAAAGAGGAAGTGACCAAACATAGGGAAAAAAAGAAGGAAAAGGGAATTGGAATAGAAATTCCCTCATCCTAACAAACAATCTCAACTGGCCAAAAATCATTTCTACCCACAAAGAAAAAGGTATATTCATATTCATTCTTAGGCTAAGACAATAGAAGGGGAATACCTACGAAGAGACAACCTAACTGGTAATATTTACAGTCAAGAAAGCTTCATTAGTTGTCGTGATGGCGACACCAACCCAAATTCTCTCTCTCTCTCTTTCTTTTTCACTTTAACTGATAAAAGAAAGTATCCTATGGAAGCTTGAGCTTCTTCATTCTCAATTAATGGTCACTAGGAAATTCTATTGCTTAAGAAATACTGCAGCTAGTTTTAACTAAACTAGGTGTTGAAACGTGACTTGAATTTAGCGGTCTACCCGACCCTAAACCAAAGCGAAAGGGCTGTTTCAATTGGCAGGGTTCCTTTTGGGCTTATCCTAATTAATAACAAATGGACTTAGGGTTTAGGGTGTTTTGGGGTGCTTATAAATAGACAACTATGGTTCTTAGTCGGATGACATATTGTAAATCTCTGAATCAGTATAATAAAATCTCTCCGGTTCCTGCCCGTGGACGTAGGTTGACACACCGTCACCGAACCACGTAAAACCTCTGTGTTCTTTATTTGCTTTCTTTCTCGTTTTCTCATAACAAGTGGTATCAGAGCCATATCCCATTGATTGAAAATGTCCTCGTATAAATTTGATCTGGAGAAGTTTAATGGGTCGAATGACTTCACGCTCTGGAAGGTCAAGATGAGGGCACTTCTGGTTCAACAAGGATGTGCGGCTGCGTTGGAGGGAGAAGACAAGTTTCCTAAAGACACGAAGGAGGAGGTAAATAAGGAGATTTTGGCAAGGGCTCATTCCGCGATCTTGCTGTCAGTTACTGATGAGGTGTTACGGGAGGTTGTAGATCAGACAACGGCTTTTGGGTTATGGAATAAACTGTGTGAGAAGTACCAAAACAACTCCCTCACGAACAGGCTATATCAGAAGCAACGTCTTTACACCCTCCGGATGTCCGAAAGTACTCAGGTAAAGGATCATCTTGATACCTTTAACCGTATCATTCTTGATCTTCAAGGAGTTGAGGTTAAAGTAGATGATGAAGACCAAGCCCTAATTTTATTGTGTTCACTACCTGGTTCATATGAGAATTTTGTAGATACTATGCTATATGGTAGAACTACAATTTCTGTTAATGATGTGAAAGATGCCCTTATGTCCAAAGAATTGAAAAGAAAGGTTTCTCTGGAAGAGGGTTCTGGTTCAGGTCTGTTTGCAGGTAGGGGAAGACCACATGAGAGGGGTAACGGGAATGGGAGGTCGCGTTCAAAATCAAAATCCTCTAGCAAAGTTAAGTGTTATCTTTGCAAGGAGAAAGGGCACGTTAAAAGGGATTGTCCACAAAAGAAGGGAAATACAAAAGTTGATTCTAGTAACAGTGGCAGCAGTGCTGCTGTGGTACAAGACAGTTCTGATGATGGGGACTTTGGTGAAGTTCTGACAGCGTGTAGTGCTAGTACTGCTGATTCCTGGATTATGGATACCGGTGCTTCTCACCATATGACGTTCTCTCGTGATCTACTCACTTCTTTTAAGGAGTGGAATGGAACGGTGAAGTTAGGTGATGATGGGGTTCTAGCCATAAAAGGGAGCGGGGTAGTGCAGATAAAATTGCATGACGGTACTGTCAGGAAATTTGACTGTTGGTATGTTCCTGAACTCAGAAAGAATTTGATTTCTCTTGGGACCTTAGCCAAGAATGGTTTAAAATATCATGGTGAAGGTGAGTGGGTGAAAGTCCTGAAAGGTGCGCTGGTAATGATGAAGGGAAAACTGCAGCATGGAATTTATTTTCTACAGGGCAGTTCAGTGATGGGAACGGCGGCGGTATCTCAGTCCTTGGATAAACATGATGACAGGACAAATTTGTGGCACCGGCGATTAGGTCACATGAGTGAGCTAGGGTTGTCTGTGTTGAGCAAGCAGGGTTTATTTGGTGGGGATGTGATAGGTAAAATTCAATTCTGTGAGGCTTGTGTAAAAGGGAAGCAACGCAGGGTGAGGTTTAGTACCGGTCATCACACTTCAAAAGAAATTCTGGAGTATGTTCATTCAGATCTATGGGGTCCCTCTCCGGTGAAATCGCAGGGCGGGTGTTCTTACTTTGTCACTTTCATAGATGATTATTCGAGAAAGGTCTGGTTGTACTTTCTAAAGACTAAAGATGAGGTGTTTGGGAAGTTCAAGGAGTGGAAGACCATGGTTGAAAAACGGACGGGTAAACAGGTCAAGACTCTAAGAACTGATAATGGGTTGGAGTTCTGCAACGCTCCATTTGATGATTTCTGCAAGAAAGAAGGTATAGTGAGGCACCGCACTGTACGACACACACCACAGCAAAATGGAGTTGCAGAGCGAATGAATCAAACCCTCATGGCGCGTGCTAGGTGTATGCGCATATTTGCTGGCTTGTCTAAGCAATTCTGGGCTGAAGCAGTAAACACTGCTAGCTATCTGGTTAATAGATCTCCATCAACTGCAATTGACTTAAAGACTCCTCAAGAGGTATGGTCCGGTAAACCCTCTGATTACTCTAATCTAAGAATATTTGGATGCCCTGCATACGCTCATGTGAATGATGGTAAGCTGGAGCCGAGGGCGGTAAAATGCATATTTCTAGGGTATGCAACAGGAGTAAAAGGTTATCGACTGTGGTGTACAGAAGGTAAAAGTCCTGGTAAATTTCTTATTAGCAGAGATGTAACCTTTGATGAATCTGCTATGCTTGATCAGAGTAGAGGTTGTGAAAGTATTGCAGGTACAAAAGATTGTGGTGCTAACCAGAGGGTGGAGTTTGAGACTCCTGACAGAGTTGTGTTAGAGGAAAAGCAGCAGGATAATACTATTGATCAATTCGATCAACCAGATCAGTCAAAACCTCAAGGGAAACCGGTTGAGGGGGAAGCTGATGACGCTGGTACTGGGGTTGAAGATTCCATAGCAGCAAGAAAGGGAAAGAGAAATATTCAGAAACCAGCTAGGTTTGCAGGATGTGTCAATACGTGTGACATGGATTCTGTTGCTTATGCACTAGCGGTTGGTGATGATCTTGGCTCTGATGAGCCAAAGACATATAAAGAAGCTGTGGCGAGTAAAGATGCAGAAACCTGGATTATGGCAATGAATGAAGAGATGCAGTCTCTTGAAAAGAACAAGACTTGGGATCTTGTTGCACTACCAAAAGGGGTGAAGCCAGTGGGATGCAAGTGGGTCTTTAAAAGAAAGGAGGGAATTCCTGGTGTTGAACCTGCTAGGTTCAAGGCGAGACTGGTGGCAAAAGGGTTTTCACAGAAGGAAGGAATCGATTACCATGAAGTCTTTTCTCCTGTGGTGAAACACAAAACCATTCGGGTTCTTTTGGCAATGGTGGGTGCTTTTGATCTGGAGCTGGAGCAGCTTGATGTAAAAACAGCATTCCTTCATGGTAATCTAGAAGAACAGATTTACATGTCTCAACCGGAGGGGTTCTACAGTTCTAAAGGGGACCAGGTATGCTTGTTAAAGAAATCTCTGTATGGCTTGAAGCAATCTCCGAGGCAATGGTACAAGAGATTTGACTCATTCATGGTGTCTAATGGTTATACTCGTAATCAGTTTGATAACTGCGTTTACTCGAAGAAAGTTTCTACTGATTCCTTTGTGTATCTGCTGTTGTATGTGGATGATATGTTAATTGCAGCTAAGAACATAGCTGTAATTAATGACTTGAAGGCTCTACTAAAGGGTGAGTTTGAGATGAAGGATTTGGGTGCGGCAAAGAAAATACTTGGTATGGAGATCTGGCGTGATAGAGAAGCAAGACGGTTATGGGTTTCTCAAGAAAAGTATATTGAGAAAGTTTTGCAGGCATTCTATGTTGATCAGTCCAAACCGGTAAGTACCCCTTTGGCGGCACACTTTAAACTTGATCGAAGCACTATACCGGCTACAGATGAAGATGTTAGTTACATGAAGACAGTTCCATATTCAAGTGCAGTTGGAAGTCTTATGTATGCGATGGTATGTACGAGACCGGATCTCGCTTATGCGGTTAGTGTGGTGAGCAGGTTTATGGCTAATCCGGGTAAAGCTCACTGGGGAGCTGTAAAGTGGATCTTGCGATATTTGAAAGGAGCGTCTGATATTTGTCTGGTATATGATGATAAAGGCCATGGTGATGGTCTTGTTGGCTATGCAGACTCTGATTACGGGGGTGACTTGGTGAAACGAAGATCACTAACTTGTTTTATCTTCACTCTGTTTGGATGTGCAGTCAGTTGGAAGTCTACTTTACAACCTACGGTTGCATTGTCGACGACTGAGGCGGAATACATGTCAATGACTGAAGGTATTAAGGAGGGTATCTGGTTACATGGTCTGGTGCAGAGTTTGGGTCTGAAGGTGGAGAAACCGGTGTTATTCTGTGATAGTCAAAGTGCTTTGAGTTTGGCTAAAAATCCAGTGTATCATGAGAGAACCAAACATATTGATGTAAGGTTGAATTTTATCCGTGATGTTCTGGAGGAAGACAAGTTTTCTATTCAGAAAATAGCTACAGAACACAATCCAGCTGATATGTTGACAAAGGCGCTACCGACGGAGAAGTTTGAGCATTGCTTGAACTTGGTGAATATTCGTAGGAGGTAAAGCCTTCTCGGGGCATCTGGCAGGAAGGAAACGACTGAGAGATACTGACGAACCTTTGGCGGTTGGAGAAACTCCAAGTCAAGGTGGAGATTGTTGAAACGTGACTTGAATTTAGCGGTCTACCCGACCCTAAACCAAAGCGAAAGGGCTGTTTCAATTGGCAGGGTTCCTTTTGGGCTTATCCTAATTAATAACAAATGGACTTAGGGTTTAGGGTGTTTTGGGGTGCTTATAAATAGACAACTATGGTTCTTAGTCGGATGACATATTGTAAATCTCTGAATCAGTATAATAAAATCTCTCCGGTTCCTGCCCGTGGACGTAGGTTGACACACCGTCACCGAACCACGTAAAACCTCTGTGTTCTTTATTTGCTTTCTTTCTCGTTTTCTCATAACACTAGGGTACTGTAATACATAGCGCATTCTAGCAAAGATGAACACGGCGCATTCTAGCGCACCAATAAAGCAGAGACGAATTCTACAGAAAATCGCAGAATCGAGAAAAAGTACGATTTATAAATTGCAGAAAATAAATAAAAAAAATATATATATATATAGAAATTGAGGAGGAGGAGGAGATAATGCTAACCTGCACGCCGGGTGAAGTGAACCCGAGGATTCGGATCTTGGCTCCGACATCGCCGACGACCCGCAACTCGACCCGGTCGTTCAAGGAGGCGTCCCTGAGCAAATCGGCGGCGTCCGCCTGCAGCAGGCTGACGCGATCGACGGCTATGATGGTTTCGATCCGACGGACGCTGTGCGCCGGCTGGTAGAACCCCGGCACGGCTCCCCGGCCGAGGGGGATGCCGCGGTACATGATGCTGAACCTCGATTCCCTGTACTTGATTCCGACCTTGTTGTCGTTCCTCGCGGCGAAGAGCATCCGGACGGCGAGCGACACCGTCGCCGAGGAGGCGGTGGTCGGATTTATGCCGACGTACTGGACGGCGACCTGCTGGAGCTCGAACTCCGGTTTCTTCGGCTTCACAGCAAGGACCACGACAAGGACGACGGCGAGGACGAGGAGCGCGAGGAAGGAGAAGAGGAGGAAGAGGCAGCAGCAGCAGCCGCGGAAGGATGCGCCGGCGGAGGACGACGGAGGAGGATAGTGGCTGTGGCTGTGGCTCGCGCCGGAAATCGGTCTGGAGGTCATTTTGTCGGCTGATTTTCCGCCGCCGGCGACGGGCCGGGGTTTCTGAAGTGGGGTTTTTTTGGGGAAGGGGGGCGCCGACTAAATAAATAAATATTGATTTTTAAAATTGTGTTGGGGTGTGTTTGTTTGGAGGAGAATCTGTGCAGCATGTGAGAGAGAATGGGGCTGTATGATAATTCATATGATGATGTCGGAATTCACGACTTTTGTTTATTGCCAAACACGGTGTTGTTAAATTAGTAGCCGTGTAAAAATTATTGCCCCTCCATCTAAAATGCGTCAAATAATTTTGATATTCTTTTTTTTAAAAAATTATATATAAATTGTATATGCAATATTATCTTTATAATTTTTATAAAAATTAATAATACTTCTATATTAATATATAATTAATTTTACTATTAAAAAATGTTTTTAAACGTGATAAAGAAGAGAATAATAAAAATAATATTACTATATATATATATATTTAGAAACATTATAGATTAGTTGTGATTTAGTGATAAATTATTAGTAGTAGTAGTATTTTTTTCTTGTGTAAATTGATCTTATTTTAAATGAATTTGTGTAAATTTAGAGGGTTTTTTTTTTTTTTGTCTAAAATTGAAAAATTAATTTATATTTAATTTAAATAGAATTTTAATATAATATATTCTTATTAAAAAATGGTATAAATTAAATAATAGTAATTTGAGTGAAAATTCAAGCCAAACACACCCTTACTATATATGTTATAATTTTTATAGTCTTTACTAATTACAAAAGCTTACTTACCATTAATGGAAGAGTTACAATATTGATTAATTTTAAATTTGTTGGATTAAAAATTAATATAATGGTTATTATATCTTTGAGGAACAAAATTGTCATTCAATAAATTATGACAATGTGAAGAGATTATGGCGAGAAGTTTTGAGATTCCGTAATATTTTTGTTCGGGTTTAATTTATAAATTATTAAATTTTATAAACGAATGAAGAAGCGGACAAATAAGGGTGTGCTTGTTTGCGGGTTTGGATTTTGAATTGAGATTTAAATGATAAAATTTTAAATTTGAATAGTTGTATGATGTGATATAAATAGGTGTTGATGTGATATTTTGAATGTAAAATTAATTTTAATATAATATAAAAAATAAAAAATAGGTGTTTGATTTAATATTGTTTTGGTGAAAAAATAAAATAAATAGTGTATTTAAAATTCAATCCGCGAACAAACACACCCTAAGTGAAAGACAAAAAAAAAAAAACAAATGGTGATGTTCACTGGGAAGAAAATATATAGATGAACCGAACAAAAAAATCAACAGATAAAAGATAACAACTAATAAAGTAAATTCAACAAACAAAAAAAGTAAAAATAAAATTATTCTCTCAATTGGTTTAATAAGTTTACATTTACTTTTTGCGTGATTGAATTTAATATTAAAAATATTCTTATATTTGTATAATTTTTTTGTATAAACATTTTTATATTAGTAATACAAAACATTCATAAAAATATTTTACTATTTTTCTTTGATTTAGACTATATTTTGATATAATTATTAATATTAAAAAATAATTGTAAATTTTTAAAGTGGACCAAAGAGTATATAATAATAACAAACAAAAATATGACATTAATTCATTGAGTTCTGAAGCAATATATTTTATCCGTCCCATAACTAAGCATTTGTTTATTTTTTGCCCGTAGTCTTAGAAATATTAATATTATATTAAAATATAGTAAGAATAAAATAGAAATGACTAAAATAACTTTATTAGTATTGTGTTGTGTAATATAAATGTAATGACATTTGTTTAATATATTGTAAATTGTAAGGGTATTTGAAATCTTAGATAGATACTAAAAAGGAAATGAATATTTTGTTAGGAGATGGACTAAAATAAAAAATAGATAGTTTTTTATAGGACCGAGGAAGTATATTTAAGGGTGTGTTTGTTTGGGGGATTGGATTTTGAGTTGGGATTTGAATAGTAAAAATTTTGAATTTGAATACTTGTATGATGTGATATAAATAGGCGTTGATGTGATATTTTGAATGTAAAATTGATTTTTAGTATAATACTCTCTCTCCGTCCACTAAATAAGTATACATTTACTTTTGACGCGGAGATTAAAGAATAATAGTATTTTAATTATAGTGGATAGATAAAAGTAGTGAAATGACATTTTTGCCCTTACTTTTTTTGGTATAAAAGTAATGATGTGATGTAAAGTAGGGGTATTTAATGAAAAAATGGGGTATTTAATGAAATTGTTACTTTGTAATTGGACGTCTCAAAATAAAAATATGTATACTTTCTAATTGGACGGAGAGAGTATAAAAAATAAAAAATAAGTGTTTAATTTGATATTTTTTTTAAAAAAAAATAGAATGAATAATAAAAATCTAATCCAATCCCCTAAACAAACACACCCTTTAATTTGCAGAGACACAAAAGTCTAAACACCGCCTATGTATCTACATCATGCATGTGTATTTTAGGAATACAAATATCTTATTTAGTTCGACTACAATTCATTACTTCATCTTCGGAATAACTTAAAAATGCATTCTAATTTCTAATCATTTTATTTTAATTATAAATTATAAATTTTACTCTAAAAAATATATTTTTTATATTTTACATTTAATTTTAATTTATTTTTAGATTATCATCCAAAAATATACTAATTTATATTTTATTTAAAAATTACATATTACTTTACATAAAATAAAATTATATATATCATTTTAAAAAAACTAAAATTACACATTACTTTTAAACAAATAAAATTACATATCAATTTTTAAAAAATTAAATTATATATCATTTTTTAAAAAATAAATTATATTGCTTTTCAAAAAATAAAATTACATCACGTTTTAAAAAATTAAATTTTACATTTTTTTAAAAAAACTATATATAAATTTTTAAAATATAAAATTATATATCATTTTTTTTAAAAAAAAAATTATAATAAATTACGCATTACATTCAAAAAATAACAAAAATATACAACAAACCACCCACGCGAAATCTCATGTCGATTCTTTGTGTTGTACAGTGAAACGCCGAAAAATGGTGTTGCCCTTTTATTTTATTTTTTAAGAAAGATTGTTAATTTTTTTTTCTTTTTATAAATTTTTAAGAGAATTATTGTAAATTATTAATATAAAAAATTGTTTAGTAACACTAGTATATAAAATAGAATATTTGAAAAATATTAGTAAAAATAAAATTGTGATTAAAGTAAAAATATTGTAATAATTACATTGTTTTGAATTAAAATTATATAAATGAAATTTATGGATTAAAAATGGTTTAAGAAACTCCAAAATGGGGTGGAAAATGAGATTGGGTAGGAGCCCAACCCCCAATTTTAACACAACGGGTTGGAGTCTTTGTTACTCTTTTCGTATCCTGGAAAAAATCTTGTTTTATTGTAAATACGAAAATTTTTAAAATTCGTAATTAGTAATTAATTTAAAATATATTAGTAAAAGTAATTATAATATTATAGATTAAAATTAAAATTTAAAAAGTTATAAATTATACTCTCTTCGTCTCATAACAAAGTATCCATTTTTCCATTTTAGTACGTCCTATAATAAAGTATTCATTTTGTTTTTTTTAGTAACTGTACTATCTACCTAACCTTACAAATACCCTTACAATTTACAATATATTACACAAATGTCATTACCTTTATATCACACATACTAATAAGGTTATTTACTCATTTCTATTTTATTCTTACTTACATCTTAATACAATATTAATATTTCTAAAATTACGTGCAAAAAACAAATGAATATCTAATTATGAAATATAGAGAATATAATTTAAAATATAATTAAAATGTATAATATTTTTCTTAAAAATAAATTATATAGATCGGATGGAAATAAAAATAATTGACACTTTACAATTAGAAAACACATGTATATATCTTTATGTGTATTTCAGGAACATGCCTATGTTATTTAATATACAACCACGTCATTAAATAACATTAGTGTGTCTGTGGGATACACATGCAATACAAACACTATTTCTTACGTTGCAAGTATCGTGATTATGTTGTTATTTCTGAACGACTTATATTTTATATTATTATTATTTTTATTTTCAAAAAAATACATTTTAATTAAATTTTAAAATTTTAATTTACATTTTTTTTAAAATTTTAATTAGATTATAATTATTTGTATTGTATTGTAATTATATTTATTAATATATTTTTAATTAATATACTAAGGGTGCGTTTACTTCGAATGAATGGATTATAATCCCTCGATAAGTTTAACGGATTATTTAATCAATTGACTAATTAATGTAAGGTTTATTTTATGTGATTAAATATTATATAAAGTTACATTATGTTTACTTTATTAATATTATATATATATATATTTGATAACGTGAGAATCCACCGCAGTCGTTACTCGAAAGTGCGCACTGGATAAACTCTCGATCGAACCTAATACGTTGCAAATTAGGTCCGACAATACAAATTTTATTAGACGAACATGTGTCGACCTGGAGGCGCAAGGTTTGAACCAATGATCTCATAGTCATAAGTTCGCTCCCCACATATTTTTTCTTACCTAAAATATCCTTAATAATTTTATTATAAATTATAATAATATAATTCATTTTATACATTGTTTTCTTTTTGGTAAGCCAATATATTATGTGACAATACATTGAAATTTAATTATGATATTGTCAAGACATAATGTGTCTATAATTTGATACATTTTGTTATTATTTATTAAATATATGTACTTTTAACTTAAGAATTATAAATTAAATTTTAGTAATATATTTATATCATTCTTATCACTTTATATTATTAATTAAAAATTAAAATTAATTAATTAATTAAATTTCAAATGAAATCAAAATATATTAGAAAAAAATATTATTATATTTACATAAAATGCTTATAGGTGTATAAATAAAAGGATAATTTAGATATTTTATTAAGTATGATTAGTTAATACTAGAGGTTAGATTGTATTAATAATATAATAAATTAGTATAATTTTATCGGAACTTTAATTATATAGGACACAAACACATTAAAATAAATATGAAATTAAGTCGAATAAAATAATATTATTCACCATAATCTCGTATAATAAACAAACCCTAATCATATTTCTCCTAAAATCATTCGTATGTGTATTAACTAATACACCATATATATCAAATTATTTTTTGTACGTAGTTTTATAAATAGTAGTATTATATTGAGATATAATAGAAATAAAATAGAAATGACTAAAATAATTTTATTAGTATTGCGTGATATAAAGGTAATGATATTTGTGTAATATATTGTAAATTGTAAGGGTATTTGTAATATTAGGTAAACAGTATGCTTATTAAAAAAAAAATGAATACTCGCATTATAGATGATGACCTTAAAGACTAATCACAACCATTTTTTAAAACAACCGTAATGTAATACTCCCGAAGTTGGGTCGGTGCTAGGCCAACTCCCATAGATGAGCCGGTGTCAGGCCATTCGAGGTTGAATATAGGTTAAATGGATTGAACAGACTACTCATGTCAACAATATGCACTCTCCTTTTCGGGAGCCTTATTGAAAGAACTCTAGAGTAATTTGAATATGGGTGACCCCTGAGAGACTTTTCAAGGTGTGCATGAGTAATGACATAAGCGTGCTGGAAGAACTCGTGTTAACTTGTGGGGCCAGTCCGCAATCCAGATATGCTCGGCTTTACATAGTTTGCGGGTCGGGGTGTCACAGTTGGTATCAGAGCCGGCATGCGACAGCTCGTAGTCGTTAACCCGGACTAATGATGGGCCTAACAGTTGACGATCCTTAGGGTGCAACGTAGACGCTGCATTCTTAAGTGGTGGAGGATGTAATACCCCCGAAGTTGGGCTGGTGTCAGGCCATCCGAGGATGAATATAGGTTAAACGGATTGAATAGACTACTCATGTCAACAATGTGCACATTCCTTTTCGGAAGTCCTACTGAAAGAACTCTAGAGTTAAGCGTGCTTGCTCTAGAGTAATTTGAGGATGGGTGTGCGTAGGTGAGGACAAAAGTGCGCTGGAATGACTCGTGTTGACTTGTCAAGCTAGTCTCCCATCCCGATACGCTCGGCTTTGCATGGCTTGCGGGCCGGGGTGTCACATGTAACCACGTGTTTTTCAATATTCGGGTATCTCAAGTCCCAACCCTTGCGGACTGCCTAATCCTTAAGAATCTCCTTAAATTTTTCTCGAGAAGGGAACTTCATATCTATGAAAAGATCATTGCTTCCCATATCAATATATTCGTCTCACTCACCCATTCTTTCCTAAAAAAATACACTTCCCTCAACAACTGTTTAATTTTGGTTCGTTTATCCTATAGTTCTTGTGCCTGTTTTGTGAAAATGTCATCATCATTCGAGCCATCAAATTCATCGTACATCCAAAAGGGATCGTTTGATTCCTCGGCATCCTCCTCCTCGGCACCCTCCTCGAAGTCACTATCATCAAAGTAAAAAAGTTTTGGACATTCATTATCAAAACTTTATGGCCCTAAATTCCACCTCGGTGTTGCATTCATTCTCTCCGCAATCTGATCCTCTTGAACACTGCCTCATCCATATTCCATTGCATCACTAATAGGATCTTCCATATCTTGATTGACGTTCTCTATCACCCAATCACCCATTTTTATATCATCATTCCCATGTTTGCCTTCTCTATTCATCCATAAACATTTTTTCCCATATCTGCATAACATAAATATATTTTCAATAAGGAACATTTGAACAAATTCAAAAAATAAACTCCATGATCTCTACAAACACCTTCCAACTAACACAAAATCCAAAGAAATCCCCAAATATCAATAATCCAAGAGCGTCTAAGCCCAAATCAAAATACCTCAAACAATGCAAAACAATCCCCAAATTCATCACTATAACTCAATGGGTTGTCCTAATTAACACTAGTGACTAAGAAAAATCGCAACAAAGACCAAACTCTAGATAAATAAGCACATAAATCCAACAACGACGTTAAAAAAACTCAAAATCCGAACTATAAATTCATAATTTCTACAAAATTTTGCATCGTATTAGCAACATCATATAGAAATCAAGATTACTCACTGTAAAATCGATCGAGAGATTCTTACCGACAAACTGCAAATTTGGTGCCAAACGAGAAATGGAAAATGCAAGGACAAAGAAATACCAGCTCGGACGGGTGAAAACTCCCCAATGAACCGCGGTGACGGACAACGGTTATATGTTTGACTAGAGAGAACTTGGGGGAGATTAAGAATACTGGGGTTTAGGGTAAAATTAACGAACGACTCACAGCAAATTTGAGAGAATATTTTTTATTTTGGTAAACCTTGGGGTATAACGGTCCAAATACACACTCTATTCGTTTCAAATCAAAGTATTCTTTTTACCATTTTTGTTTGCCCCACTTCAAAATATTCATTTTCTATTTTGGAAAAAATTAATTATATACTAATATTAAAATACAATTAACTTTTACTTAAATTACAAACATACTATTACATATACAATTACTTTATACATAATGGGCAAAGTAAAAAACTCTTACACACTTACACTACCTAATAAAATATTATTATGTATTAATTTGCTACAAAATTTCAAAAGACTTTCTTGAATTGGGATGGATAAAGTATATTTTAACAATGTTATATTGTTATAGTTAAAAGGTATGCGCTTAATTTTTAGCATAACAGTGAGTTAAGCTAATATTTTTATAATAGGGGTATTAAGTTAAAATACTAAAACGTAGGAGATAGATAATTTATCGCAATTAATTCAATAGACACAATTGAATCAATATAGAGCTTATTTTCTTCGACCGTCAGCTCCATATCAAGCTGCCCATTTTATGCTATCAAATCAAAAAGCGAACTAACAAATTTCAGCTATATTATACAAATATATACTCCATAATTTATATATATATATATTCAATGAGGTCCGTTACAATTTTCTCATTCTTGAGAATTAATTAATTAGTCCCTATCAAGAGCAGGCTAGTGAAAAGAGCAATGAGCAGGGCGGCGGCACCCAATCCAGGAGCGGCGGCGGCGGCGGCACCGTTCCGCTTAGGGAGGCGCGTGGGAAGCGCGCACTCCTCCCCATTGAAAATAAGCTTGGCGGGGAAGCCATCGCCGGCCACGACGTCTAAGTCCGGCGACTCCGCCTTGGAAAACGTAATGGCGGTCTGCTGCTTTCCGGGCACCGGTGGATCTTTGTCCGGGTGGGACGAATTCGTCTCTCCGACGAGATAATTGTTGCCCTTGGTGCCCCTGAACATTATGGTGTTGTGCAGCGTAGGCACCTTGGTGGCGTTGAAAGAGTGCATCCTCACGAAACCCTTGTAGCCGGGCTTCATCTGCACCGCCGCGTACCAGTCGGCGAAGGGGTCCTCCTCCCAGTTGAAGATGGTGACCCTCACCGTCCACCCGTTCTTGTAGTCGGAGTCGACGTGCCAATTCACGCTCACGCCGCAGTTGTCGGGGCAGGGAAGCTTTTTAGGGATTTTGTGGTGGTGCATCTGCGCCAGCGCCTTGGCCTTCGCCGTCCGGTTGGCGAAAGGGACGAGCAGGGCATCAACGGGGAGGAGCATCGACGGCGCGTTGGCGTCGCATTTTCCGTCGTTGTTTCCGTCGCAGCCGCAGGCGCACGTGTCGCAGGAGACGGCGGCGTCGGCGTAGTAGGCAGAGTAGGAGACGCAGCACCGGTTCTGCTTCGGCTTCGGGCGCGTGATGTTGCACGTGACCTGCCAGCTGGCGATCGCCGGCACCGTGGCGTCGAGCCCCATCGGGTCGGGGAATTCGGTCGGTTCAACCCGGAGAGGAGGCCCGCATTTGTAGGTCGGGTTGACCCGGCCCACTATCCGCCAGTTCTGCGGCGGCGTTATGGCGTTCCGGTCGAGGTCCGGCGGGAGTTTGAAGACCTGCATTTGGAAAATGGCTCTGGATTGGGTTTCGTTTATGGATTTGGGGAGGAGGACTCCATTTTTGCAGCAGTAGGGGAGTTTGCCTAATTTGTCGTCGTTTTCGAGCTGGGAAGGGAGATCGGCGATGAGGGGGCTTTTCTGGCAGTTGACGACGTTGGTGAAATCGAAGTCTTTGTAGTAATGTCCCTGAGGGCCGTTGATGCAGTCGGAGGCACCCTTCTCGTGCGTGTAGGCTCCTTTCATGGTGTAGATGAACTCGTTCCTCATCCATGTCCACGTCAGATTCCACTGGTCCAGACGGCCCAACGGGTGGTTGTTGTTGATGGTGACCTGCGCCAGATATTTATTGCTGTCGGCTTGCAGAACATCGTACATTAAATGAAGATCGCCGTACTGCCGTGCCCCGAATTCCTTCTTCTTGAATTTTGGATCCTTTTTGCAGCACACGTGCATAGTGCCACCTGGACGGGATTTAATTCAAGATTAATTAATTATATAATAAATTAATTAATAGTATTGTTGACTCGAGGGATGGATTCTATACCGTACCAAAAATACTGATCAATATTGATATTGTATCGAATTTTTTGGTATAATAAAAATACATACAGGTACAGTACCGATAATTTTGGTATATACTATTTATACAGAAAATTTTAATTTTATTACAATACCGGTATATACTGTTTATATTGAAAATTTTAATTTTGATACGATAACTGCATATAACAAAATTATAATTTTAAATTTTAAAATAATTAAATAAATAAATAAATAAATATCACAATTCTTCACCATAAAAATATTATAAAAAAATTAATAAATTTTCAATAGTCTATCTATTTTTTTTGTTATGATTTTAAAAATTTATTATTATTATTATTTATATTAATAATTAAATTATTTAATAAAAATAATATGGACTGCAAAAATATCGAACTTTTTTAAAATATCAAAATTTTCGAAATTTTCAACGCAGTACGGTGAGTTGGTATTTGAGAATGTTGGGTAAATTTCTTTATCCCTAATTGTTGTAACTTGTATGTAATAAGAAGGCAAGAAGAGGAAGACCATTCTTGGCGGGGGCGGGGCATTTATATTCGGGGTTGACGAGCTTGATCGTTTTGGGCATGGCGGCGTCTTTGGCGGCGCCGCCGAATTGGGTTCCTTTAATCTTAACCTGCGCCTGCATCTGCGTTAAATCGTTAGCGGTGTCGATGGCGGTTTTGAGGTCGGACTGAGGGGATCCGGCGAGGATGGTGCCGTTCTTGCCGACGTGGACGGGGGAGCCTTCGCCGTCGACGACGGCGCCTCCGTCGACGGTGACGAGGATCTCGTCGTGCTGGAATCCGACATAGAGCTGCCAGGACTTGAGCTCCTCGGCCCCCATATTAATGACGGTGGCGGTGGCCTTGAACGCCCACGACTGCGCCGTGGCGTTCTTCACGTACGGATATTCCTTCTCCCGCCCCTGCGAAATGTATGAGGCGAATATGCCATTGCAGTCCTGCGCTTCCTTCGGGGGCTTCGGAGCGCCGCCGTCCCCCTCCGCCGCCGCCGCCGCTTCCGGATCGTCGTTGTCCTGCGCCGCGCCGATTGAAATCAGAGCCGCGATGAAGACCCAGGAAATTAGAATACTGCGCACCGACATTTCTTATTTTTTTTTATTTATTTTAATTAATTAGTTTCTAATTTCTAGAAATCTTCTATGGCTTGTTTTGTTTTTTTAATTTGAGAAAGAGAGAGAGAGAGAGAGAGAGAGAGAGCCTGGAATGCCCCGTGCAGGAGGACACGGCGCATCGGGCAATGAAGAAGAAGAAGAAGATGATATTAGGGACAAGGAATTTGATTATAAGAGAGAGAGGAGACGCTGAAATCTGTTGGACTTCATTCAATTCAATTTAGCGCCCTTGAGGTTATCTTCTTCCGCCATTAATCTTCACTGGTTCAGAGATCATTTAGGGACATGAATTATCTATCGTTTTTATTTTATTTTATATTGTTACATAGTATTTTTTAACCTTATATTTTTAGCATTTTTTATTCTATTTTCATAATGACAGATTTGTATGGTATTTAAAAGATCATTCACTCATGCTCAAAACATAAACAGTCCTCCCAGTTATAGGGTAATTATCCAAACTGATATATGCGTAGATAGCTAATATATATATATATATATATATCAATATTAGTACCCCATATAAGCCCAATTAATCAAATTTATTACTAATAAAATTTTAATCAAAAGTAATTTTATTATTGTTACTTTTTATAGGCAATCCGGAAATACAACATTTTGGACCAACGAAAAATAGACAGACATGTAGTTAGAGCAAAAATAAATAAAATATTATAATATTATATGTATGAATAATAAATTAATTGGAGAAGGCAGATGTTGAAGATAAACTCTCTCAATTGGGTCATCAATTTGATACTTTACATGGGTCATCTAATTTTGCTAGTTTGTTTCTTGTTTCTTTATATATATATATATATACATATCAAGCATGTACTACAAGGTGTGTTCAGTGATTAATTCATAATGAAAATTTCTCTTTTTTTGTTTCCCCCAAAATCTCAATGGAAACTAAAGAAAATTGGAGTCTGCACGTTACACATATTGTATGGGAGCTCGAAATGATCGAAAAAACACTTAATCAAATTGTTTTTCTAGGTTCGGATATCATGGTTTCCGAATAAACAACCCACAAGTGACATTATCATAAAAACAAAAAAAAAAAAAAAAACTTTCTAGTCTCTTTTCGATCAAAAATAAACAAAAAAAATTAGACTTTCTATTCTCGTAATAGATAACCTAATGGTGTGGGAGTGGAATCGTGACCGAAAGATCATAAATTCAAACCCTGACGCCATGATTTATTTAATATGATTTATCTTGTCGAACTTAATTTGCAGACTATTAAATTCAGTAAAAAATTTACTCAAAAGACAGATAAAAATGTTTAAAAAAATAAATAAATAAAAATAAGACTTTCTAGGATTCAAACCTCTTGTCTGCTAGCTGAATATGTAACATCTTTAGTAAATGAAAGTTAGTCAATATGACTAAGAAAGGTTCTTAATGCTTCGGACTAGAAACAGTCATAAGTTGCAGTTATGTTCTCTATGATAACATGTTTTCTCATCCTATAGCCAAAAAGCCTTTCATGCATGAAGGACAATTAAATACTTGGAAATCAAACACTAGTACATCCAAGGGCTTATGGCAAAAGAAAAAATTATGGTAAAATTCTGCACGTCTGATGAACTACCAGATTTGAATCAAGAAGACGTGTTGAGGAAAATATGATTCAACTGTTCAAATAGATGTGCCATCAAATAAATAAATAGGCATGTAATGTAATCCATACACAAACAATAGAATATACTAACTTTTCATCCAAAATTACAACAATATCCCTCTTTTAATTTAGTAAGTATGCAAGGCATTTTGTCCATTGATACAAGACAATATAATCTATGACATTTTCAACAACTATATCAAGAAGTCAATATTCTATTAAGTCATTTATAACATTATATATATATATACACACCAGTCACCAGCCGTTGGAACAATAACAATACAATATATATATATATATTTTATTCTAAGCTATAAAGGTAAAACAATGATATCAAATTCTCTAAAATAGACACTAAACTTATATACCAACGATTTGTTTGAGACGACTCCTACTCAGAAGCACCAAACTGCTTAGACACATTCCAATATCTGGACAAGGATTTGCTAAATCTTCCATCAGTCTTAATACAGAAAATGTCCCAGGAGTTGATGACATTGCCAATATGCTACGATAAAGGTTATGGCTTACTCTACCAGGCCCCAAAGGAGAAAATATGGAAGTCCCAGGTGGGATAAACTACATGTGTGTGTATATATATATATACACACATATATCAGGGCTCAAAGATTTTGAGCAGCTTCAATAATAATAATAATAGTGCTACTGTATTCATATCATTTCACTAAAATTTTCTTAACTTATGGAGAGAGATCGCCATCGTCATCAAGATGTACCATTAGCAACTTATTCCTATTTTCCATTTTACAAGAAAAAAAAATGGAAAATCAGTGCATATTCCACTCCTTATAAGAGCCTGCTTATTTACCAACTGAGGCAGCAAAAACATAGCAAGAAAGGAGTCAGGACAGGACAGAACAAACCTCTACGGAGGAAATCAAATCAAGATTCCAGCTTAGCATCAGATGAAGTCAACCCTGAAATGGTCCCGACTGGAGATAGGAAACTCGGTTGTCTTCCTTGCAGTATTCTAAGCGATGGCTTCGAATTAATGTACTGATCAAGACAAGGGAAGATCAGTTTTTGCAATTAACAGATGTGGGGTTGCATGTAAAAAATGGAGTGCCTGTGGGTACCTTAGTGAAATCCTGGAAGAAAGTGTTGATTTCTTCTTCAGTCAGACCGCCCTCATCAGTGTTTTCTTCCCAGCCTAAAGAACGAAGGAAAGCAGCCTCTTCCTCCTCTGAGAACACAAGATCAGAGAGAGGAAGATTTGTTTGGTTGCTGGAATTTCTCTGCTTGACACAAGCAGAATCACCATTGCAGTTCAAGTCGCCATTCATCTCAGCAAAATGGTTCGCCCTTTCAGAACTTGGAGCACACAAAAACTCCGGTTCGGAAGGTATATCAGAACTAGATGAAGACACAACAACTGATGATACACTTCCTGCAGAAGAGGATTCTGTCATAGATTTTTTTCGCACCGAGTTGAAGAAGTCATTTCGACTCTGAGCTTGAGAAGTAGGTCGCCTCTCCAACATAGGTCTGCGCTCATGGCCGGGATTGGTTAATGGGCCCCTAGTTGCAGCTGATCCAGAAATCGATGGAGCAGCGAGCAGAGAATTTACGAGTTTCCCACCACTTGCTTGACTCGGGTTGTCCTTGATCACAACAGGTGTAGCAACATTCTTTTCCCAGACTGGCTTGAGAACATGGAGCTTTCCCACGTTTGTCCTTGAAGCATCGCTCTTTAAGGACCCACTGCGCGGAGAGTTGTTAGCAGAGACTGAAGATAATGTGGGATGCTGCTGTTGACCTGCTCGGGTTTTATGTTTATCCAAGGAACTCAAAACCTGAAGAAATCATAAGGAAATTACAACCCAATAGGTTTATTGAATGCAACGCAAAAAATATCAAAGGCACAACACATGGAGAATATTTCAGGAAGAGCCTCTCAGCCTGTTCTGATAGCATAATACAATAGAAAAATATGCTTGCTAAGGCATACTGATCTTCTAAACATTACATAAACCCCTCTAAAGAATTTGCAGCCTTTTCGATTACTGCTACCATGGAGGTCAACTTCATTCCTAAATTGAGATACTTGTGCATACAAACATCCGACTTATCAAGTATGGGAAATAGCTGGATGCATTAAAGTTGCATCACAACTTGAAAAAAGAATGTGTAATGCAATATCTACTAGCATTGCTTGCAGGGAAGGAAATGATGAAATCAGATTCTTCCTGCATCTAGGATATTGGCATTTCAAACATGGACAAACTGATAGCAATGCATAGAAGTGAAGCAATCTTTATTATTACTATTAAAACCAATAATTGAAAAGCCAACCAAAACCTAAACATCTCACATGGTTTCTAGACATTTTAAGGCTTAAGTAAACCATCCTGCACAACCTACAATTACGCACATGTGTTCATACACTATTGCCGTATGGTATCAAGGTGAATGATCGGATCACTTCAATTTGATGCTCAAATATATGCAATACACAATTTCTGCATTCTTGTAACATCCAAAGCATCAATACGGATCATGAACAAATTATTAAGGATCATATATGAAATAAAAGGATATATTATTTTTCTGTAAACTAAATAACAAGACTATATATATCATAAAAATAGTTAAAATGCAGTAAGTGTGCTCCATTTGAAATCTTTTTTTATCTCTTTGGAAGCATACTTCAATAAAAAAAATGATACAACTATATCTAGCACAATCATTCCACAAAACTTTAATTTCAAAAAGGATTTGTGATATGCTATAGATAAGATGAGATATAGCTTCAATAAAGATCATTGTCTCAAAAAACAAATATGAAGAATTGGTTTAACAAGAAAATATATAACAAACCACACTCTGGTCATCCCATCATCTAGCCATTCCCTATAGCCCGCTTCCAATACTGTAAAAAATGATTTCATGTCTGTTGATAAAGCTGATTAAGAAGTCATTTGTCAACTTTGAAGCATCTATAATCCCACAAGGTGGGTACCTGCTGCTTTCTGGCATCAATTATGGATGCAGTGAAAAACAGAATGCAGGTCCTCACATACAATAAATAAATCTAGTGCATCCATATAATTATTGTCGCCAGATCAAAAACTTCCTCTTTATTGTATATAAAACATTGGAACTCATGCAATGCATCAAATGTATATGGATAAAAGCTCCCTGTTCAGCGAGATTTAAAAGTATGCGATTTACAGAATTAATAATCAATCAATAGCTTTTACCCAATTTAACCTCAGTTTGGGATAAGCCCATATGCCAAAAAATCCAAAGTATAATGGATAATACATGCGTATATATCTCAACTCTATTTTAGTTTCAATATATACATGCAATAGCTATGATCAACAAATAACTTACCTTCTTTTATTTTAATTTTTTGGTTTTGGTTTTTAGCATAAATAGTGGGCTGAATGTGATGTTTTGAAAGAAGAGAATAGTGTATTTTTATAGAAAATCATGAGAATTGCATTGTAATAAAACTGAATAAGAAATAAAAATAAAAATAAAAAATTATAAAGCAAACAGAACCTTAGTTCTCGTACATTCAAGTTAGCTTTACTCGAACTCCCCCATGTAGTTGGAAAACTTATCCATCCTGTTACACTCATGCATGCTTTCAATTCAACTGTGGCATAATGCTCACAGCCTTTTTTAACAGCTAATATTGCATAGTAAAGATGAAAATCTATGCCCTTTTTATTTGTACATGACCTATCAAATCACAGAGATGGAATAATTTTGGAATTGACCAAGATAATTAATTTATTTCAGCACATTAATCCACGATACTAATCTACAGATAACTGGTTCAGGGCATACAGTATCCATTATTAATTTCACTAAATACTCAGGTTCACTGCAATAAATTTGCCCATCAGTATGCTGGGGAAATTGCAAACCCATCTCTTGCCGTAGTTTACTTAACTGTTTTTTAAATAAAATATTAGTGGTGAGCTCTTTTTACTTTCTAACTAATAAATAAAACAAAATTTCCATGCATTGGACGGTACTAGTCAATAAACAATTAAGAAACATAAAATATGAAACATGTATAATTGCATTCTTACCAACATTTTTGGAGAAGATGGTGTCACAGGAATCAATTGCCTAGATTGCTTAATGGCCAGTTCTTCGAGTCTCTGAGTTCCCACAGATAACTACAAAGAGACAAATTTTAGAATGTGGAGACTTAAACATCATCATCTCCATAATGTAAAAAGAGAATGTGGCCTACTTGGGGAGCAGCTCCAGCACGATTAGGGCCTTGGGTTACAGCTTCTGCCATGTTGAGGATTGAGGAAGTACCTGCAGGCAGAGATGCAGAACCTGTAGTAACCTCATGTTGCACTGCTATCATGCCAGCTCCATTGCATCCAACTATATCGGGAACCTCTGCCAAAGCAGAAGTCCATTTTCCACCGGTAATATTAGCTGAGCTACCTACGGGCAAGCTCTGAATGGCAGAACTCGGTCCAGGAGAAGGGACTCTTCCAACCTCCGATGTGACCACTTTCTCTTCTGGTCCCAATGATGGAAAATCTCTCTTGAATGTTATTTTGTTGACCCCTCCAACAGGACTGCCTTTGGAGAGTAAGCCATTAGTATAATTCCCACTAGTGCTTGAGTTAGTACCAACTTTATTACAGGATGTTTCTCTATGTTTCCCAGAAATTGAATGCGAGCTCTTTAACTCATCTCTCTCAAGTTTAATTAACAAGGTGTTATCCACAGATTCTGTAATGTCTTGATACCGTCGATTTCGATCCCCCAACAATGGCTTCTCCTTTGTGTGAGAATCATGCATACCCCTCTCCCAGTCCCTGTCATGTTGATTTTTACCAAAGCTACTACAAGACCTCAGATGGCGAGAACCATTACTACTAGAGCTCCGACGAAAATAAGATGATGAAGTTTTGTCTAAACTAAGAGATCGTCTAAAATCATTATTATGGCCATCTACAAATGACTTATTTCTCACAATCTTCGATGGAGTGTGATCATCTAAAGAAAAACATCCAAGAGAACAGTTAGAATCTAGCAATAGTCAATGACAACTGAAAAATTACATATAAAGTTCACTTTTAACTCACCTGAATGCGAAACAGAACTGCCGCCGTTCTGGTTTCCGGTATTTTTCAACCATTGAGGTACTAAACAAGGCTCAACTCTTTCCATAACTGGTGTTAAACATTATCTTATAGCAAAGAAAAATTGGAAAGTAAATTGATTTTCCTACAATGTCAACTTACTCCAACATTTTGTCACGTGTCAAATCCATATTACCCTATGGCAATCGAAGCCTCTATCAAACATAAATCTTGAATCATCCTAGCACTAGTCCTTCCATTATTCTTCACATCAACACCCCTGTCTCCCCACTCCAAAATAAACCAGTCACAGGTTGACAATAAACATTTAAAATCCAGTGCCTAATCCTCCCGGTCGCAAAATGGCACATTCAAAATAAATAGTCAGAATTGCTCATAACTAAATGATTCTTTATCTTCTGTACAGTATATTTCACTCCTTGAGTGACCAACTATATCCAATAAATCTAAAAATTGGAACTCATGCACTGTTCATATACCCACAAACACCATTAAAAACACATTCCAGGGCCTCCTCCCCTCCCAAGAACATAACAAACCAAGAAAACCCTAACATCTCATCAGCCAGAAAATGCAACAACAACAACTAAAAATTCACCTGATTCCATTCATAAGTAAAACCCCAGAACTGAGCTCCCCTCAGTGATCAACGGAATCCATACACAATAACGCAGGAATAATCAAACTCCCCCACTAAACGTCTACCAAAAAAACCTAAATCGGAAAGCCTATGTACTCCTAGGGTTTGATAAGTCCAGCCACACAAAAAATCATCCCCAAACAAAATCAGAACCAGTCTACACCCAAATCAATCTAAACGACTCAAAACCCGACTGAAACCAATTCCCTCGTGTTAAATTCGAAACGCAAAATCCACACTCCTCAATAATCCACCTTATAAGCTATAAAAAAAGAAACCCTAGACCGTCGCAATCACCGCCTCTTAATGTTTGGATTGTTTCAGAATGTGAAAATTATTGAAACGTTCTAGAGAAGGAATCCCAGTACCTCCAATTCTCTCAAATTATCTACGCACTGTGTGTTTGTTATGTGTGTGGTAAGTGTGATCGAGGAGAAGAGATTTTGGCTGTGCCGGAGGCGTGGAGATTAGATGCACAATTATTTTGTATGTATTCGCGCTTGTATTCTAAGAAAGCTCGGCTCGTGTGTGCGTGTGTCTGTCTCTCGGTTACAGAAGAAACGCTGTCTTCTCTTGCATCATGTTTTCTTTTTCTTTTTCTTTTTTTTTTTTTTTTTTTTTTTTTAATAGCGCCTGTTTTCTATTTATTTATTTATTTATATTTATTGTGTTGTAGAGTGCTATGTTGATCTAACTTCTATGACGTAAATCTATAGTCAAACTATTTATCATGGCTTGTTTTGAGCTAAGTAGCTTTGTTAGTTTTTATATTGATTGTTTAAATTTGATTCAAACTTGTAAATTATACAAATTTGGTTCTAACTTGTTAAAAATTTGAGTTAAAATAGTGGTTCAAATTCAATTTGTTAGGTTCAAATTCAAGTTTGAACTCGGCTCATATATGTTGGCCTAAAAATCGACCAAACACTTAGCAGCAATAACAACTCTTAAAAAATCAACATATAAAAATCTCTCAACACTGATTTGTTGTTTATTGGATGATCAACTTTAAATGCAGATACTAGTAGCGACAAAAACATAAAATACAAAACAATTATTAACTCAGTTCGATTGCACCAATTTACATCTGGGGTCTAATCCAAGCGTGATTCACTATCAAAACCATTGAAGCAAAATACAATCGAGCTACACAATCTCACCATTTCTTGATGATTTCCAACATTCAATCTATCCCCCAATATTTCTCATTTTCAATGATCGAACATTTCACCCTAGTTCTCCCATGGAAACTACTAGAATATTTCCCAACCACGGCCACTCGAAAATCGTTGTTTGGATCGTTGTAACAAATTTAGATTATTCTCTTTTGGTATATTACTTCCATTAGACGCGCCTTCACTAGGACCACCGTTAGTAAACATAAAAATAATTTATGAATCAACAACCAAGTGGGCCTTTATAATATTTGGGTCCTAATCGTGAAGGCCAAGCTTATGCAAAGGCTCATATATCTGTCATTTGTGTGCAAACATCAATCAAAATTTAATCAAGAAAATAACTAGTAATAATTTCTGTTTTTTTTTTAGTTAATATTTTCCAACCACGAAGGAAAGCAAGAAGTATTTTACTATCATCAATGAATAGACGAGAAATCAATTTATCTTCCTTAAAGCAAACACAATCAAATCAAACTAAGCTTAACCATAGTTACAAGTTAAAAAAAAAACAAGGGCAATAAGGACAAGTATAAACAACAACCAAAAGGTGTAAATGACAACAACTCATTCTCCCTTTGGGATACAACAATCTAAAAAAGAATATTAATCTATCAAATTAGCGGGCTCCTCTTTATCCATCACAAACACCTCATTTGCCTTATAAATGTTACCAACACCTGAAATATCTCCTCCAAACTATTTGATAAGCCTACAAAATTTTTCAAACACATGGTCCTAACAGATTATCTCCTCAAAATAAAGTGAACAAGCTCAATTCTCCTCCATTAAGTATAATTAATTCCAAACATTAGAGATATGAATTGAAATATGTATCTTCCATAAGGATGACAATGGATAGGAGTAGACCGAAATCTGACCCAGACCCGGACTTTACCAATTTATTTGGAGTCGGGTCTAATTATTTGGGTATTAGATCGGATATGAATCGGATCTTTAATAAATTTTTGGGGATCGGGTTGGGTCCAGGGTTTAATTGTAGACCCTAACCGACCCAGACCCGGACCTGATTAATTAAATAATAAATTGTATTATGATTATTATTATTATTATTATTATTATTATTAGTGTTGGTGGTGGCATAGGTGTTAAGACAGTATAGGTGAATATTTATATTTGTCGTATATATATTTTTTATTTATTTTTTGAAATAAGTAAATATTTTTTTTACGTAAATCAGGTAGAGTTAAACTTGTGTTGAATTTTTTTGAATTTGGCGGATCTGACGGATACATCATAGGTAGGGTCCGGTGACATACGGATCCGGATACATTAGGGTCTGAATAGGGTCTTGAGTACAATAATATACATATGGGTAGGGTTTCGAGTCTATCTATACTTGACCCATTGTCATCCTTAATCTCTAATAAGCATGAGCCCAAACCTTCAATACAAAGCATTCTCATTTGATCACAATGATGATTACTTTTGTTGCAGAGATACACTTCCACGTTCGACCACTCTTCCAAGACGACACCCATTATTGCAAAAATGTCTACAAGATTGGTATCAATGATGTTGACACATGCTGAATGAACAATCAATGTCCACAATTTATTTCTTTCGAATTGCAGCAGATTTTCTTGTATAGTTACCACCTAAAACTCATTTCTAAGGTTGTTGTAACATTTTTTTGGTTCAATCTTGAAATAAAGAAATTCAACCTGGCAAGTTCTCTGAAATTAATTGACTTTCTCCTTATCAAAATCGATCTTGTGGATCACCAATGATTTGATCTAGAGGATGGTTTTTGCTATTTTTTAATGGACCTTCAGCCTTTAATTTGAAATTTCCGGCTCTATAGTGCAGTTCATGCGACGTCGAATTGAGTTTGATTTTTGTTCACTGTCAACTCTTTTCTACAAATATGTTTTGTTCGAATCATCATTCAATTACAATATGTCTTCATCTAAGTTTTGATCTTTTTATTCACCCAATTTGCTATAGAACTTCACACTGACTTATTTTGTGACATTTCTACTTCTGAATATCCTTGGCCTATCACAATCCAACAAAAATTAATTCATCATATCAAATCAAGATAGATAACGAACCTAATACCTTGATTAGAATTTCTGCTAGTTGCTTTGTTGTATGAACGTGTTCAAGATTGCATACTCTATTTTCGAAACCTTCAACAATACTGTTTTGTTTGATTTTGGATATGCAACAATGAGCGTCTCCAATGATAAACTCTTATGGATGCAACAGTAGACCGAACAATGCTTTGTTGTTAATTCAAGGTTATTGCTTCCCGAGGGTTGTTCATGTGATGTTTGGATGGACTCTCTTTTACTTTCATCAGTCAAATTCAATCCTTTAATGCTACATTTTAATTCAGATCTTACTTTGTCATCACTTGAATTTTGTTTCATTCTCTCATATAATTCATTGAAGAAGTCCACATTAACGGACTTCTTTCCAATATTTTGCATGGATAGAGCAATTAGACATGCTTCTTGATTCACCTTAAGTCCCCATACCAATCTTGCCATAATTATGTTATTCAAGTGTTTTGATGGCCAAAATACCTTTCTACTCGGCCATAAATTTTGTCTGATCTAATCACAGTCCAGCTCTTGGTGTTCCGATCACTTGCAATACTTCCAATTCGACAATTGTCTACCTGATTATCGAACATTCATTCGATTTTCAGAAATTTTCAGAACAACATCCAGTCTCCCAATCTCTTTGTTATCAGTTGGTTCAAAGAGCAGTCCACCTCTAACAAATATTGTTTTAGAATGTTCTAACCTTATGAGTGTAGTCAATCCCACTATGATCACCATATGATTTCCCGACGTTTAACACTTCGTTATGCTTTTGTTTCCTTTTCAGCAACTTTTTATTTTCATCCATGAACTTTTTGTTTGTAAAATCAAATTCTTCAACTTTCTTCCTTAGATAAGTAGCCTCGTCAACTACTTTATCTTGCTCTGCAGGAATTTCAGTTAACTTTTTGTTCATTTCCATCAGCATCTCGATCTTTTTGTCTAATCTCATAACACATGTCTTTAATTTTTTATTTTTTACAACTAAGAATTTATGTTTAGCCACCACCACGTCATAAGCCTCCACCAATTTTTCAAATGTCATTTCAGTATATTCAATCTCCTATTTTTTTCTCATTATCACGAATAGTGAACACAACAACCTTGTCTTCTTTATTTTCGTCATCACTCCAATTTACACCTATTACTATCTTATCATTTTTCATAGTTGTTGCATATTCTTTCTATGCAGATTGTCTGTCAACTTTTCGATTGCTATTCGGTCTTTCAGTCTGAATCATATTCGATTCAAGGTTTTGGAAATATTTTTAGATAGATTGTTTGACTATTTTCTTTGACATATATTTGGAATATTCTTCGGTAATATGTTGAAAATGAGGCTATGATATCAATTGTTAGCCCACAAATCAATCAAACACCTAGTAACAAGAACAACTCACTTCGAAAATCAACATATAAAAATTCCTCAATACAGACTTGTTGTTTGCTGGATGATCAAACTGAGAATGCACGTATTAGTGACGATAAAAATAAAAAATACAAAATAATTGTTAACCCAAATTGGATGCACCAGCCTACATATCAGGAGTTCCAACCCAAACGTGATTCACTATTGAAACCATGGAAATATAAGAATATATGTATACAATCGAGCTACACACTTAAGAAATCAATCTCACCGTTTCTTGATGATTCCCGACACTCAACCTATCCCCCAAACCCTCGCACTCTTAATGATCAATTATTTCACCCAGTTCTCCATGGATAATACCATAATATTCCCCAACCACGGCCACTCGCAAATCGTTACTTGGATCGTTGTAACAAATTTAGATTTTTCTCTTTTTGATATATTTCTTCTGTCAGATGCGCCTTCATCAGAACCACCATTAGCAAACACAAAAATGATTTTTGGATCAACAACCAAGTGGGTCTTCGTAAATTTGAGCTATAAGGTGGCTCAATCTTCTGCGGAGGCCCACATGTCATGCCGACTACCTACAAATATTAATCGAAATTTAATCGAAAAAATAACTAGAAACAGTAAAATTCTAACTCGAACTCGAATTCAATTTGAATTTTATATACTCCATCCGTCCACTAAAATTAGCACAATTTGATCCAGCACAAAAATTAAGAAAAATAAATATTTTTATTGAAAAAGTGATAAATAGTTGGAGGTTTTGAAAATTTAGGGTATGTTTCTTTAGAGGGGTTTGGGAGAATTTGAATTTGAGTTTGATTTTTATTTGAATTTTGGGATGAATTTGAATTTTGGTTTTTCTTTTGTATTTGGGTTTGGTTGGGGTTTTTGGGAGTTTTGATGGTTATTGATTTAATGAATAATTGATATTGTATGATTTGATTAGTAATTTATATTATACCCAACATATATATTTTAAATTTTTATTTATTCGTATTATAAAAAAAATTATTTTCTACAAAATGATATATATATTGTATAGATTTTTTTTACCCTATAATTATTATAAATATTAAATAAATATAAAATTTGAAAAAAAATTAAAAAAAAATAATAAACAAATGGCAGCTTTTGCTGAGGATCTGGCCTGGTTTTGGAGAAAACACAATGGACCAGAATAAACAAGCCCTTGGTTATAAATTAAAGTAAATGAAGTGAGGGAATGTAGTAAATTTAATGATATTGGTTATAAATAAGTATTGAACAACGGAATTAAATGTTGATTTGTTAATTTTGTCAAAATTAGTAATGAGATAACTTTAACAAACAGATTAATAAAAGAAAATAAAAATAAATTTAACTGACAAAAAAGTATATGTTATATATTTTTTATATATAAATTAAATATTTTAAATTTTATTAATAATATAAATATTGATATAAAAAATTATATATATTATTTTAATATATAAATAATATAAATATATTATGACTTCAACTAATTACTTGTAAATTTAAAATAATTAAAATTATTTTATATATATATATATATATTTATTTTCAATATCCTCACTAAACAAACACTTTTTTAGTATTTTTTAATAAGCATATTTAAATTTCTTATAAAATATTTATTCCGTCCGCGTCCTAATTCATTATATTCCAAATTCAATAATATGAGAATAAACTTTGGGGGTGTTGGTGTTTTTTTAATAGATGTATTTTTTTAAATATTAAATATACAATTTTTTTTTTTTCAAAATCAAATTTGTTAATGATATTGAATTATAATATTATTTTATTATATTATTATAAGTAATATATTATTGATAATTTTAATATATATAAATAAATTTAAAATATATATTTAAATATTTTATTTATTACTCTCTCCATCCATTTTTTAATGTCCTATTTGATATTTAGAGGCATTTTTAGACAATTAGGGTTTTTTGTTATGTATAGAAAACGAAATGAAAGAGTAAATAAAGTAAGAATAAAAGAGTAAATTTTGCATATAAAAATAGAAAGAGGACAATAGTTATTGGACATGTCAAATAAAAAAATAGAACGTTAGTTTGTGGACGGAGAGAGTATATACATGTAATATGAATATATTTGATAGATAATAAAATTTTAAATAATATAAATAAATAAATAAATATATTTATTAATTTATAATTATTGTAAATATAAATAAAGGGATTTAAATATATATATATATATTTATTTATATTTAGTAGAGAAGACACCCTGAATATTTAATAAAATAAAAATAAGAAATGGGAGGAGGAATTGAATATCATCTATGACTGTACGGAAGCCCGCTAAAACTTCATTCTCCCCGCCCCAAAATTGTAGCGACGCACTCCAGAATCTGCACGATTATCGAAGATTTTTGGGTGAAAACGGGGGATTGAAGTTGAAAGGCGCAGTTCCGGCATAGTTGAACTAATAAGCAGGCAGAGATGGGGAAAGACGAGGACGAGATGCGGGGTGAAATCGAGGAGCGGCTGATAAACGAGGAGTACAAGATATGGAAGAAGAACACCCCATTTCTCTACGATTTGGTCATCACCCACGCCCTCGAGTGGCCTTCCCTCACCGTCGAGTGGCTGCCCGACCGGGAGGAGCCGCCCGGGAAGGATTATTCTGTCCAGAAGGTTATTCTCGGCACCCACACCTCCGAGAATGAGCCCAATTACTTGATGCTTGCGCAGGTGCAGCTACCGCTCGATGATTCCGAGACCGATAATCGCCACTACGACGACGAACGCTCTGAATTCGGCGGCTTTGGGTGCGCCAACGGAAAGGTAGGGTTTCTTGCTCGATTAATTATTAATTATTAGGGAAAAATGTGTAGTACTTTGTGCACTGGAGATTGTACCTCCGTAAAGAGGCTATGGACTGGTCCTTCATCTGCGGGTTGATTGGTATTTACAGTTTACTAGGAAAAAAGAAAAACACAAGGGCTCTCAGCTCTGCCCCAATTTGGATCGGATTCTTTTAAGGCCCCATTTTGTTGTTAATTAAGGAATGTGTTTCTTTGTGCATAATTAGGGTTCAAATATATGCGAGTTTAGTTTGGAAAACTCTATTTGTCATGATAATCTTGATATGTATACATTACAGTACAGTACATGTTTTGCAAGCATGTGTGTGTAGCTTTCAATACTAATCTATCTATGTATGTATTATGTTGTAGGTGCAAATTATTCAGCAAATAAATCATGATGGGGAAGTGAACCGGGCTCGATACATGCCCCAAAATCAATTTATTATTGCCACCAAGACCGTCAGTGCTGAAGTCTATGTTTTCGATTACAGCAAGCATCCATCTAAGCCTCCATTGGATGGTGCTTGTAACCCTGATTTGAGGCTAAGGGGGCACAGTACCGAAGGGTATGGTTTATCCTGGAGTCATTTCAAGCAAGGTCATTTGTTGAGTGGATCAGATGATGCGCAAATATGTTTGTGGGACATCAATGCAGCTCCTAAAAACAAATCTCTCGATGCAATGCAAATATTTAAGGTATATTTTTTGGGGTGAGTGTTTCCTGTGGGTTTGCTGTGTGTAAGAGGGAAAAATCAATAATACCCATAGGTTTATGTATATTGTGTGATGGTATTTTGGTAAATAGAGGTAAGAGTGAGGTAAATTGTTAATTGAGTGAGAACCGCATAAATTATAAATGGAAACGAGCTATTGAGGTGAAATCATTCTAAATGAAAATTGAGATTATTTAGGTGGGGCGAAGGGAGTACAAGGATGTGAAAAGTTTATATTTATATATATATATCTTTCTTCCTGAGTTTCTCCTGCTCGTAGCTACTGCCGTTTGCCCTCCTGTTTCAGTTTTTCATTTTGTTTTTTCTTTTTCTTTTTTTTTCTGATTTTTCTGATTTTTTTTCTCTATTAGTATAGTAAAGTTATATTATTAATTTCATGTTATACATATTTTTTGAGAGAAGCTTGATGATTATTTTATTTATTGAAAATTTCTTAAATTAATTGCATATATATCTGTGTTATGAATATTGAAAATATTTTAATAGTTATAGTGCATGTCATGACATGGAATACCATGTGCTTTTTACGACTATGATTCATGTAAAAGAAGAACAACTAGTTTTTTGGTTTGTTGTGTAATCAAATAAATATGGAAGTGTGAAATATAGCACGAATGAAAACTTATTGACAATTTTAATAATTTGATAGGTTAATATTATTCTACTTAGTCTGCTCTGGATTGTAACTTGAAGCCAATACAACTTTGGTTGATGAGATTGTTTTGTCATACTTTTGTATGGCATGAATGCCAAATGATCTTGAGCGTGTTTATGATTCACAAACATGAATATAGCAAATTGTTTTCACAATGAATTGGACACGAATAATGATTTTCTATGTAGTGAAAGTGAAAGAAAGAACAAACACAAATATGTTCAATTAGCTTAATGAGCTCAACACAAGGATTTGGTTTGGTTAGGTTCTTACAACCCTGATTGAAGTTTGCCTTTTTCCAGTTTTCATGAGCTGGTACCATTGCTTTTAGTTACAATAAGCTTGCATTTGCTAACTGCAGATTCATGAAGGAGTCGTTGAAGATGTAGCATGGCATCTCCGACATGAGTATTTGTTTGGTTCTGTTGGTGATGATCAGTATCTGCATATATGGGATCTTCGTACCCCAGCAGTTAGCAAGCCCATTCAATCTGTAGTCGCTCACCAGAGTGAGGTTTGTTTTATCTTTATGATTTGGCTGAATTTCTGAAAATAAAATTAGTTGTATTTGTGGCTTAAGAGTATAAAGGAAAAGTTAAATTACATATTACCCTTCTGAAACAAAAAGTTTCCAAAAAAGCCCTTTTAAAGAGAACCACAGAAAAGCCCTTATATATGTTATAATAATGTAACATATTTCTATTCGGGAGTTTATGTGTGGTTTAACTTTTAGGGTTTTACAGATTACAGAGGGTTATTCTAAGAAAATTAAGCTCTTGTAGATGTCGTAAACATGTCTGGAATTTGGCATCTAATGGTCAAGCTGTTCATCATCAGTTGCTCATTTCCGGACTTTTTGATAGTATCACATGTTGTGGTCAACTTTTCATATATATTTTGCAATTTGCAGTTAATTTAAACTGTTTTTCAGTCTATCTAAGAGGATAATACTAGATGTTGAAGTTAATATGCTAATGCCAAAAACATTTTCTTTTTCCTTGGTTTACTGTCTCCAAGTTGTCATATCACATTTCCACTGATTATCATCGTGCTGATAGAGAAATATACATCATCTGATATGATTATCTCTGCTTAATCATCTGGTATTTGTGCCCTGAGAATAATGTCCCTCCTATGCTTACAGGTAAACTGTTTGGCTTTCAATCCATTCAATGAATGGGTTTTAGCAACTGGATCTACTGACAAGACTGTGAAATTGTTTGATATGCGAAAGATTTCTACTGCCCTCCACAAATTTGATAGTCATAAGTAAGATGTCTTTTCTTTCTATTGGTTGTAGAGGGGTTATCATTATATTGCCTGGTCATTGGTGAGTGTAAGAACTAAAACTCTCATCTTTATTTTACTGCTGTCTAGAGAGGAGGTGTTCCAGGTCGGATGGAATCCAAAGAATGAGACTGTTTTGGCTTCTTGTTGTCTTGGTCGGAGGCTGATGGTCTGGGATCTTAGCAGGTATTTTCTTCGATCTTCCAAGCATTTTAATGTGTAGTATTATTTATGTGGATGTGGAACCGGATCTGCTATTTCATAATTGTAGAACTGATGGTTGAACAAGGCTGATATTTAGTTTTCTTGATGTATTTGGCTTCACAGGATTGATGAAGAACAGACACCAGAAGATGCTGAGGATGGACCTCCAGAGCTTCTGTTTATTCATGGTGGTCACACTAGTAAAATTTCGGACTTCTCATGGAACCCTTGCGAAGATTGGGTCATTTCCAGCGTTGCAGAGGATAATATCCTACAGATATGGCAAATGGCGGAGAACATCTACCATGATGAAGATGACCTGCCCGGAGGTGACTCCACTAAAGGTTCTTAGCTTGAAAAGGAGCCCTAGTATGATCAGGTGCATTACCTAATCTCATTTGGTTTTCTTTCTGTGCGTTTTGGTTTGTCAACAGAGTTATTTATTTTATTGTATTGTGTATTACTTCGTATTCGTGGATTTTTCGACATGGGGTCTTATGAATCAAGTTTACTGATGAGATGGGGTGTGGAACCATGGCTATTAGTCCACAGTATACACCTGTTGATGATATAGGCTTGTGATTAGATGAAATGGAAATGGTCATGCTATGATATATGCACAATAGGTGTTTTTTATGCTTGTGATGTGATCAGGTTGATGTTAATGAAGTGTATTACTGATCAATTATCTTTAAAAGGATTTAGGTATCTTGATGAGCTTGCTACTTGCTATTTTGCCATGTTTATTTTACTACTTTGCATGTTTATACATATGTATATATACATATATGAATTGCTAGACTGCCTATTGGATCTAATTAGCATGAGGTTGATAGGCTCCAATTAGCACGTAAAACTATAAGGGGCAGCACAAAAAATAGAACATAATATATGTTGTATAAGCGATTAGTATGTATGGTTTGTTTTATTTTATATGTGCTCTGTTATGTGTTATTAGTTCATATATTTTGTTCAAACCAGGATAGCAACCGTTGCTATATATTATGGGAAAACAACCATGCAAATATGAGGAAAAGTCTCAGTTTAGACAAGATTTTTGGAAGTTTTGGAGTTTTAAAAAATTTAGGAATAATAAAAAGACGTTTGCCACAGAAAAAAAGTATTTGATAAAATGATTTTAAAACATTGAAATAGTGTTAAAGATTCAAAGTTGTTTGCCTATTTATGATATCTTGCATTTATGCAAAGATTGGAATAGGAGAAAAAGAAAAAACTACAATTTAAGAGGAAGATGTGTATAATTACCAAAAGAATTGATACTATTTATACACTAAACTAGCCCTGACCTTTGTATTATACATGTGTATTGGATTGTATTTTTAGTGCTGTTTTTTTTTTTTTTTTTTTTTTGCATTTTATATTGTATATGTTTTGATAAATATATATTAAAAATTACTGATTTTATTATTAAATGACTATGATATATTGTAATTACTAAAAAATATAAACGTATTGTGATTACTTGAATAAATTGGTACGCTTTTTACACTGGAATTAGGAAAGTGTAATCATAGGTAAAAAAATATATTCCAATAATCTTCAAATATATTATCTTAAGTTTATCCATTATTGCCGTTTTAAATTTTTAAAAACCAAAGTTATCTTCAGTTCTTGTTAATGTCTTTTTAAAATTTCAAGCATATTTTTTCTTGTATTTGTTTATTTATTAGTGACAGATTTATTTTGTCTCATGTTGATACAATTTTAACTTTTAAAATATATATACATATTTAAATTAATATGGAGAGATTGCATGGATAATTCAATTTATATATCTTATATAATTCGGATAAAAATGTGTGCATGACCATTAGAAATACCTTTAAATTTACACTTTCTACATTGGTATTATTAGCGCATAAAATTAAAATAAACAAGTAAAATAGTACTTCCTCCGTCGAAATAGTGCACGATTTTTTAGGTAATTATTATTATTTTTTTTGTTATGAATTTAATTTGTCCTTAATTGTACAATAGAGATTAAAACTAATAAATGAATGAAAGATAAAAATGTAAAATTTATATTTAAAAAAAAAATAAGACAGTTGTTAAACCTACCAGACGGATGAAGTATTTAACAAATGAGTATTTTATTTTTTTTTCAATCATGACACGTCAAGGATACTAAAAAAAGTAGTAAGTTTGTATCCTCTATATCATCATACTGTAATAAATTTAACATTTGAAATTAATTTCAACATAAGCTTTTTTATCCAGTCTTATTATAGATCAAATCTACTTTCTTCTCCAATCTAACTACATAAAAAAAATTACTTCATGAGACAAAACTCTGAACGAGAAACAAATTCCACTGCCCATTTCTACTTTCAAACTCAAACTCAAACTCAAATCCCAATAATAATAATAATAAATCCAGAAATCAGAACCTTACTAACAATTGTCTGATTACACACATACACACACACACATAAATCATCAAAATCCCAATTAAGTTGGTTGCTGCATTGTTAAAATTCTACAGTGTCTGTTTTCCACAAAACCACCACAACATCACATTACAACACACAACATCATCATGAAAGCTTACACCCCAAAAACAACTAAAGAAAGAACAAAAAAAATTGCAAGAATCAGTGGGGTGGGGAATGCCAATGCTGCCTGCTTCCATTTCATTTCACCTATACATTTTAACAAAGAAACAAAATGAGTTTGTTCTTCACTCGCTCGCGTACCAGTAAAACTCCCGGGAGCCAATCTGATCTCTTCTCGACTCGCTAATGCTGCAAGTGCCAAGCAAGCTCCCACTACCACGACAAGGATGGAGATGCATGGATCGTCCATGGCATTTTCGTCACTCCCTCTTACCTTCCTCTCCCTCGTCCGCGTCAGAAGAGTCTCCATCCTTTGTATCTTGCTTGACTAAACTTATGTTGCCCGGAGATTCTCTGCATAATGATTCAGTTTCTTCATCATCCGTCTCATCTCCCTTGCTGTCCATGTATGCATATCTGGTTCAAGAAAAAACCAAAACATAAAAAAATCAAGTGAAACATTGCTTGATCGAAAAGCAAAGAGAGATTTGGATTCTTTCTTGAATAGTATATATGAATTCATAAAAAAAAATGAGTTTTTACCGTTGGGAGTTTTGGGACGGTGCCCAGAGATAGCAGATGACACAGAGTAAAGCAAATGCAAGAATGTCCCAAAAAGCAGTGATTATCCAAGCGCTCTGCCATCTTTCGTTGAAGGGGTCTGTTGCTTTGAAATAAACCTGTGCGTAGCAAATTGTGGGATGCATGATCTAACGTTGGTATATAAATTGTGTCTGAAAAATGATACGATAACAAAGGAAAGCCAATCGTAAACAAGCACATTTATTCTCTAATGCCAAGTGCAACAACAAAAGCACAAATTAGTGTAGAAACTATTAAATGATGTAAATGAGCGTCTCACCTAAAAGCTTGACCTGTTAGAGATACGCATCATTTATTTATTTTATCTGCAAACGGGAGGTCACCAACAAGAACCAAGATACACCATATAAAAATGCTTACTATGTATGATTCAGTTATATTATCTAATCTTCTAAAGAGTGAGTTAGTGACCTTAACAAATAAGCAAGCATAGAAGAATAGAAGTATAGCGCAAGCAATAAATCAGCTTTGAAAATTTTGGATTGATAATAATAGAGAAGTCTGTGAATGAAAAAGAATAAATTGAATAATAAATAAAAAATAAAACACACACAACAGAGAAGCAAGAAATGGGAATATATACCTCATATCCTATCCACACAACTGAAGCAATAACAGCAACTGCAAGGGCATTCGAGAACTTTCTGTAAATGTCCAATTTGATCGAGCTCCTTTTAGCCTGAAAACAACTTTTTTCAATGTCAAAAGTACTAATAAACACAAGGGCAGGTTAACTCGGGGATCAGAGCCCACAAATCAATTATACTATGAAAACCTCAACTTACTGTAACATAGGAATTACCTGCAGTTGCTCCAATGTCTTCGAAAGAGAAGTGAAGATCCATAAAATCAAGAAGGCATCCAAAAATGCCACTGGGAGAACAAAAAACACTCTTGCTCGCCCTGCTATGTCATTTATGCTTCCTACATACTCCGCAATATTGAGCATTTCTGATGCCAGGAAATAGGTGATTCCAACAAGAAGCACCTTTGTCGTTAGACCACCTAGGGTAGGTCGAACAACACCATAGCCCATAGAAACAGAGAGTATAAGAATGCGTGAAAGGGTTCTTCTTACAGCTCCAATTGTCACAACCCAGGTTGTAATACCAACCGGCCTCATTCCCGTGCTATTGAAGTAAGCATAGTCAAAGTACCAGAATGTCATTTCCAACAAACCAAGAGCAATAACAGAAGTGATGCAATGCTGCAGTAGCAACACGTCGTCCCAATATCTGGCGTACTGGAAAACCCATATACCACAAAGAATTGCATATGCTATCGACATAAATATGTAAAACTTCATCAGAGGAGCCATTCTGCCTGGTAAATATCCACCGGGGTTCTTCCAAACAGTCCTTCCCGTCACTCTCATGCCCCGGAGTCTTGTGTCGCATGTCATAAAGAATAAATTATACATCCCCGTCTTTTTTATGTTGACCTCTTTTTTGTTCTTCATATGTGCGTACGCCATGTCTCCTCTAAAATAAATGTTCAAAGCAACAGGCCAGTTCTTATCTGTAGCTGACGGCGTTCTAATTACTTCCCCTTCTTTGCACCCTTCGAGTTTAGCAAGATCAGGTGTGCAACAAAGTGATCTCTGGCCGCCGTAAGCAGATCCGCCGATATTGTCACGATCAGCTGCCTCAAATATAATAACTTGAACCAACCCACCGTTGAAATCCACAGTTGGTTGATGATCAGCTGCTGTTTTACTCCCCCAGAAGGTTATGTTCTCAAATCTAAATCAATTTTACATTTAATCAGCAAGTGATGTTTTCGAATGAAGATGATTTAAACTGAAGACATGATTGAATTATCAATTCTCATTCAATTTATGAGCAATCAACAAGCATCATTCATGCATTTGAGAACCAAAATATAAACCAAATGAATTGTAACCAACATTATTGAGATCCTAAGTATGAACATAAATTACTTACAGATAACAAACCATAATAGCAGAGCTAATTTTTGCCCTCTAAAACTGTTCAAGCTGATCTCTAAATCATGTTTTGAAAGAGGGAAGATGTTTAACATTCTGTAAGAACACTGGACCTCAGATCTTCCGTGTTCTCCCCAATACTTACAGTCTCTTCTTAATTGAAACCGCAAAATCGAACTAATTCTATTCAAAATTCCAATACGACTGCATCAAGCTAATACTGCAACAGAAATGGTGTCTAATTCTTCAACAAGTTAAAAGTAAGATGATAACAATCCAATGCCGGTCAATTCGAAATCAGATCTATTAAAATTCAATCACTACCAATCAATCTCACTTGCTATACAGAATCATTAAGAAATTTAAAACAATAATTGGAATACCTAATATAAGACCTATGCTCATCCGAGGCAGCGATGCCTTCGCTGCCGCCGGAGAGGAGATAAGCATTGCCGACTTCCCGAAGCGGATCGCTTTCGTAAACATGAATCGACGCCTCAGTTGATTGGAACGCGGAAATCAAAAGCAACACTACAAGAGCAAATCCGAGAATGACGCTGCGGCGCTGAATCGGAGCTGAGCCCATGGGAAGGGAGATCTTCCCCAAGTTTGTAGAGAGAGAGAGAGAGCGAGGAGGAGAGATTGGAGGGGAGAATTTGGTGGCGGTGAGGTGAAACTTTGAAGACAAGTGACATTCCAACTAAATTGAAGCTTAAGCAACAGCCACACGAGATCAGAAAGGAGCACGTTCGTTACACGCGCCGATCAAGCGCGTGGGCGCCATCCTAACATGCGATGATGTAATAATAATAGATACTGGTTGACAACAGTGAGGAAGATCATTCATACCGACACCAACACTGTGTTATATGTACTAAGGCTCAAAGCCCATTTGAGCCCAATATTATAATAAGCAGGCCCAATATAGTAAAATACAGGGAATGTACTACATTTTAGTAGTATTTAATTTAAGTTTGAATTATAAATAATAAAAATTTAAAATTAAAATAATTATTAGATATATATATATATAAATAAATGTAGCTATAATACTTTGAATTAAAAAAATTTAAAACTATATTTTTAATATAATATTTTAAAAATAATAATAATGAATAATAAAAATTCTCGAAGAAACTCCAAACAAACACATGTGCTAACATATTACTAAGTTTATTACTCCCTCCGTCCCAAAAAGAAGTATCCATTTGCTTTTTACAAGTAGTTTTAGAAATACTAGTATCATATTGAGATATAGTAGGAATAAAGTAAAAATGACTAAAATAACCTTGTTAGTATGTATGATATAAAGGTAATGATATTTGTGTAATATATTGTAAGTTGTAAGAGTATTTGTAACGTTAGATAGATATATCAGTTACTAAAAAAAGAAATGAATACTTTGTTATGTGACGGACTAAAATGAAAAAATGGATACTTTATTATGGGACGAAGGGAGTATTTTTCATGAATATTTTATATAAAGAATGAGCATCACTAAAAACTTATTACAAAAAAAAATATATATATATATTGTGAAAAAAAATTAGTGGAAGAAACAATATGTTGTTCTTCTGTAGATTTGTGACCAGGCAGGATCCTCGGTCCCGGGAGTGGCACTCCCTGGACCTGGGACCGAGGATCCCCTGCGCTTTGTAACGGAGGGAATTTTTATTGATTGAAATTTGGTTGGATAAAGAAAAGACAAGACAACCAACCGTAATAAGAGAGGCCCGTTTGTTTTCATATAGGTGAATGAACGAGTGGACAAAATTGCAACCGATTAATTTCACAATCACAGATTGCTTCCATGGCTGTTGCCCGCTTCTCTTCTGCTGCTCTCCTCAACAATCCCATTGATTTCTACCCTGCTTCAGCTTCGATTTCAGTTTCTTCCTCGAGTGTCCTTCGTCCCTCTACACACACGAAGAGATTCTCCTGCGCTGCTGCTGGCCTGAACCTAAAATCATCGCAGAAGTGGAGGATTGAGGCTTCTTTCTTTTCCTCTTTCTTGGACAAGAGCACTGAAATTGAGAGCCTGAAGACGAGTCTTCTCGAGGCTATTGCGCCATTGGACCGCGGCGCCGCAGCTACTCCGGAAGATCAACAACTTATTGATCAGGTACGTTAGGTTGTTTGTTTTTCGATTTTTTGATTTGTTACTTAATTTTTCTAATCGAATGTTGAAATATGTTTGTTTTGGATCTTTATTTTGTTTATATGTTAACATTTAGGTTGGTTTTGGGGGATTTGGAAAATAACCTTGGCTAGAATGATCAAATTGTGGAACTAATTATGAGGAACTAGGGTTTGCAATATAGATTACTTTGTAATAATTTTTTGGAGGAATGCAATAGAGAAATAGTTGATCAAGTATAAGTATGGGAAGATCAAGGCGCATAGATTACTTCCAGTTTCTTAATCTTTTTGTTTCTTCCCAGATTGCACGCAAACTTGAGGCACTTAACAAGGTGAAGGAACCGCTCAAATCCAATCTTCTAAATGGGAAATGGGAATTGTTGTACACAACATCCAAATCAATTCTTCAGCCTGAGGTTTGCAGCTGTCTTTTCTTTTCCATTTTTTAACTCTTCTCACTTCTCAGTGGCCTGCAAGTACTCGTTTCTATACTCGAAAAAATTTTAGCAATGAAAACTGGTGCATTTATAGCTCTGAATGCTCGGAATTCATGTGGTATGACTGCATTATAGTCATACAACACATATCAAGGCTTGAGTGCATGAGCAGGTCAAGAGAGGAACAATGGAGTGAGAGAGGAAGATGTTTAAGCTTTGCTAATTTCATGCATTGCCTTCGGTGAAGAGAATAATAACTGATTGTGTAGTGAAAAAAACACAATCAAAAGTTATATATTGTTTTAGTATATAGTTTATTTGATATAAATTTTATAAAAGTGATTGGATTATTTGATTGAATATGAGATTGATTGTTAGTCTCCAGGGACAGAGAATTGTGTGTTTGAATAAATAAAATTTTAATTAACTAGGATTTAGGAAATTAAGAAAAAATATATATCTTTTTGGGAATTATTGTTTGGTGGGGTTAGGTGTTTTAGAAATGTTTTTGCTGGAAGGCATAACTATGGCACAAAACATCCTCACCAACCCCTTCTTATATAATTAAGTTTTCTATTACGGCATTGAACTACTGAATAGATGCTATTAAACCCTAAATAAAAGGGATCATGTCCAAGAAGGCTTTTTAAATACACGAAACCAATTTAGTAAAATAATTACTAAAAGCTTAGTTTTACAAATGCAATATGCACACACTCACACACACCCCTTTTGAAGGCTGTGTGTTAGCTTTTGGACAAGGAAATATCAGATATTATTTATACTGCTAAACAAGTCCAAAGGAACTGCACAAAAGAGATTATTGTGGCAATATGATTGAGATTGGACTGAACTTTTTCTCCTGATTTAGATGAGGAAGCAATTCTAGTAACTACAGTTTATGTTACTCTCCATGCATGGTTTAGTTACATACACATCTGAGAATGATCCATGTGGCATTTTCTCCTTATCCGTGTTTTGACCAGAAGCTGCTTTTAATTCCTTCCCCAAATCCATTGTAGTGTTGGATCAGCTCTTATGGAACTCACTTTTGTTCCCTGCCGTTTTACATTGCTCCAATTGATTAATCTGGATGTTCTATTGTATGTTTACAGTATCATCTTGTTATAAATTGCCTCCTTCAATATCAATATGGCAGAGACCCAAATTTCTTAGACCAAATGGAAAAATCTACCAGGCAATTAATGTGGACACATTGAGAGCTCAAAATATGGAAACTTGGCCATTTTTCAATCAGGTAACTTTTATAATGCAAGTACTTCTATTGTTATGTTATGGTGGGATTTAATAAAGCTTCGTTTTATCTTGCCTGCTTGTTCATTTCTCATTTGATTGCCTTGGAAGGCTTCGGAAGATTTTGCTTAAGCACCAAAACTCAAAATAGTCTAAAAGGGATGTGCCATATTCAAGTTTGTTGGCAAAAAGCAAAAAACAATTAGGGAACCCAATTTTTCTCAGAGATTTCTTGAACTGTTGGACCCTGAATCCATTTTCTAATATTCATTTCATATCTATTCTATTTTTAAACTTGAACTTTTGGTACATCTTTATCAATGTAAACATAGGTTTTTCAAACGGTCTATTGGTACCGTACTACAAAAGATGTTTTGCTCGGCCTTCATTTCATTTGTCGATGGGCATAAGGAAAAGGATTGGCCCTTCATTTTCCCCTGTCTCATCTCTTATCATCTAAATGTTTTAATCCTTCTGTCGTCTGTTTTGGATTTTAAATGTCTTAAATTTTTTTTTAAACTTTTGACATGGGGGAACTGACGCCTAATTCAGTCTTGTTAAATTTCTCAAAATGACTGCCATGAATTCTGTGGTGAACAATGTGGGTTTCCTCATCCAAATTTCATTTTCACCGAATTCTGTTGGCATATGACCGATGCTTTTGTAGGCTACAGCAAACTTGGTTCCATTGAATGCATGCAGAGTAGCTGTTAAATTTGACTCATTCAAGGTGGCCGCTCTGGTATGTGAATTTCCCCTCGAGCCATTTGCAAAATGCCATATCAAGTATTCTGACCATTAATGATTATCTTCAAACTCATGAAGATCGAAAGAATTTATGCCATAACTAATTTTAAGAACAATCTTCTGGTCAATCAAGTTTAGGAACATTACACTGTACATTTCACAGATACCTATTAAGTCTCGCGGAAGTGGTCGTGGCCAACTTGAAATTACATACTTGGATGAAGAGCTGAGGTAAGCTTCTTCAATCTAACTTCTCAGAGAGAAGAATGCATCTGGAAATGTCTTCAAACAATTTAATTTTACCTTGCATTACCATCAAAATGGTGGTGTCTCTGTTTTACAGTATTTGTTGTTAAGTTGCAATGTTTTATGTTGTCAGGATATCAAGAGGTAATGAAGGGAATCTATTTATTCTGAAAATGGTGGATCCCTTGTACAGAGTGCCCCTTTAGTGTAATCCATGGAATGAGACCATAAAGAAAGAGGAGGAAGAATTCTTGTCTGTAATCATCAGAAGAGGGAAATTAAGGTCAGTTTTTGCTGCCATAAAAAAAATCTCATTATATTTTATCGAAATTTTGAGAATAATAAAAAAAAAAATTAATAAAATATTAATATTTAATGTGATGTAAATAATTGTGGATGTGGTATTTTGTATAAAGAAAAATATTATTTTAAATAAGATGGATATTAGATGCAGCCATTCCAGAGACTTCTCTCAACCTTTTTCTTCACTTTCTTCTTTTAGATTTCTCAACAACACTCCATGGTGATGAAGATTTTTAGCCTAATCGAAGTGTGAAAGTATGGGAAGTAAAATACAGGAATTGTTGGGAGCTTTTGAAACTACTTGAAAATTTGATAAAATTAAAAGTTTTTTTTAAAGAAGTTGACATTTATAACAAAATAGAATGAATAATCACTCAGAGGATTATTTCTCAGTCTCAGAGCTTTTGAGTGAGTTTAAATTGCTTGGCAATCTATAGGTGTTGATAAAGCATATGGTTATGTATTTTTGTAGAAGAATTATTAATGACAATGAATATATTGGATAAGATTTCTACTAATTTTGTATAATCGTGATTAGTGGCAATAATGATTTGTGTTATTCTTTTATGGGTTAACGATTAAGTGAATTTTGGGCTTAGCAATCAATGAGTAATCGAGAAGTGATTACAGAGCTGGTTGAAAGCTTGATCCAAGACATTGGATGAGATATCACAACTTACATTCAGATTTCATAGCTTGAGACGTAGATTTTGAAATTTGATTTGTGAGATTATGTTTTGAGTTAAATTGCATTTCGTTTATAAAATTGATATTTATGTAAATTTTATAATTTATGCCTACAATTGTTTTATTTAATTTTTTATTGCGATCGAATTTTAGATTAGTTTAACAATTGTGTGCTAATCGAATATTTGCATCCGTAATTGTGGACTTGTTTGATTAAGCAGTAAATAGCTTGACAAGCTTAGTCTAGAAGTTATATATTCAAATAATTTAATCTTTTCGTAATTGATTGAATATTTGAATTGGTTTTTTCTCGTGCTATTTTCGATTGAAAATATTAATTTATGATCTACTTATATTATATATTTGAGTAGGGATGCGGTAAATTGGTCGTACAATTGTCACCAATAAAATAAGAAAAAACTGAACGTTATCGTACATATACTCAATCATTTATGTGAGTTGAGTGTATCAGATTAATTGATATATAGTTGTAAATATTAGATGATCTCAATGACTTATTTTACGGAAATTTGAACTTATAACCTTACGATCGCGAATTCATCCTTATACTAATAGACCAACGTTTACGGAACCTATTGATATATAGTTTAAATGATTGATAATGGTATTGATAATGGTATATTAATATGGAATGATGTTTTCCATATACACCTTCCGTTTGGTTCTAAGATTCACGTTTACATTCTGCGTCATTGTAATTAAGGGTGTGTTTTTGATGATCTCAAAAGATTTTCACTATTCATCAATTTTTTTCTCCAAAAACATGAAATCAAATACCTATTTTTTATTTTTTATATTATACTAAAAATTAATTTTACATTAAAAACATCACATCAATATCTATTTATATCATATGATACCACTGTTTCAATTCAAATGTTTTACTATTCAAATCTCAACTTAAAATCCAAACTCTCAAACAAACACACCCTAAAAATATTTTTATATTTTGTATAATTGTTTGTACAAATGTTTATTATTATAAGAGTACTTTTGTAATTTCTTCTTAATTTATATTACGTTTTCACATAATAATAATTAATATTCAAAGAACAATATGCAAAAAGTAAATGTGTCCCTTAGAGCCGGACGGAAGTAGTATAAATTTAAAATGTGTTTGTTTGTAAGTTTTTAGTTTTTATTACATTATTTTAACTTTTTTCTCTAAAAAATTAAATCAAATAATTTTATTATTATTGTCATATTAAACTAAAATGTAATTTTATATTAAAAAATACTTCAAACTCAAAATCAAAACTCCACAGAGAAACACAATTGTGATTGAATTTTGAGTTATAATTTTCTATCTTGTTTCCTATACTAATTTAATTGCAGTATTTCTTTAAATTTTAATATATTTAAATATTCAATATATTTTAGACAAATAATATCTTAAAAATTTTAAATATCAAACTTAAAAAAATTATCGAAAACAGAAAATGTTCTTTTATCTTTTAAAAAAAATAATACTGCAAAAAAAATCTTAATTTGATAATGAATCAATTACTTTAAGAGCATCGACAATAATAAAAATATCCTTCAAAAATTCTGATAATGAATCAATTACCTTCGCAACAAGAAAATATCAATTTTGTAATAAAATTTTTTCATCTATAAATTTACTTTTTCATTTACTAATGATATTAGAGACGGAATTAAAGAGAAAATTGCGTTAACTACGTGAACTTTATAGACGAAATTCTGTTACTAATATACTATTTTTTTTGTAGTGTCCAAGAGCATCGGAAACAATAAGAATATCCTCCAAAGATTCACGTAGAAATTTAATAATAATAAGAATAATAATAATAACTGTTATAATTAATTTGCTGAAACATTGAAAATTGTATTATTTGATCATGAAAATAAGAAGCTTGGCATTATAACATATATTCAAATCTAAATAATTTAATTTAATGGATATGACAAAATTTAAATTAAAACTCGAATCTAAAAATTAAATATGTAAAATATCTAAACACCCCTTCAAATTTAGATGGGAGCGCACATAACGGTTGCTCGTATGACGTCGCCTCCACCGCTCTCAACAAAGCTTTTGTTCTCGAACACATATTCAAACTCTAACGCAAACGCAAATAACAGGGCTTTGTCCGTCGTTACCGTTGCCGCTCCCGGATGAGCTTCTGTTCTCACACATAATAGTTGCTCGTCTTATGTCACTTATGCCGCTCTGAACAAAACTTATGTTCTCGAGCACATAATCAAACTGAGCTTCTGTTCTCGCACATAACAATTGTTCGTCTGAGGTCACTTCTGCCGCTCTCAACAAAGATTTTGTTCTCGAACACATACTGAAACTTTAATACAAACACAAATAACAATGGCTTTGTCCGTTGCCGCCATTGCTCTCGACTGAGCTTACGTTCTCGTACATAACAATTACTCATCTGACGTCGCTTCCGCTGCATTCAACAAAGTTTTTGTTCTCGAACGCAAACACAAACTCTAGCATACAATTGCAAATGGATTCAAGATCAAAGACCTCTAGAGAAATTGGCAGACTGTGTTTACTTTAGAAGAAAAATAGATTTTGATACCATGTTGATCAATTTGCGGAAATCTTAAAGATTGCATTATTTGATTAGCAAAATAAGAGGCATATATATATAGGGACTATAAAATAGATACTATGGATATAACAAAATCTAAATATAAATTTAACAAATTTAAAAACTAAATATCTAAAATTTCTCAATAATAATAATAATAAATAGGTAATTTTATCTCAAATGGTCAGGCCAGCCTTGATAGCATATGCAATGGGAATAATAATAATAATAATAATAATAATAATAATAATAAAAGTCTCAACATATGCGAAGAAAACTACGTAATTTAATACTTTGCAAATTAAGTTGAACAAAACAAGTCACATTAGAGTTTGAATCAATGATCCTAAATTCATTCCCCACATCACCAGTTCATCCCTTACGAGACTACGTGTATTTTTTTTTTAAAAAAAAAAACCACATAGAAGAGCTTTGTATAGAAAAGATGAATGAGAATTCTTGCCTCCCAATTGCCTCCCAAGCGAGAGTGGCACTTGCCATTTTTTTTAGTTTATATATATATATATATATATTTGCAATAATATATTTATGTTCATATATGATTTTTATAAATATGAATATATAAGAGATTCATGTTATAATTTATATAATAGCTAATTGTGCATTAGTGGGTTTTTTTTTATATATAAATTATTGACATAATATTAGGTAAATAACTTATTATGATAGAAATATAACATTATATTTTTTAAATATATCATATCAAATATATTATTATCATAAAGTATATGCATATATTTTATAATATTTTTAAAATTTTTTGTAAATATATTTTTACATGAAAATTTTAAAATAGAAACTAAATAAAATTAAAGAACAACAACAATAACAATAAATTTCAATTTCAATTTTAAATAAGAAAATAAATTATTACTTAACTAATTGAATTGGTAGTAATGAATTTGACAATGCAATATTTGTTAAAGAATCTTCATTCCTTATACAAAAAGAGAAACATTAATATAAAGGTCAAACTAAATATATTATTATGAAATATCGACACATAAAATATATGTATATACCTTATAATATTTTCTAAAATTTTTTGTAAATATAATTTTGCATGATTTTTTTCAAGAAGAAGAACAATAACAATAAATTTCAATTAGAATTAAACAAATAAAATTATTACTCATGTGGTTGAATTTATGATAATGGATCTGCCAGTGCAATATTTCTTGACGAGTCTTCGTTCCTTATACAATAAGAGAAATATATATATATACATTATATAAAATAGAAATAATAAAATATTTATATATTTTGAAATATGCGTACGGTTTAGTTATCGTATTCAATTTTTCGTATTTTTTCAAGTATACATTCTTCATGTGTGTGGGTTTAAATAATTCGGAGGGTCACTCGAAAGTTTGTAGGTACGGCAAAACCTCAGACATTCGGCATCGATATTGTTAATGATCAAATCCAAGTTTGAACCGGTTGACGTCTGTGTTGCTCCTAACAGAGTTGCTTTTTCCATTGTAATTGAACAACTTTTTGTTTTGCTTGTATAGTGTGTTTTTATCTGCCACACATAGTTCGTCTAGTGTGACTTGATTTACCGGACTTATTTTGCAGGTCATTAGGTTCACCCGGAGGTCTACCCAGAGCGCACTTGTCGAATAGCAGTTGCGATTTTCCATGTTATAAAAAATAATAGATAAAATGTTATTCCCCCGTCCACCCTTTTATTTGTCCACAACAATTAACACATTTCTATTTTGAGTAAAACTTACTAAATCAAAATATACTTAATAAATATAAAGAAACTTAATTAACTACGTAAACATATAACATCATACATCATCATGTAGGACCATTCAAAAATATTTTATTTCTATCTTTCCTGAAAAAACAAATACTATTTTTATTTACATTTAAAACTCACATCTCTTACAAAACTAATTTATATTAATTATACATAAATTTTATACTTGTATTATAATGATATTTACTTGTATTATACATAAATAATGATATTATTTATTCTCTACAAAATTATATCCATATTGCATATATTTTTTTTTGCGATATAAATTTTAAAAGATTTAAATGTATATTCTAACTTTTTAATCATACATATTAAATTTAGTTTAAAATTATCATTATTATTAATTATATATAAAAACTAATAATAAAATAATATCACAATTCACAATTATTAGCTAATTAAATATTATTACTTTAAATACCGTATCACTAATAAAAATAATCATTTATTTTGGTACAAAAAAAAGTATATTATAATTATTTTTACAACAATAATAGTTTTGTAATAAAATTTACTACAAAATCAATTGAGGTTTTAGCGCACACTGAAAAGTAGGATAAAGAATCACGTTGACCCTACAAATTCATGATGAAAGTGAGTTTTTGATATCCAATCAAATTTTTGAAATCAGTTTCAAAACCAAATACATATTAAATTTGAAAAATGAAAAATTGTTACATGTACTTCATAACTAAAATCATAAATAGAATAAATATAAACATAATAATAAAGTACTACAACTTAATAAATTATATTTTTAAATATACCAAAAATAAAAATCACAATACTACTTGTACAAATTAGAACAACTATTAAAGTGAAATAGAAAATTTATTTTCCATTTTCTTTTTTAAGATTAGTAGACAATTATTTATTTTTAATTTAGTATTTGAGATTAATAAATAAGCAAAAATGATTTAAATACACAAATTAGTATTTATAATTACTGAAGATGAAATATCAACTACAATTACACAGTTTTTTGAAGGAAAATTTAAAAAATTAACAACATATGTTATTATTAGTTATATTTTTTTGTAATTAAAACTATTTAAAATTTTAGAAATTGAGTAAAACTGTTATAAAAATTTGAAAGAGTACATTCGAGTGACAAGAAAAAAAATATATATTTTTTTTATTGTTCATATCTACCATAAAGCACAAGTTTATTCAAAAATACAAAACAAACTCACCCACTATATATATATAAATATTATGCTTTATTAATTATTTTGAAATTCAACACTAATATTAAAAAAAAAAAAACAAAACAATAGACTAACGGACAAATATATTCCATTTGTCAACTTAAAAGTATTTATTTATAGTATTATGTTTAATTTTTACATAAATTATATGAATATTATTATGTATGCATCGAGTATAACTATTTATTTATAAATAATTAAAATTTGATAAACATTAAGGCCTATTAGCTCAGCTGGTTAGAGCGTCGTGCTAATAACGCGAAGGTCGCAGGTTCGAGACCTGCATGGGCCATTATTATTTTCTTTTTCCACATATAAACAATCCTTATTAAAATTTAATTTCTTTTCATTTTTTGTGACTAACTTTTCACATTTTTACAAAAACTATTCCTACTTTTTTCACAATAATTATATAAATTAGGAGCATTTTGATATTTTAGAAATATTTTTACAACTACTATCAATATAATACTATTAATCTTTAATTTTCATGCCCATCATAAATTTTCATATTATTTTGGGACAAAGGAATAAAAATCTTAGGGTAAATTATATAATACTCCATTGTATTTTACTAAAAATGCATAAAACACCCAATGTTTTATTTATTGGGTGAAACACCATTGTGTTAGTTTGCATGAAATACCTTCTTATCCAATAATACTGATATATGGTTATAAATAAGGAATAGAAATCTTAGGGTAAATTATATAACACTCCATTGTATTTTAGTAAAAATACATAAAGCACTCAATGTTTTATTTATTGCGTGAAACCACTTTGTGTTAACGTAATGTTTGCATAAAATACCTTCTTATCCAATACTGATATATGGTTATAAACAAAAACTTTTACACAAGTTTTATACATATAAAAAAAGTAAAATATTTTAAATAATTATTTTTTAATAAAATAAATAAATAAATAATTGATCAATCATTTATTTTTATAAAATTTTAAAAAAACAGATAACAATTTGTCTCCATAAATTATAAAATAAAATATTAATCAATTATTTATTTATTTATTTTATTCAAAAAATTTATTTAAAATATTTTACTTTTTTTATTTATATAAAAATTAAGTTTTTGTTTAGAATCAAATATCAATTTTAAATAAAATGTAATAAATAAAAACAATTTTATGCATTTTCACATAAATCATACATGATAGTGTTATATAATTTATAAAAAAAATAGCCAAAAACATGAGAAGAATATAAATACAGTGAATTAGCACCATACACGTGGCTCTCTTAATGAACGGCGTAGATCATTCTGGTGTTACAACCACGATCTCCCATGAATCACCTCTCTCGCCGGCCGAATAAATCTTTTTCGTAGGGAAATCAATTCTCACATAAAGATTGTGAAAGCGAGAGATTTGGAGCGGGCCAAGGCCAGCGATGTGGAGGGGAAAATTGATCCCTCGAATCTGAAATTGGCCGAATTGACTTCAATTGATGAGGAAAATTGCATTAAATTCGATAATTCTGGCGATCCCTTCGACAAATCGGGTCTCCAGTTTGTCTCCTTCACAACCCATGGCCGCCTCCCCCACCGCCCCTTTCCTCCTTCCCACGAAACCCACCGTCGCCGCAGGCGGAATCCCATTTCGAACCCTGTGCTTATCCACCAAGGCCACGCCGCCGCAGCAAGAGGATGCCGCCTCAACAACGCCGCCGCCGAAGAAGTCCTTCGCCGTATCCACGGGGGAGTTCTTCATCGGCATCGCCTCGCGGCTGGTGAAGAAGGGAGGGAAATCTGTCAACGGAGTAGGAGTTGAGAATCCGACCGTGGAGATGTTCGTGGAGAAGGAGAAGCAGAGGGATTGGTGTTGGAGGCGGCTGAGGAAGGAGGGGCTTACGGCGGTGGACGACCCGGTTCAGCCGGAGATCGTTTGGGAGCAGAGGGAGGAAGACGTGGAGGCGGAGCGGCGGCGTAAGGCGTTTACTAGCCCCGGCTTCAGCTTCTCCGCCGCTGGGCTATTGTTTCCGTACCATCTTGGAGTAGCTCAGCTTCTCCTTGAGAAGGGCTACATTAAGGTTTTTGTCAATTCTTTAGATGATATCAATTCTTCTTGTTGATGATATATATATATATATATATATGTTTATGAGGTTAATATACTCTGTTTTCCATGTGTTTTGAATATGAAAAATAACTTTGATGCCAAAAAGAAAGAAAATGTATCTTGTGTTTGTGGAAACAGAACCAATTAATGTTTGTATGGCCAATTTTTGAGGGCTCTACTTGGAACTACTTATGAGGTTGTATGTAGTGTGTTATCCTATTTGCTTATTCTGTTGTTTTTATTTTGGATTTGCACTTCGAATTTTGTACTCGATGAGTTGCATTGTGTTCCATTATGTATAACATAGTGTTGAGTCTTGATGCTTATTGTCCATCGACGGATTTAGCTGTGGTTCAGGAGATTTTGGACTAAAGAGGGTCGGCAGACATGATTTATTGAGTGAAAATTGTTTCGATGAACTACTGGAAGTTGTTCCCCTTTGGGCGTGTCTTCATATTTTTTGTTCATATGAATGTGTGTGGCTGAATTTTGGTTAGGTGTTTGTTTAACAAGATATATAATTCCATGAGACAGGAAACAACACCGCTTGCTGGATCATCAGCTGGTGCCATTGTCTGCGCAACAATAGCCTCGGGAGCCAGCATGGAGGAAGCACTAAGAGCGACCAAGAAATTGGCTGATGATTGTCGGCTTCGCGGGACTGCATTCCGCCTAGGGGTACTTATCAACCACTTGAATTACATACATTTTTGTACATGGAAGTCCACCAAATAATCTTTTATTTTTTCATCCAGGCCGTTCTTCGGGAGGTTCTGGACCAGTTTTTGCCGCATGATGTTCATATCAGGTCCAGTGGAAGAGTTCGTGGTGGGTACACTGTCTCTCTGCACTTGTAGTTAGAAATTAGTTTGTTATTCTCTGGTTTTTTCCTGAAAGTTTTTGATCTTTGCTATGCCTGTGATTAATTTCGATTAGTGCTTCATTTCTGGGAAAAATACAATAGTCGCTCGTGGCTTGAGTGTTGATAGAATTCTTGTGTTTCATGTCAGTTGCTGTCACGCAGTTACTTTGGAGGCCGAGGGGATTACTTGTTGACCAATTTGATTCGAGGGGTGACTTGATCGATGCGGTGATCACTTCATCGTTTATTCCAGGGTAAACATACACACGAGCCATTTGAGATTGGATTGTATGTATGTATGTATGTTTGGCGTAAACAAGGATTTTAACGGTTTCAGATATTTAGCTCCAAGGCCGGCAACAATGTTCCGGAATCGCTTGTGTATTGATGGGGGTTTGACACTCTTCATGCCGCCCACTTCTGCTGCTCAGACGGTATGCATTAACATGTTGGGGGATTTAGAATTGTTATCAAGTGTACGTGTATCTTTCTTACTATGATGATCCTACATTGCATTGCAGGTACGTGTTTGTGCATTTCCTGCAAGTATGTTGGGGTTGGAAGGGATCGGAATTAGCCCCGACTGCAACCCGGAGAATCGGGGAGGTCCTCAAGAGGTAGGTAACCCTTTTTTGAACGCTTACTGTTGATGTATTCCTTGCTTACTTTTGATGTTTGGTTATAGCTTTTTAGTTGGGCACTGGAGCCTGCATCGGATGAAATGCTCGACCGTTTTTTCCAACTTGGATATCAAGATGCGGCTGTGTGGGCTGAGAAAAACCCGATTGAAGAAACCGTCCGCGAAGTCGACGAAGGTGCTGCATGTCTTGAAAATGGTCCTGCAAAGTAATGCATGTGACTATGAACAACATTTTGTAGAATAGAATACCCACAAAAGGGCTTGGATTCCATAGTGATTAGAATTCAGAGCAGTGCAGAGCTGTGCATCCCACATCGGTTGTGGTAAAAGGGTTAGCCTGATGCAAGTGTAGTAACTGTTCTTATATATCTCATGTTAAATTAATATTTATTCTTTTATGGGGAAGGTCTGTTAAGACAGCTTGCTGTTTGAATTGAGCACACCCAACTGACTATTTAGGTTCTGGAATTTTGGTATTAGTTCAGGAGCATTATGAATATTTTTAATTCGTTGGATCATTTTTATTGGCAATTCAACCATTGAGTTTGACGAGGATGTTTGCGAATAATTACTTTAAAATTGTATACATTTAAATTATAATGATGTATACAGTATCACAAATAATATAATATCTCTGCTTATATAATTTAATAAAACGATGTTCAAATAAATGTACATGATAGATACATTTTATGATATGACAATTATATAAATAAATTAGAAACCAAATATATATAATATTAATTTTTTTAACCATTCATACTCCATCTTATTTACCAAGCTCTAAATTCACTACGCAAATACCCTTCCTCCGTCGCGCCCTCTGTCTACAACGCAGTCCGCCGCTGCCGCCGTCGACCCCTCCAGCCACATCCGCTGGCGTCAAATAACCAGCCCCGCCACCGTTTCCTTCTCTATTTGCATATCCGCAAATTCAAAACAAAAAGAACGAAGCACATTCGAGTACCATCTGTGCCAAGAAAAATAGCAGATTTCAACAACAAGTTCTTTTGGCCAAATAGACAAATTTGTTAGTTGTGTTTTCAATACGGCGTAATTTTTTTATGGTAATAATGAGTATATGTGCATTCTTGATTAGTCTCTCGTAGAAAAATAAATGTTTTCGCAGTTATTCCTAAAAACCTTTATGTTGATCTTCGCACACGCACACGTACGATGTATATTCATGATACATATGTTGTTTAACTCATGATAGACTAATGATACAAAATCTTATTATGCACACTTTTATTTCATGTTATGGTTCCTATTTATGATTTATATATCGTATAATTATGATATATTTATCACATTTAAATGATAAACTATGTTAGATATATTTTTCACCATTATATTTATAAATATGATGTATAACTTCAATAGACATGATATATATATCATATATAAATGATATAAGTTGCATATATGTATGCTGCACGTATAGTTATGATATCTTTCATTTTATGATTTATATATTGCATAGTTATGATTTATTGGTCAGGTTTAAATGATGGATTATGTTATATATATTTTTCATCATTATATTTATATGTATGACTGAACGACAATATTCTTTGAACATGTTCATTTATTATTGGGGTCAATTTTACTTTATTTTTGCACCCTTTTTATTGCGGCAATAATGAATGTGTTGATGCAGATTTTCAACAATAAAAAGTAAAATCCGAAAGTAGAAATTATTTTCGAATTTGATAAAATAAATGCCTGAGATTAAGAATCCCTAAGCACCGTACACATAAATAAAATATGAAAAAATAAATACTACAGACTGTAAAAGTAAAATGGTGATCCCAAAAGAAATCGACTGAATTTGATGTCGACTGAAGATGGTTTCTTTAGGTCGTGAAAAGACCTATTTAAAACCCATGTTAGCCGCCATAACTAAGTCGTGCCTTTATATCCGCTCGTCGGTTGTAACTTCTCTCAACTGAACCGCTTTTTGTCCGACCTGCACACCTACTGCCAAGTCTCCTCTTGCCCGTCTTCCACTTGCCCGACCTCCATATCGGCCGTCTTACCCTTCTTCGCGCGATTTCATCTTGTCCGACCTCCGTATTGGCCGTCTCATCCTTCCATGCTCGACTTCATCTTGGCCGACCTCCGTCTAGGCCGTCTGATCCTTCTTTGCCCGACTTCATCTTGTCCAACCTCTCTGCATCCATTGTTCACTTAATTTACCATTTTTCCAGACCCATATAAGACCCTGCTACCATTATCAGGCCCATTGGACTATACATCGGTATAATTTATAAGCTCATTCTCAAGAAACTCTATAGATTGGTTTTTTCCACTCAACAGAATGTATTGTATATTTGATGATCAAATTAAACTAATGGAAGCCTGCAAATATTCTATTGTTTCAACCATTGACTAAATAATTTTTGTGTGCAATTATTGATACGTTGAATGACTAATACGATTACGATGCATATATATTTAAAATATGATGTTCAAAAAATAGGGATATGATGTAATAAAAATTCGTCAACAGTTACTTTCACGGTCGATAAGAAAACTTACCTCATTCTGTAATTTCTAAAACGTTATCTTCGTCCACAGTACATTGGAACCGACTGAAATGCACATCATTTTGCTTCATCTTGTTCTACGCTCCGACTTCTTCACAATTTATTTTCTTAGATGGATGTCGGTGAAAGAAGATGAAGTTATCTTCTTCTTTTTTTTTATGTGAACCTACTAAAATTATAAATACGACTTGCATCTGTTTATATTTATATTCTTTTAATTTATGTTAAAATAAAGTATTGACTTATTAATTATTAAAATCAAATTACATATCTACTCCTAACTGCAATTTCATCCGACTGAAATTTTTTCAGAAAACCATATTCCGATTGTAGGTTCTGATTAGATGTTTTTCTATTTGATTTGATATTTTGTAAGAAAAAACAGTATATTTGAAATAAATTTTTCCAAACATAAATGATACTAAATAAAAGATATTGCCTAAACAAAGCCTAAATTTTGTAACTTTATTTGTATAAAGTTTCTTAAGGCTTGTTTCTTTAATTCTAAATTTTAAGTTTTTACTATATGAAATTTTTATTTTTTTTTCTCATAAACATCACATTGTATATTATTTTAATATTAAATTCAAATCAAAATTTTTCGAAACCATATAAAAAGAAATTGTTTGAGTTTGAGGGCTAGTGATTAATTTGGGCTTGCTTGGAATATCCATGTCCATTATTATTATTATATTTATACCAAAATACTGCTGGCAAAAACAAAACAGTAGGTTGGTTTGGAAATACACAAAAAAGAAAACCATTGGACAAGCAGCTGGTATTTAATTTAAGAAATTAGATATTGTTGGCAGCAGCAGCAGGAAAAGAGTGAATAAATAAACCAGAGACTGACTGCCCACAGCTTACTACTTAAACCGATATATATATATATATATCTCTATGGCATCTCCCTCTCTCTATCTATATCTATATCTAGAGAGAGAGAGAGAGATGTCAGGAATTGTCGATATGTGGTGCAGTGAGGCGGATAAGCTGAGGAAGAAGAGCAACAGCAAGGGCTCAGGCGGCTCGGCTTCGGCTTCGGGTCCAGCCGCCGACCATGGAAGAACCGGCGGCGGCTTGCAGCAGTGGTGGGCTGAGAAGCTGAAGGCGGTGCGCTGCTCCGAGGCATCTCTGGCGATGCTTCTCGACACCTTCAGTGCTTAGCAATGCCAATAGCATCCTTTTCATTTTAATTTTAATTTTAATTTTAATTTTGTAAGATAAAATAATTAATGATGGTATGTTTACTATTTCTAATGTAAATTATTAGTTGGATGCGAATACGTTATGTTTTTATTTTCATTTTCATTTTCATTTTTAAGTTTTTAAGAATTATAAATATTACATAAAAATGGATACACAAATATAAATAAATAAATAAAATCCTAATTATTGTGATGTAATTGGGTTTGGACAAATAATTTTTTCATAAATTAATTATAACGTAATGATATATTCTATTCGATTGTAAGGTTTAATAATTTATTACAAATTATTATTTTTTATAATATAAATATAATTTCACATACCTAATTATATATATATATATATCAAAAGATACAAAACGAACAAACTATTGCAATGGAAAAAAAATAAAACTATTCGTTTGATGATGTGTAGGGTGTGTTTGTTTTGTATTTTGTTTTTAAGAAAATATTTTGATATCAAATACTCCCTCCGTTCCAAAACTATAATATGGGTTGTGTTTGACACATAATTTAAGGAATATTGATATAATACTGGTAGTGAGTAAAAAGTACCTGTTGTGAGTGTATTGGTGTAAAAAATAATGACAATTATGTAATAATAATAAAAAAAATAATGATAATTTTATAGTGATATGATTATTTTCAGAAATGTGACTATTGTTTTGGAACGAACAAAAATGGTAAATAGGACTATTGTATTGAAACGAAAGAAATATAAAAAATTACATAGATAATATAAAATAATGAATGTATATAGTATATTAATTTTTTATTTAATAAACAAATAATGGGTTGAATTCTTATAAGATATTGGATCTGTTTTTGATGTAAATTGGGATCAAAATTGGTACTACAGGTTTTCTTCGTATGCATTTTAAATGAGTTGTTTGTTATTCATTTAGTATGTTATACTATAATATAGTTATATTATTTTTATAAAATATTAAATTAAAGTATTATTTAATTTAAATTTCAAGTAAAAAAATTTCAAATACAAATACAAACTACACAAGTAGTAAAATATATAAAAACTAATGTCAAATAATTGATTTACAAAACAATATACTCCCTCCGTCCCAGAAGTCTGGGTTATATTTGACACGAGATTTAAAAAATATTGATATTATATTAATAGTGGATAAAAGACTTTGTAAAAAGTAGTGACAATCGTATAATAATAATGAAAAAATAAAAGTAGTTTTATAATAATATTATTATTTATAGAATTGAGATTATTATTTTGGGACGAATAAAAGATTATTATATTGGGACGAAAAAAAAAAGTACAAATAGCTAATATACATTCATTTAGTCAAACATGTTAATATTTTTGTTTGTCCATTTTATTTATTCTTTAATTTTTAGAAAATATAATTATACATTTTAATTATATTATAAATTTCATAATTTATAACTTTTTAACTATATTATTTAGTTATCTTAATTTTAATTATATTATTTAATTATTTTAATCATAATATATAATTATATTTTTTTCTAAATTCTCGTATATGCCGTAAACCAAATACAAAAGGTGGTATAGAGGGAGTATTAGATATTGAAAATTATAAATATATTATTAAAAAATTCTATTTTTGTTATTTTTTAGATATTTTGTGAGAAAAGTAGTAATTTATTCACCAAAGTGAGATGATTCCTCGTAAATATTATAAATATATATATATAAATATATATTAACATAATATATATAATATAAATATTTTATTTATTCCAAAAAAAATAACAATTCAATATAAATTATTGTTTCTTGTATTAACAATATTATTTTTCATATTTTAACCTAAAAATACATTTATCTAAAAATACAAAAGTCATATTTACTTGTGCTATTTTCTTTCTTGTTTAGGCATTTACTATTCAAAACTCAATCTACAAATCCTACCCTACTCCAATCTACTAGTTCCTAGGGCACTAACACAAATCAATATTTTATTTTATAAATATAATTTATTAGTATATAATTTCATTTATTCCTTTTAGGAAAAAAATAAAATTATTTTTACTTTAATAAAAAAAATCAATCAAATTTACTTTTTTTTTTTTGTAAAAATTACACTCATGCTATACAATTTACCATTTTCTTTCTTAGAGCGGATTAAATGACGGTATTTTCCTAAAAATGATTATTGTGTTTGGTCATGATTTTAAATCGAAATCAATACTATTCATCTAACACAATTTCTCTATCACCAATCGATTTCCTTGTATCCGCATGCCTTAAGTTTTAAAGCAAATACAATAACTTTAATTGGAAGGCTTACATCACATTTTCGAAAAAAAACCTCGTGTAAGAGACGAAAATCAAAGACAAAATTTAGATTCAATAACGTTTTGGCTTGTACAGTAAAAACGTAGATGGGTGTTTTGTTCTCATTTTTTTTTTTTCATCTTTCCACCTCTTTTCTCTCAACTTCTCTCAAACCCACTTGAGACATTGAGACATCATTAGCGGGTCAGGAACGTTAACTAGAGATGAAATTTGGAGGATGTTTCTTGATTTTTCAAAAACAAATCTCAACCAAGGTACAATTGAAAATTTTATTGCGATTATTTTCATGGTTTATCATTGGATAGATTTTGTATCGACCAATTTAAATTTGCATGAAAATTTTTTGCTTATCTTACTAGTGAGAAATTGTTTGGTTGATGTTTAAGTTAGTTCTGTCGACCATTTGCTTTCGTTTATGATTTTTTTTATATAAGGATTTGAATTCTAGAGAACCGATGGCTATATTTGGTTTAGGGTATTTTCTTAATAAATAAACTTAGAGGTATTTTTCCACTCAAATCAACACAACTTTCTGCATCAACGGTTAGCATTATTTTTATTATTTTGTATAAATTTTTTTATTATTTTAAATTTGCAATTTTGTGTCGTTTTACATTGTTGGATATATTTTTTTTTAAATCTAAATTTTTTTTGTATATTGTTAGACATTGGAGATGAATTTGAGGAGCTTCTTTATCTTTTATGAAATAGAGAAGTGCCTTTGATTAAAAATTTTGATTTTGTGCTTTAGGCTTGGATATGATTAGAAAAAAAATTGTGATTAAAAAATTCTAATATATCTATAGTTTTTGTTAATTACTTTCATATAAATATTTTTTCACTAGTTGATCAATCCCAATTTGTAGGATCTATGTTTATTGGAATCTGTATTTGTTGTATAATGTTAAAATTGTATAAGTTTTATATAAAATATCAATCGTCGAACAAGATGATTAAAGTGTGTAAGATATATATTCTTATTCATGTTTGTTATTATATTTATGAATAATTATAGTTCATTTCGTAATCTTTTTTATCACTGTAATATTTTCTTGTAATCAAATACTCATCACATTTTTCAGATAATTCAATAATGATCTCCCGATGAGACAAAAATAAAGTGGATGGAGTTTTGAGTTGTCTGAAACAAATTTTAGGTTCCAAACACTTCCTCAAAACTAAACTCTCTGCACTGATACATAGAATGCCAAAAAGAATATTATATTCTATCCGTCATGTAAATGTGTATTCATTCCACCGGGTACAAGTTTTAATAAAAATAAATAATAATTCTTATTTTTTTCTTTTATAATAAAAAAGTACATATATGCACGGGTTTAAATCTGTACTAACTTTCCTTTTAATATTTTTACTTATTTTTTTATGACAACCCAAAAAGAAAATAAACACAGATATATATATTAATTTCATAAAGAATTGTTCAGTTCAAAATGAATATACACATACATGCAATAATAACGTCATTTATCATGTCACCATCGGCCGTATTGAAATATAAAAATCATATACTACACTATAATTAATTTAAAATTTTCAAAAAATCTTACTTCTCACCAATGCATGAATTTATAGATGGAGATAAAATAATCACACCCATAAATAAAAATAATATGTTCCTTTCACTAAATTTTACAATTATAAAAGGGATAACGTTATTAATAACCGTTATAATTCTAACAAAATATATATTCTACCAACCTCGACGCTACATAGAACTGAATATTTCATCATACTACTATAACAAGATATCATATTTAATTTTGAATATTAATATCATATTCATATATCGTATATATTAAGAGAAAAAAATACATATAAATTACGTTTACTTTAAATGATAGAATTATAATAAATAGATTATTTTAGTAAATTATATAATCAATAAATTAATAAATACAATGTTTATTTTATGTTATTAAATATGAGTAAAGTTATATTATATTTACTTTGTTTAATTATATAATTTTTTTTAATCTAAAATATTTTCATAATTTTATTATATATTATACTAATATAATTTTTTAATATATTTTTATTTTTAATTATAGCACTATAATGTATAATAATATATTAAAATTTATATTGTTATGACATTCATATATTATTTATTTATTATTATTGAAGAGTATTAATTTTTTTTTTTTAAAATTATAAAATAATTTTTAACAATATATTTTATATTATTCTTATAATTTATTTTATTGATTAAAAATTATAAAATATGTTTTAAATAAAATAAAATTATATAAACAATAAATATCATTATATTTATATAAAATATTTTATTAAATAGAATTAAATAATACTTTATTTTATATTTTATTAATAATTTTATAAATTAATATTATTATATCGAATAAAATAATAAAGCTCATCGTGATGTACTGCATAATATAAATATAAAAATATTTTTATTATTTAAATATAATTTTATTTTTTTTTAAGATTAGGGTGTGTTTGTTCATTGTGCAAACAGTCCAAACCTAGTAGTTCGGTTTGTGTCACGCGCTGACACACTTTTTTTTTATTTTTTATTTTTTTATTTTTATTTTAAATTATAAATTAAATTAATTTTTTTTATAATATGTTGTATAATTTAATAAAATACAATATATAAAATAATTTTTTATAATATAGATAAATAAAAAATTTAAAATATAAGATAAATTTATAATGAAATTATATAAATTAATACATATTTATATTACTCTCATATCCTATTGAAATGTTGCCATTTTTTATTTTTGTCTGTTCCAAAACAATGTTATCATTTTCCAATTTAGTAATTGTGCATCCTACCTAACGTAATAAATACCCTTCCAACTTACACTATATTACACAAATGTCATTACTTTTATATTACACATTACTAATAGGGTTATTTTCGTCTTTTTTACTACAATTTATTATAATACTAATATTAAAAAATCTACTTGCAAAAAATAAAAGACAATCTTGCACCAGAACAAATGGAGTATTATATTCAGAATCATCAAATCAATATACATCAAATTTTTTCAAACTGAAGCCAAACCTAAACATTAAGGGTGTGTTTCTTCGGGAGAGTTTGGAGAAAGTTGGACTTGAGTTGGATTTTTATTTAAATTTTGGGATAAATTTGAATTTTGTTATTTTTTTTGTATTTAGGTTTGATTGGAATTTGGGGAGTTTTTTTATGTGTATTGATTTGATGGATAATGAATAAAATAATATAAATATATATTAAATTTAATTGATAAAATTTATATTTAATTATGAATTTATATTATACCCAACATATATATATATATTAAAATTTTTATTTATTTGTATTATAAAAATTTTATTCTCTACCAAATAGCATATATATTACATATATATTTTTTATTTTAATTATAATAAATATTAAATAAAATTTTAAATTTAAAAAAAAAAAAAAAAAAACAACAGATTTTGCGCCCTAAAATAACAGATTTGGGCCAATCCTCGTTGGAGAAACATACCCTAAAAAAAATAAGCATCGGTGTGTTTGTTTGAAGGATTGAATTGGATTTATATTATTCATTTAATTTTTTTTCCAAAAAACATCAAATCAAACATCTATTTTTTATTTTTTACATTATATTAAAAATTAATTTTATAATCAAAACATCACGTGAACACCTATTTATTTCGCATTATACAACTATTTAAATTCAAATTTTTTATTATTCAAATACCAACTCAAAATCCAAAACTCCGAACATACCCATCCTAAATAAACACACCTTGAATATTGGAGTAACTCAAATCTAACCCCCATACTGTATTTTCCCCCTCCAATGTAGTCGATCTTTCAATTTGATCTTTGCCGGAGTAGCAGAATTGGAGCCACCGGCGGCGAACGACGATGCGGCGGTGCCTCGCGTCCTTTTCATAAATTATTCCTATAATAGCATTAAAGTTTGGTACAATTGTAGCCTATTATTATTCATTCTTTCTATCCCATCCCCACTCATCTGCGCTAAGCAGATTCATGTCCGTGCAATTAGGGTTTTGTCCCAATACTTTACACCCTACAGGGCAGCCAAATTTGATTTTGGTTTTTGGACATTCAGACAACGGCGTCGAGTTACACGAGTTTTCACTGTTGGAGTTCTTCGCTGCTGCCGAAGAAATGTTGAGAAAAATTGCGGCGAGGAAAAGTTCACCACCTTACGAAAAATGGTCCTTCGATTTAGTCCCTTTCCTAACTCCTCAATAATCCATCCATCCAATTAGCACTTACTCGAATAGGTATTTGTCCTCTTCCCCTTTTCTATCGAACCTTTTGCTTGTCCAGTATTCATGGTTTTAATTCAAGTGAGCACACTTGAATAAATCTCTGTTATTCTGTAAATTGTTATTGAAGGCTGACGAGCAGAATCCAAGATGCTTTCAAAACTCGCCGTTAAAGCATCCCCTCAAATAAGTTGTTCTTCCCCTAGATTTCCATACCAACAGCCTAAGCTGTACTTGAAGAAGGTTGTGTGCTGTGGGAAGGATGGTTCTTCTTCGGATTCTCCCAGTTCTTCGGACAATAAGCTGTTCAAGCTGGTGGAGCAATCTCTGGTCGACAGGAATTGGAGGAAGCTCGATGATATAGTGGACACACGTGGGCTCCTGACTTTGAATTGTTATTTGTTCTATGCTCGGATTATATTGTATCATGAAGTTATCCCTGTTTTGATTGACAGATGCTGTGCAAGAATCGTGGAGCCAGTGGCTGTCGAAGACACAAACCTTTCTGCATAAAGTGGCTACTCCGCTGGTTAAATCTGTTCATGACAGAAGGCCAGCAATTGAGAATGAGAATGAAGAGATGATGGAGGATATGTTGATTGTTGAACAGACTGTTGATTCCAGAACCCCTGGAGGGGAGCTTTCCGAGGCTGCCATCATTTCCATCGAGCAATTTAGCCGGTAAATGCACCGTTTTTCAGTATTTTATGTTTTAGGCTTTTAAATCTTAATTAATAGTTCAAACATGACTGGATTGATAGATGGTTTTACCTAACAAGGGTGCTTATATTTAATGAGTCAAGTTTGAACCTAACATCAAGATTCTTATGAAAACAAGTAGGATTACTTTTAAGAAATGATAAATTTTTCCTTGAGTCGATTTAAGCAACTTGTTTATTGGATCTACTTGAGCTTTCCTTTGTGATCTTGTTTTGTTGCTGTTCTACAAAGTTTGGAGCTTGTTAAACATTTTCGTGAGATACTTTATTCTTTCATGTATTAGTCTTAGAAAAGCTCGAGATTTGATGAACAATACACTCTATCTTGCTGATATAAAGGAATTAATTTTAACCTTTTCCATATGTAAGATATGCAGGATGAATGGATTGACCGGGAATAAAATGCAGAATATATTCAAAGCACTTGTTCCAGAGTCTATTTATAAAGATCCACGTAATTTGGTGGAGTATTGCTGCTTCAGGTTTTCGTCGAGGAATAATGCCGATGTTCATCCTAGCCTCAAAGTGTGTATTCCTACTGTTCTATATTTAAACATGGTTCTTCATTAATTAATGAATTGATCTGATGACTTTATTAATGCACTCTTGGTGCTGATTTGAGTAAATGTCAACCTTCTCAAACTAATCAAAGTTTAACAAACACATAAGAACAAATATTTAAAATTTCTTCAATAAACTTGACAAATCTTTTGGTTTTTGAATGTCATGATTTTTAGTTGAAAATTGGAATCTGACACTTCTTGATCTTTTGATGTATTTTTCAGGAACCAGAGTTTCAGAAACTAATTTTTATAACGATGCTTGGTTGGAGTAATCCTTATAGAAATGTAGGGGACAATCGAAGTAAACTACAGGAAAGAAACACCTTCCAGGTAGCTTATGGTTTCCCATTGTTCCTCGTTTTCAATATGAGTGTATTTGATATGAGATTGGGTGATCTTCAGGTTTATGTTAGATGATGAAAGAACCTAGTTCATTTAGAGTTGATTGTAGCACAAGGTTGATGACTTTGCAATGTGCGTTTGTTTTATTTTATTTCAATTTATTTTTTAGTCTTTATTTATTTAATGTGTTTTGAGTCAATAATGTACATGGACCCATATCTACTAGGGTCCATGATAAGCAGTGGACATAGACGAAGGTTTACTCAGAACGACGGCCACGAGAGATATGATTCTTGACTTATTTCCACAAGGCTCTCTACTATGCCCATCAAATGGAAACAACCAAAGTAACTATGGTGTGATGAGGTAAGGCGGCTGGCTCGTCTACAAAGATTGGGGGCATACTAGGAGTAGAATGCATGGTGGGGGATGTTAAAGGGACCTGAAATGTCCCGACAAAGGATTTTAATGCACAACGTCCCTGAGGAGATCAAAGTGAGTCTTGCGTGGATGGTGATGGATGATGAGGCACTATATTGGTCCCACTGGTATAATGCATGCCTTCGCCTCTTGGATTGAATTCTCCCATATATTGGTTGCTAAGTTTGATGATCGGTTTATAGGAGGTTTCTATGAGCAAAAATCTTACCTCGAATTGTAGGCAATTATCCAGGACTATATTATAAGAGAACGTATTTCGATTATGAATATCGACAAGGAATATTGTTGTATCGGGCTCACTTGCTGTAAATGGCGACATCCCTATGGATAGTGATGTTGGAGAAATTTTGTGATACCCCGGTTGCAAGCCATGCAAGACCGGACGTGTCGGGATCGTAGAATGGCCCCACAAGTCAATACGAGTTCTTTCAGTGCGCTTCTGCACCCTGAGAGACTTCCCAGGGGCACCCATCCTCAAATTACTTTAGAGCAAGCACACGCTTAACTCTAGAGTTCTTTCAGTAAGGTTCTTGAAAAGGAATGTGCATATTGTTGACACAAGTAGTCTATTCAATTTATTTAATCTCTAATAAACTTCCGATGGCCTAATACTAGCTCATCCACACACGGAAGTTGACCAAACAACCGCCCAATTGCGGGGTATCATAAATTTTATGACACCCACTCGGTGGACATGCGGGAGTGCACCGTACCTACCAACAATTGGTGGGTTTTGTCTATTAGGTAAGAATGCACTTTATAGAAACAAAATATAAATGATAAGAAGAATCAAGCTATATCAATCGTTTGCCCTAGAGCAATCAAACGACAATTACTTTATTTCCAAAATTCCAGAATGAGTCTCAAACCTTAATTACTCCTTAAATATTACTCCCTCCGTCCCAAACATCCTGTCCCAAATTCAGTGCAATATTTTCAAATTTAGAAATAATTAATAATATATATTAATATACACTTCACTTTATCTCATCACATCACTCAAATAAAAAACAAAAATAATCATTTCTCTCTCCAACACATCACTTAATATCCAAATTATTTCAAATTATCATACTTAATATTTTCTACCTGAATTCCCGTGCCAAACACAAATGTTGTATGGTGTTTGGGAAGGAGAGAGTATTTCCTAAACTCTTCTGTTCGATCTCATCATAATGGCGGGAACGAAATCGAGCAGGTTCGAGCAATTTATAGGAATGAAATAAATGATAAGAAAATCAAACAATATCAATCGTTTATCCAAGAACGAGCAAACGGTACCTACCGTTTGCTCAAAATCTAGCCGCTACTTTATTTCCAAAATTCTAAAATGATAGTCTTAAAACCTAATTACTCCTTAAATACTTACCTAAACCCAACGTACTAAAAATAAAATAAGTCCATTAAACAATAATAGAGTTCATAATAGAAGAGAAAAGACAGTTCATTAGTGTTTATTGTGATACAAGGTTGATGACCGTAGAATGGGCTTTTGTTTTATTTTATTTTAATTTATTTGAGTTTTTATTTATTTAATGTGTCATAAGTCAATAATGTAAATGGACCCAAATCTATAAAGGTCTTTTAAAACAAGATAAAAGTAATATAAACAATCAAGCCAAATCAATTGTTTGCCCAAAAGCCACCATACTCATTTATTTCAAGAATCAAAGAATAATATTCTCCAAACCCTAGATAGTATTTTTAAATACTTCTACTATATCCTACTTACTAAAAAATAAAATAAGTCTACCTAATAAGTAATAACCAAGGGACTAGTCCAACTCAAAACATAGGCTTTGCTTATTTAGTATTTTTGAATAGCACGATTCTCAACAAATATTATTAAAAGAATACAATATGCACGCATTAGCACAATATATATTATATATTTTATTCATTAACAAAAAGTCAATAATTTAACACAAAATATTATTTTTTTTTTACTAACACAATTATCTATATCTAATTGTTAAAATATATTTAGATACAATATATTATATTTATGATAGTTATCTTATTTAAGAGATTCGTAGGATTCTTGCCTTATTTAAACGATTTGTATATCACTATAAATATGCACGTATTCTTATAAATTTTCAGTTTCATATTCTAATATGGTATCAGAGCCAAATTCTCTTCGGGTACCTCCATAACCCGTTATATCCCGTATATATTTTTATATTTTATTATGCATTTGCTTCTATCCACGATCATGCTGTTATTTTCATGTCGTCTCTGTCTCTACTACTCCACTGATAGAGTATACTTTCGACTCTAACGCCGTTGATAGTCCTGTTTTCGACCCAAACTCTATTGAGAGCGAGGGAGTCCTGTTTCCGACTCTAACTCTATTATGAGCGAACGAGTCCTATTTCTGATTTTAGCTCTATAGAGTAAGCGAGTCCTGTTTTCGGCTCTAGTTCCATTGTGAGCGAGCGAGTCCTGTTTTCAACACTAACGGTGTTGAGAGTTCTGCTTCTGACTCTGATCCAATGGACGAATTCATCACTCTCAGTCAATTTTGGCGAATTCAAATTCGTATGTGGAAGATCTCGGCTATATCTTTTTCGGTCACTTCTGATAAACTCAAGTTTGTTCGATCATATCTTGAGTTTGAGGAGGGGTGTTAAAATATATTTAGAAGCAATATATTATATTTATGATAGTTATCTTATTTAAGAGATTCATAGGATTCTTGTCTTATTTAACGATTTGTATATCACTATAAATATGTACGTATTCTTATGAATAACTGAAATAGAGAATTTCAGTTTCATATTCTAACACTAACATAAAAAAACATTCATCCAAAAACACAAAGGGAACAAACCCATAATTTCTTAATAAGAGAACAAATAAATAAAATCTAAACCTATGAACAACTTGCGTAATCCCATCCCCCTCGTCGATATACAAGCAACAATTGAAATTTCATTTTCTCTTTAATAACTCCATGCTATTTTCTATCATGCTCTCTATTAATTCTATCCCCATTCAAATCATCCTTGTCCCCAAGGTCGAAGTGTCGGAATTGAAAATAAGCTACGCTTAGCCTAGTTATTTATTCATTTGATTGTCCCACCTACTTAAGCACAATTTGTTCTTCCTTTTATCTTCTTTCTCACAGGCTCGATCCAACATCTTTCGGGTGATTGGATTATGATTTATGATATAGGGTTTGGTCACCTGTAAACGTTACTTGGCTGCCCTTCCACTCAAAGGATATAGTTAGAACTTCCCAATTTGTTTGGACCTGGCCAACGTTACTAACCAAGTCATACCAAAAATAATATCAACACCTTTAAGGAGAAACATAAAATAATTGATTGTTACCTTGCAGCCTGGCAATGAGACTCCAGCATCCCAGCATAACCTTTCAGATTCCTGTCTTCGTCCATCCCATAACTGAACTACAAATCTTTTTATATGATCGGGTGTTAGCCGTAGTGTGGATATTAAGGAAGAAGATATAAAATTGTGACTAGCGCTACTGTCGATTAATATTGTTACCTTTCTTCCTTACACAACTTCATGCAGCCACATAGTCTGTGGACTCGAGAAGCCCTCATAGAGAAAAATGCTAAGGTCCCTTCTATCAATACATCTGGATGCTCTTCCTTCCAATCTTATTGCCCAATTACATAACATTTTTAACTGTTGAAGGTCTAAGAGCTTTTCACCCTCTTCAACTACCATGACTTGCAATTGTTTGGAGGGCGTTCATATCTTAGGATGCATGGTTTCTTGCAAGGAAAACAGTCCCTTGGCTCGCATTTCAGCCAATTCCTCGGGGAGAGGTGGGTAAATCGAGCCACTGAAGGATGATCGGAAGGTTAAGAAGAATTGTTGATAGATCCGTCGTGGCTGACCCTGTTTTCGAGACCCTAATCATGTTCTTGGTCAGAAAATAGAGCTTCTGTGTGGTGTCGGGCGACTCATATTTTGGTATGGGTGTTTGTCAGCCTGCACTTGAAGATTATCTTTAATGTTCTAGACAACTCATAACTGTCTCTAACGACTATAATCTTAACTTCATGCTCTTTTCAATCCTTATCTATCAGGGTCCATCTAGATCATATATATAAGGGTCCATCTAGGTTATATATATTTATATATATATATATATATAAAAGGGTTTTCTAGGTCATAGGGGATAGTTTTTGGTTGAAGGTGGCTTGCTCTGTTGGTTTAGTTCTCGTGCTAGGAGTAAAGTTTATTATTTTTGTTCTACCCTATGTTTTTTTTTTTTTTTTTTCTTTTCTTTTCTCTCTTGTGGGTTGAGTTTTCTCAATTATCTCTTCTCAAGTGGTAAATGTCCTAATGAAAATATGTTATCATGGACCCAAAGACAAAGCTTGTGGGAGAAGAGGCATTCATTCGCATTGCACCTGCAGTTGCTGGACTGGCTGATTGCCCCACTGCACATAATCTTTTCAAAGCCCTAGCAGGCAACAAGAAAGGCATCTCTTTCGGCATGTGGACCACATACACCAACGAACTTCTCAAGTGAGTGCATGTGGAATTTCATACTATGTGAATGCATGTGGAATTTCATAGTCTCGCACCTTGCAAGTACAACTATTTTTGCTATATGGTTTCGAAGTTTTGTGAGATACAATAATAAATTTAACTTCATTTTGTAGAGTCCATGAAAGTCGGAAAGCTCATTCACTTCAGGAGACTTCCTATTCCGAGGAAAGAGTCTTCTGCCTTGCTTTTAGTCGAAAGCAGCCAGTAATAAAATGGGACAAGAACATGGCATGGCCGGGAAAGGTCACGTTGACTGACAGGGCACTTTACTTTGAGGTACTGCTACACAAGTTGAATTATCTTAACATTGCATATTCATTCCATAAAAAGTTATAATCTTTTATTTGTAGGTTTTTGTGTAACTTTTTTCAACAAGAAAATGCATGCTTGGTAACTAGAAGGTGCAATCAAACATTTGATGTTCTAGAATTAAAAAATGTTTGTAAAGATTGAGAGCAGAGAGATCCTTGTTAAATTGGGCATTAGGCATTATTAATTATGTTATAGGTAAGTACAATACCGCACATTGATGGAATTTTTGTTTAATGTGATCCTTATTGATTTGTATACTGCACAATGCTAATAATATTATCAGGCAGTCGGCTTGCTGGGAGAGAGAGAGGCGGTAAGGCTGGATCTTACTCGTATGGAGTCTAGAGTAGAGAAAACAAGGGTTGGACCTTTAGATTCAAATCTTTTCGACTCAGCTCTCTCCATCACATCTGGTCCGGAGTGAGTAAGCTTCTCCAACCTATCTTGATGCCTTAAATTCTAGTCCCGACTTCTGCGAGCTTAAATTTTTTTCTGAAAATTCAATTTTGCCAACTTTCTGCCATTTACTTCTGGTTAAATTCAGAGTCAAGGTTAAAACTTGAATAAGATGATAATTTTGCAAACAAACCTCTAATCAAAAGGAAAAAATAATTGCGGATGAACAAGGTATTCAATGACTATTTGATTTTAGTTTATTTGCATATGTTTTTGGCAACAGGTCCCGACCTTTGGTGCTTGAATTTGTTGACTTGGGAGGTGAAATGAGACGGGATGTCTGGTATGCATGCATCAATGAAGTTATTTCTTTGCACAATTTCATAAGAGAATTTGGACCCAGGGATGGCGATCAATCTGTCTTCGATGTATATGGCGCTCACCGCGGGAAAGATCGGGCTGTTTCTCACGCTGCTAATTCAATTGCTCGACTTCAAGCTCTTCAGTATATGGGAAAGTCGTTAGATGATCCCACCAAACTTGTTCAATTTTCGTATTTGAGCAACGCTCCTTACGGAGATATCGTTCTACAAACGCTCTCTGTTAATTGCTGGGGTGGTCCCGTAATTAAGAAAACTTCCTTCGGCCCCAATGGATCTGGCCAACATCCTGATGGGACCACTGCAAGTAGTAATCACATTTCCGATGTAGATGGAAGCATCTACTTGAGGAAATGGATGCGATCATCATCATGGGGCTCGAATGCTTCATTGGCCTTTTGGAAGAATGCACCGTCTAGACAAGGACTTGTGCTTAACAAAAACCTTATTGTAGCCGGTATGAGTCTAGTTGAAAAGGCAGCAGTAACGTGCAGAGATAAGTCCAAGGCTGCTGAAAAAACACAAGCTACGATCGATGCTGCAATGATTGAAGGAATTCCAAGCAACATCGACCTTTTTAAGGTTAGAATTAACTCTAATCATTTTATTCACAGCAAAGTAGTAGTTTTTCTTTTTTTACCCCATAATTTGATAAGATGTTGACTCTATTTGATACAATTTATTTCTCACAATTTTTTTGACCTGAGAAAGATGAATGCAAAAAACGGTGACAATTACTTCAAAGTTTTTTATGATCGGTTTTCACTAATTTAGAAGTCCAAAAATGTTGTAGGACTTTGCCTTGATGAATATTGAATTTGAATTGATGACTAAAATTCAAATGAATCTATTGTAGGATCTAAATTGTAAGTTTATTTTTATAGACTGTAGATATATTGGTAGCCTCCCTATTTCTTTTATGCACTTCTCACGCATTTGTTTTTTATGTTTCTTTATCATCACATGACATGCTTTTTCTGATCATTTGGTTTTCTCTTTAGGAACTCATTCTTCCTATGACCATCATGGCAAGAAATTTCGAAAGACTTAGGCGATGGGACGATCCCTTTGTGACAGCATCTTTTCTTGCACTATTGTATACAGTTATCTTCAGGTATGCTTCTCGTATATTCAAGGCTCGAGTATTCGTCCTCATAGATGGAAACTTCTGGACTGTTCGACCACCTAGTACATACATTTCCTTGGTTATCTCAACATTAAAACTGACATTATACGATTATTATTAGAAACTTGCTGGCATACACATTCCCAGTGACATTGATGGTGGTGTCAGCTGGCATGTTATTGCTGAAAGGCCTCAAGGAGCAAGGCCGTCTTGGGAGATTTTTCGGGAGGGTTACCATATACGATCAGCCTCCATCAAATACAATCCAGAAAATCATAGCCGTAAAAGAGGCTATCCGCGAAGTGGAGAAGTATCTCCAGAATGTGAACGTCGTGTTGCTCAAGATACGCTCTATCATTCTTGCCGGACACCCTCAGGTATTTTTTCCATCTCGTAATCTTTGATATGGTTATGAAGAGGTAAATAAATATTACACTTTACATTTCAATAGGTAATAAATCTTACTACATAGATAGGTGGGATTAAAAATTGGATGCGACATTAATTTGAAGTTTCTATACAAATTGGCTATGTGCCGAGCTCGACATGTTTATTATCATGAAATGCTTTTAGGTGACAACCGAGGTTGCGCTGGTGCTACTTTTGGGCTCGACTGTTCTTCTCCTTGTCCCGTTCAAGTATGTTCTTGCAGTTGTAATCTTCGATCTCTTCACAAGGGAGCTAGAGTTCCGGAAGCAAATGGTGATAGCATTCATGAGCTTTCTCAAGGAGCGCTGGGATGCAGTGCCTGCAGCTCCCGTTGTGGTGTTGCCGTACGAGGACAAGGAGTCGATGGGAAAAGACCAGAGGAAACAAGTGAACGGAACCAGCGCCGTAAAGTCGGATGGATCGAAACCGAAACCGAGGTACAGTGATTAATAAGCCTGGAATTTTTGGCTTCTCAATTATCTTTTGTATAATGAGACTTAGGATTTTGGTATGCAAGAACAAGATGTCTAATGGGCTTTTGTTTTTTTTTTTGAATAGTTTCTAATCTGATTTTGATTTTTTTTTTTTTTTCCGTATATATAATAGAAATTTGGGTAGAAGGTGGTGATTTGGATGAAATGCAAGCGTTTTCAGCGAGAAAAAGCAGTTTAGTTGACACGAACTTGTTTTCTTTAAATTTTGGGGTTTTTCTATATATTAAGATTAGGAGCAAAAATAATATTTGTCCCATTCAATATCATAATTATCAATTTTGGTTCAATTCAAAAAAATTATTAATTTTGGTCTTGCTCAAATTAAAATTTATCAATTTTAGTCCCAAAATAGTTGATTGGGATTGAACACGGCCGTGTTGGTTTGAACACGACCGTGTTGGATGATTCAGAAGGTGACTGGGCGTTCCAGACAGCCGATACGACCGTGTTGATTACCCTATACTTCTGAGGACGGTCATGTTTCTGTCCATATTTTCAACGCAATCATGAACACAGTCATGTTCTAAATCATGTTCACAACCAGATTAGGAGATTTTTCGCCTAGGTTCAACACATTTTTAGAGAAAGAAATGTTTTGGCGGACGGATAGGCAAAAAGAGGTGCAAGGGTTCTCCCAAATTTGGTGGCTCGGCTTTGAAGAGGCTGAAACTTTTGAATGTTTTGTAGTAGCGGTTGATATATTTTAAATATTTGATTTTAAATTTAAAAGATTTATATTTAGATTTAGTTTTATACATAGATTAGATTATTTATATTTGAGTCTATCGATTTTTTCCAAAATTTCTAACGGTACCAAACGAAGTGTCAGTTGAAACAGCCGATGAAAGAGAAGGTATGTTTGGGTTTTATTTCTGAAATTGGCATGCATTTTTTTTTTAGGCAGGGCAATGGTTGATTTGTGTGTTGTCTTAATGTTCATATTTCGATGAAACTAACAATATCTTTACTTTTCAAAAAATATATATATATATATATATTCAAATTCTTTGTATTTGATACACAAAATACAAAAAAGTTTGGAGAAAAAATAAATTAAACAGGGAATTAATTTATTTGTTTGGTATAACAGAAAATTTTCATGTTGAAAAATGCAAAAAATATTATAACAAACTAAATGAATCGATTTAAACAAGATTGCATATTATGAGTGAAAAATAAAAAAAATGAAGTAATTATGAAAAACCATGAATAAAAAAAATTTCGATAAAGTAAAAATTTATGAATAAATATTTTTATATTTAATTAGTAAATTTTAATAATGATAATAATAACAACAATAATATTGATATGAATTTTATGAAATCGAAAAAATATATATTTTTTTAAAAAAAAGACAAATAGTAAAATAAATTAAAAATAATAACAATATTATTAATATATAATTAGGTATACAAAATTTATTTATCTTTATTTCTCCGCAGAGGAGAGAAAAAAAAAAGTAATTTATTTTTCAATTTTGATTTATCTTACTTAAACGAAAAAAAAAAAAAAAAAATTAAGATATTTTTATTTTTTTGCATCAAACAATAGAGAATTTATCAAAAATTAAGAAATCTCTTCCATCCTATATGTATAACCCCATTTTATCTACTTTTACTTTAAAATAATAATAATTAATAGTCTTTAAAATCAAATAAAATGTCATTCCACAAGTCTCTAACCAACAATTTATGTCCAAAATACTTGATTTGATTTGAGAGTCTGTTCTATGCTATTCATTTTCTAATACAAGAGATCGACTAACAAAAGAGTTATTATATGTCAACCAAATTTCATCCTCACTCACTCACTCAACACTAGCCAGCTCTTCAAACAGATCCAATATAAATTTCCCTTTCAATTAATTGGACTTAACTAAATGATCGATTACGGGTCGAAGCAAATAATATCATATGACGAGATTGATTGCTCTATGCCAATCTACTTAATTAGCTTCCTTCAATACGAGGCTAAGAAGGTGCATTGAAATTACTTTTCTTACATTGCACCGAACCGAAAGAGTTTTTGTTCGAATGGATTAATTTTCATGCTGCTACTTCTTGCAGCAGAAAACAGGAGATGTCGAGCATCATCAAAATTGGAACATATAGACCATCCCTTGCAACTTGCTCCTATCCTATCCTATCGATCTTGTTATAGTGCTCGATTTAAGTGAAGGTGCCAAGAACCTACATTTGTATGATTAGTTTTCAACAACACTTTAAGGGTTGCTTAAGAATAAGAGAATGCTGATCAATCGACCAATCAAACACTAGATTTATTTTAGTTAGTTCGATGTTGTTATATTCTTGGAAAGAAAATTAAACTTGTTCTTTTTTTTTTTAGATAAACCCCCAGCTGAAAAGTCACATTAAGCGAACCATTTGTGGCAGGTGGATCTGAAGCATCGGGGGTTGAACCCATGACCTCATGGTCACAAATCCAACTCCTACACCACCACCAAGCCATCCCTTACAGGATCTTTATGTTATCTTTTTGAATCGATGAATGAGAGTTTTCTAATATTTTTTACCATTCTTTACCTTTTTCGTTTTGTTCCTTTACAAAATTAAATTCAATTCTTGTTTTTTTGTTTTTTATATTATACTGTATAAATTTATTTATGATATGTTTGAGTCAATATTTTTTTCTTTAAATTAAAACTATAATTCATGTTTTTTCTATTATATAAAAAAATTTAAAACATGATACTATGCATTATACAACTAGTTTCAAAGTAAGACATTTTAAAATTAAATTTAAAAAATTAATAATGTATCAAGATTAAAAAATACAATTTTTAAAATTAATATTAAGGTGTATCAGTATATAATTAATTTTTTTTTACGACATGAACAATTCATAATAAAAAAGAAAAAATAATATATTATTGTTATAGGACAAAGAAAAAGAATATATTGTATAAAAAATACTCTCTTCCTCCTATCAAATTAGTCTATTTTTTTTAGTTGTCCTATCAAATTAGTCAACTTTCTTATTATAGTAATAATTAATAACTAGTACTTATAATTAACAAATTTAACCATATTCTATTAACTTACTAAAATATTTAGTTTTACGGTGTGTTTAGCAATTAACTAATTCGATAAGCTGTTAGCTGTTAGTTGATTCAATTAACTGATTTGACTAACTGATTCGACTAGCTGTTTGTATTAAAGTGTTTGGTAAAATAGCCGTTTGATATTAGCTATTTATATATAAAATGATAATTAATGACATTTTATATTTTATTTTCAAAATATTTAGTTGAGTTTTTTTCGGTGGGTAGACTTTTTAAAATTTTATTATTAATATTTAAAATTAGAAAAATTTTAGTAAGATATTTATTTTTATTATTTTAAAAATATTTTGTAAAGAAATCATGCAAGTTTATTGAAAAATATATTTTTTTTTCATTAGAAATAGTATAAATGTAAAATAACAAAAATTATTAACATATGTATTTTTATTAGATTAATTTCTAATTAATATATATTTACATTAAATTTATAATTTTAAATAAATATATTCATTTTTAATAAAAATATTATGTGATAAAAAAGCTATATAATTGATTCAATAATATTAATATTTTTATATTATCTTTATTCTAAAAATTTAAAAAAATTATAAATAAGATAAATGACATATAAAAAAATAATTATTTTAAATTTATAAATATGAATGTATAAATTATTAGAAGAAAATATATCTAAATAATTAATAAATAGTGTAATAAAAAAATATATGAATATATGTAAAAGAATTAATAAATTTGAAGGGCAAATAAGAAATAAGAAAAATTAAAATGAAAAAGCTAATAAACGTTGGTATATACAGTTTTTTCAAAATTAGCCTTTTTGGACTCTATAAGTTTGAAAACACTAATTTACCGAACACCAAAATTAGATGCTTTATTGGTCACAGCTAAAAGTTCTTGAAAAAATTGTTTATCAAACACACTCTTACTATTTATTTAGTTGTAAATTTAGAAGTTAGGACTAAAATTTTGAATAATAAAAATAAAATAAATATTTATTATGATATAAATAAGTATTAATCTAATTTATTTTTTTAAAATTAATTTTTAATATAATATAAAAAATTGATGTTTGATTTGAAAAATTATGGCCCAAAAATTAATTAAAAATGAAATTTGATTTTGAATTTTTTTTCTTTATTCAAAAAAATTAAAAAATAAACTTATTTATCATGCAAAATTATAAAATTATTTTTAATTTTGATATTTTAACGTAAAATATTATATTCTAATACCGTATATATAATTCAATTAGAGACAGTTTGAGAAAGTATATTGAACTATATGATACACTGTACAAATTTTTTTAGATTATTAAAAAAATATCGATATTATATCGAATATCCGGTATATGCAAAAACATCGATTTTTTTTATTATTTATATATACCGAAAATATCATGTATATCGTTATTATACTACAAAAGCATATCGTGCCGAAAATTTATAATATTTTTTTATATTTTTTTATGAGTATGTACGTTATTTCCGTAATTCAATATTTTTATTCATGAATTCGGTATACCAAAATATTTGTACGGCATTGGTACGGTAAAATATCATACCAAATTTTTTGATACCATATACAATGTAACATTACATTTGATGTGGCATAACGACATATTTCTAACAGCAATCAAATTCGAAAAATTTATGTATTTTTAAGTAAAATTGTTATTATGTAAGATGTGTGTTTTGTGAGATTGTTGGAAAGAAATTTTTTTATGTTAGTATAAGAAATTGTATACGAAATAATGAATATACGTAATATATTAACTTTTTTGAAAAATATGTTGGCGAAAATTTTAGAAAGAATAAAACCGTACATTTTTTATTGTATTAATTACATTTAAATTATTATTATTATTATTATTATTTATCTAATTACATACATTAATTTACCATAAATACAATTATTATTACTATTTTTAAATCATTTCAATAAATAAAAAAAATTTAATATTTAAAAATTAAAATAAAAAATATTTAAACTTTTAATCTAATATTTTATCAAATAAAAAATATTTAAAATAAGTTTTATTATATTAACTAATTAAATTAATTAACTGCATAATACAATATTTCTTAAACTAGATGTCGAAGAGAGATAACTAATTGCACGAAAAAGGAGGGAGTAAAAAATACGGATAGGTAAAAGAATTATTAATAAGCTTGTGAAAACCTAAAACATTAATGGTACAATAATTGAAAATACCTTTTTAAAATAATAAATTAAATAAAATAATGATTTTCACATTAAAGGCGGACTCCAACGGTCAAAATTGCTTAAAGACTAAAGTAAGTTTCAAAAATCAAAAATCAAAATCCGTTTGCATCGCTGTTCACTGACACAGCGCACTTTCTAAGAAAATTAAAAAAAAAAAAAAAAAAAGACAAAAAACAGAAATATACAAAAACCCCTCTCAGTCTCCTTCCCTCTCTGTGATTTGGAAATTCATTCAAAATTTGAAATCTCCCTCACTCCCCTTCTTCTCAATCTCAATCTCAATCTCGCCGCCTTCCACAATTCTGCAATTCGCAATACCTCCCTCCAATCCTATATATGACGCTGTATGTATAACCAACTCACCATACGCTCTGTGTCTGCGGCCAAAAGCTTTCGCTCCTGCAGTCTCCAGTTGAACTGAATCGACCTTTTCCGGTGAGTCGCAATCTCTCTTCCATTTCTTTGATTTATCTTGTTCCCCTGCGTCGATTCTCTATCCAAACTGAATTTGTTAAATCTGCGGATAAAATAGTCGGTACTGTGAATTCTTTTACTTCGATTTTGTGTTAATCGTTCATTACCTGAATTCTAGGGTTTCGTAGATCTACAAATCTCATGTGAACTAAAGCTAACCATTAGGTATTTGAACAAACAATAGTGTATGGAATTGATTTATTTCAGTTTCTGGTTACCTCTGCAGTCTTTAATCTGTGTATAATCTGCTGGACAAATTTCAAATGGAGTCGTTGCCGGATGCAATAGTTCAGCACATTTTATCCCTAATCAGTAATGCAAGAGATGTAGCATCTTGTAATTGTGTATCAAAAAGATGGAAAGATTCAACTCCATATTTGAGGAGCTTATTCTTCTCCAGAGGCCTCTTCGATCGCCTCAGCAATGGCAGCGGCGACACTCCGGATGCCGTGCTCTGTCGAATGATTTCATATGTTGTAAAGCTAGAGGAGCTTGTAGTCTACTGCCCATTCACAAGCTCCAGCTTAGCCTCATGGCTGTCGTCTGCTGGATGTTCGTTAAGTAAACTTGAGCTTCGACTCGACAATATATCCGATCATGATGAAATCCCTTCAAAGTTGGATTGCTTGAGGGCTGCTGGAAATTTAGAGTCCCTTAAGCTTTGGGGTGTGTTGATGGTTCGTGCTCCGAAATGGGATGTTTTCGACAGGCTTAAGAATCTTGAAATTGTTGGCGCTCGGTTGGCGAATGCTGCGTTGTCTTATGCGCTCCACGCTTGTCCGAATTTGACTTACTTATTGCTTCGTGGCTGCGAAGGATTAACGACTGTTTTGATAGATAATCCTTACCTTAAACAGTGTAAGCTGGATTTCTTCGGAGCTGGCGACTGTTCGCTGGAGATTGAATCATCGAAGCTTGAGTTGCTTGAAGTGCAAGGCTGTAGTTACATTCGGGTTCCTGAAACAAGTTTCTTGAAGGACCTATCGATCGCCAACAACTCGGGTGCGTGTCTGCCTGCTCGCCCTGTGTCTCTTTTACTATTTCTAGGTTGTGTAGATGTGTTATTGTACTGAGATTTTTTCTGATTGTTGCGATGACAGGACGGGTGAGGGTTGTCGAATTTGGGATGCTCGCGGCACTGGACATGTTGTCGATGAGAGGTGTTCAATGGCACTGGAGTGCCATAAGCAAAATGCTTCATATGGCTAACAAGGTCAAGAATCTCTACATGAAAGTGGAATTCACCGGCGATTCGGATGTCTTTCATCCCTTCCCGGAGATTGATTTTGTCGACTTCTTCAACAGTCATCCGAAGCTGCATACTTTCGACATGCACGGCGCAATGTTTGCAGCTCTTTGCCAGAGGGACAGCCTGAAAAATGTGATTTTCTTCCTTCCTGCCTTTTAATCTTGTTTCGACTTCGAACCAAATGTCTGCATTGTAAATAACCCTTTTTCATCTGCATTCTTGTTCTGTAGGTAGATTCGAGGTTCGACATACCTGCTCTGGAGGAGGTTGTCATCACCGTTCGGTCCCCTTTAAATGCCGAGCAAAAGATGAGTACTCTAGAGTCATTGATAAAGTATGCAAAGAATTTAAGGAAGATGAGAATAAAGATTCTACAGATGAAGAGCTGCCATAGCAGCTCCGACGATTTCTTTGATGATATCTGCAAGTTTCGACGCAAGAATCGCAGAATTGTTTCAATAGAATGAAGAAAAGGATTTCTTTTGTCCTCTATTCCCCATTTGATTGTGTTGTTATTTCGTTCACCTTTTTAACTCTAATAAGAGAGACAGAGACAGACTATTCTTGCAGAGTTGTCGAAAATTCGAAAGAAATGAAACCATTTTTCATCTCAAAAAAACATATCGACAAGAATTCAAATGTGTCATTAACATAATAGCAATAAAGCTCAGTTCAATTTACCTTATATGAGTTTTTTCTTTTGGAAATATTTCTTCAAGTGAAATATCTGTGCTGTGGAGACAAGAATGCAGATTCCCATGGAGACAAGACTCAACCTGGAAACTCTAGCATTTGTTCTTTCGCTCATCGTCCTCATCTCTGCTTCTCTGCAACAACAGAATGGTTTGAGAAGAAGCTCCCTACTCTCTCTCTATTATAAAAAACAAACACACCCTAATGAAACCTGACCTACCTGCTCTTGAGGTATAGAAGATTTTCATGGATAGCCTCCACTGCTTCTTCCAGCTTCGTTAGCTCAAGCTCTACGCCCTACTACAGATACTTTATGCATTATTCATTTTTTACACCACACACTAATTCATACATACATACATACATATATAAATAATTAGCTGTAAGTAACCTCAATTTTTTGTTTCCTCGCAACAGATTCCCAATCCTTAGCAGCAACACCCGTCTTCCATATTAGGTTAATGTTGATCTCGCCATGACCTCCTGGAACATGGCCGTCCAGTGCAAAACAAGCTATGTAGTTTCCAGTCTCGCTCGAGGTAAAAGCAAATTGACCGTGAGTCGCATTTTCCCTGTGGTGGATTATGTTTCCGTACGGCGAAGTGACCTAACGAAATGCACAATCGAATCGAAGGTGTCGAATGAATTAAATCAGAAACTGTCGTTTAGTTATCAGATGTAGCAAAATAATGAATGAATTTACCTTAGCGGTGACTGTGGGAGTAGGATGGACGTGATCGTTGGTGATGACGATATAGTCCGCCAAGACGACGACGCTGTTGTGGATTTCCTCGGAGACGCACTTGGAACCGCTCCCCGGCAACGCCAGCCATATCGCTTCGCTGTTCTGCGAGATTATTAATAGCAACCAAATTATTATCGTCGCCGCGAGCACACTTGCGCTCGCCATTTCCTCCAAAATTGATCTCCAAGATGAACGCCACAGAAAATTCTCGATCGATCGTTCGCAGCCACAGACAGATTCACCATTGCTGCATGTAATGTAAATGCGATTCAATTGGAGGGGTGAAATCCTCTGTACTCAACTTCCTCTATTCCACTCAATGAAACTATGACACGTGTCCGATAGAAAAAAATTAGGGTAAAATTATATAATACATTTTGTATTTTAATAAAAATGCATAAAACATTAGTGTCTTATTTATTGCTTGAGACCCGCATGTGTTACTCACGCAATATATAAAACACGGTATGTTTTGTAAATTTTTTTTTTAAAATATAAAGAGTGTAATATAATTTTCTCAGAAAAAATTATGATACCTGTGTTAACAAAGTGAAAGAGAATAGAAATTAAGATCTATAATTTATGTATTTTTGTTTATTTAATTTTTTATTATTTAATTAACTTTTTCCAATAATGTTGTCTATTAGGGCTGCAAAACATCTGCCATCTTAGAACCTTCCATAGGTTGAGTAGTATATTAAATTGTCAATGTCAGTTCATCAATTTTTTGTTGCTCTAGTCTTATGAAGACGAACCATAATAATTTGAAAATGAACAAAATATATTCAAGACACTATGATTCATGATATTTCAAAGTATAAGATGGGCAAATTGGTAGAATTTCAATTTTTTTTTTTTTTTTTGGTTGAATTTCAATGTGAAAAGTACAATTAGTAGAAATATTGGATTTTTTCACTAAGAAATAGGGCAAAAATATAGAAATGAAAAATCGACAGTTGAGATAACTTTTCATTAAAATTGCTCTATCTCTCTCTCATACTTTTTTTTTTTATGAAATAATTTTTCAAACTATTTTTCATCATGTAGAATAATTATTTTCCACAGTAAAATTCATGAATAGCAGGAGAAGCATTCTTAGTTAAGAGGTTGCCAGACCAAGTCTAGTTCATATTTAAAACTTCTTTATACACCATGATTGGATGAGGGCAACATAAAGTTACTTTTTTTAGTGGCTTCTTCATTTTAAATTTTAATAGTCAAAACAGGTGAAAATTTTTAGATTTTCTTTTGTTGTGTATTGTATAAGGTTACCATGAAAGACATGTTATTTCTTTGCCAAATTAGACTCATATCAGGTTGTCCAAATTATTGTAAATTAAATGGGTTTCGATTGGGAGGTAAGATCCTATTGGTCCAAGTTTCTGTTTTATTAACATACGTTAGGACAATATTTGTTTTCTATTTCTTCATTTTCTGTTAATCACTGGTGTAGTACTATATCTTTCATTATTGAACTGTAAATTTCTATTGATATTTCTTATCTTGAAACTATGTTGTAACTAGGTATTGGAATGATAAAGAGGTCTTCAAGAAATTGGGGGAAATAATTGAATTTGTAGTCAGAGAAAATGTTTATGCTTCTGCTGGTGATGATGCTGCTCTTGGTGAGGATGACACAAAGGATGCAAATAATGATGAATCCATTGTTCATCACACTGCTAGCGTTGGTCACGTAGAGGTAAATCTTCGTGGGTTTATTTTGTTTTTCTCATAGCATTTGCATAATGTTACAAAAGACCAAATTAGGCAATAAAGTGCTTCTAGTTACTGAACAATTTAAATCTCCTTACCATCTTGAATTGTGGGAAATTTGAAGTTATTGGCATCCTATACTGTCTTTCTCTGAAACAATTAGGGCTTTAAGAGTGCTCTAGGTAGTGGTGCCGATAAGGATGAAGAAAATTTTGAAGGGAGAACTACATTGCATTTTGGTTGTGGATATAGAGAGGTATTTTAAATCCAAAAAGATAATCTTTTTCCTAACCTTAACCTCATTAGTTTTCGGGGTTGATGGTTTCTGCTCATCTCTATTTTGATCAAATCAGTCGAACCATACAAGGTTAAGTGTGCCCAAGTTCTTCTTGAAACCGGATCAAAGGTGGATGCATTGGACAAGAACAAGAAAACTCCCCTCCACTGTGCTGCCCGTTATGGAAGAAAAAACAGTGTCAAATTTCTGCTGAAAAATGGCACTGCTGTGTAACCAATCCCTTCTCCAAGTTCCAACATGAACTTTCATATTCCTAAAAGTTTCTACCGGCATAAGTATCCATCCCTAAGTGCAGCACTCTTCAGAACTTGGATGGAAATACAGCAGTTGATGTGGCTTAACTCAATAACCAAAACGACGTTTTGAGTTTGCTGGAGAATGATGCATTCCTATAATGAGAGGTAACGGGTAAGAAAATTTATAACTTCGACTTATCCGTATTGCACCTATGCTGCTATACTTAAAATCTTGCTAGTTTAATGTTTCGTATTCGTAGAACTTATGTATTCCTATATGAAATGTGTATGCTTTTTTTCTTTTTATTTTCAAGAATGGATGTTATAATGATAAATATGCACTTCATAATCATTTGAGGTGTGTTACAAGGTAGGATCAGTACGTAGGGTGTGTTTTTTTGAGGGTTTGGATTTTGAGTTGGGATTTGAATAGTAAAAATTTTGAATTTGAATAGTTTTGTGATGTGATATAAATAGGTATTGATGTGATGTTTTGAATGTAAAATTGATTTTTAATATAATATAAAAAATGAAAAATAGGTGTTTGATTTGATGTTTTTTGGAAGAAAAAATAGGATTAATAATGGAAATCCAAACAAATCCCTCGAACAAACACACATACTTATGGGTGTTTACTTTCCTTGGACTATTTAATCATTATGTTATAACTTGTACATTTTGCTAAATAATCACTTTTAAAAAGCATCTCCAAACAATTTTATTTTTTATTTTTTAACTCAAAATATCGTTTAATTTGTTTGTTTGATTTTTCCTTTAAACTAGTCTAACAATCTCCATTGTTAGTTTTTAACTTTGTAAATTAAGTAGTGTTGCTTCAAACAAAGTCTTTACATTTATAAAGAAAGTACTACATACCCGATAACACATCTTAATATAATATATAATGTATATTTTGAGAGCATATTATACAATTATGTGTAACACAAATATATTCTAATTTTAATACAACGAGCATATTATACAATATAATACAATATATAATATAATATTTTAGAACAATAAACAAATTATACGACATAGCATATTGTATAATCCACATAGCATATATATCTATATAACAAGCATATGTTATATGTCTTGCTTAAAACCAGTGTACTAATCAACCAGCTAAATCAACATTTTAACCGTTTTTGAGTAGTTACAAAATTTGAAAATGAAACATAATGTAAAAATTTGTGAGGTAACACTCCCTCATTCGAAGTATTTGGTTCCGTTTTACTTTTTTTAAATCTAGTTCTTATAAATTATATTTTTTAAAAAATATCTACACTAATTTTATGTAATAAATTTTAAAGAAACATAAGTTATTTACAACGTTATTTTTGCTTTTTTCAACAAGTTCGGTCTGGCCCATTTAGCCCATTATAGTTTTTTAGTTTTGTTTATATTCTTAATTCTAAAATAATTTAATAAATTTTACTTTTAAATATAACAATTGAACCTATGATTTCGTAGGTATCTTAAACAAACTAAATCATTAGACTACCCCTTTATTTTTAATTTAAATTCATTTGTTAATATATTTGTAAACTTACTTTTTAAAATTATATATAATATTAAAAATATTGGGTCGGGCCAGATATGGCCCGATTTTGATAGGCCTGGGCCCGGGCCAGGATCATACTCATATTAAAAATCGAATTTTTGGACCATATCTATTTTTTCAGTTCTACTTTAGAATCTACTCAATCAAAAAATTTTAGGCCCAAAATCTGAAAATTTTTGTCTTGTTTTGTAAAAAACATATATATATACATTTCTTTTTATAGATAATTTAATAATCCTTGTCATCCAAATTTATTTTCAAATTTTTTTATTTGTCATTTAAATTTATTATTATTTTATTTTAGTAAAAAAATACCATTTTTTTACTTTTTCTTTATCTAAAAAAATTAAATTTTTTTATTTTTACCTATTTTTCTTAAAATTCGTGTTCAGTCAAATAAACATACAATTGAATGATAGAGAATATAATTTAATGAAAAATTCAAATATTAAAGAACACACTCTAGTTATTTATTTATTATATTTATCAAAAAATAATTTTTATTCAAACTATTGGATTGTTTATTTTAAATTGAATTTAACACTCTTTATTCGGATAATTTTTAATAAAAATATATTATTTTATTTACAAAACATCAATTTGAATAAAAATTCAAATTCAACACTTCATTTCAAATTAAATTTAAACAAACCCTTTAATTTGAACATTTTTATTATATATATATATATATTAAATTGCACAATGTATCGCAAAACATTAGAATAATGAGTTTATTTATTTGTGTGTATGTGTTTGTGTGTTTTTTTTTTTTAATAATTTTTAAACTTAAATATTTGTAGAATGTAATATTTTGAATAAAAATCAAAAGTTTTGAAGGAAAAAAAATTTGAAATCTTATAGTATAGTAAAAAGTTGAGTAGAAAAAAAAAAAAAAAAATTCTATCCATTTACTTCTAATGTATACATTAATTTTTTACACGTAGATTAAGAAATACAGTTGAAAAGTATTTAGTTGTGTAAATATAAATATATTATTCCAATTAGAGGTTAAAATAATAGTATGATTGTAAAATAAATGTAAAAATAAAAATATTTGTAATTGATGGTAAAGTCTATTGTTACTATAAAAAATTAAAAAAAAATGTAAATATTTGAATTGAACAAAAAAAAAATAAAAATGAGTCAATTTTAAAAGTGGGGCGAGGGAGAATAAGAAAACAAATTAATAACTTATTGGGATATGTTAATTTTGTATTTTAAATATCTCGATTTTAAATTTTTCTAAAACTAAAATAGTTGTTAAATTTAATATAGAACAATAATATGTTTTTAATTATTGTATGGTAAAAAGAAATTATAAATTTTCAAAGAAAACAAAGTCTTTCTCAAATTTCTATAGATATAGGATATATTTTTATATGAATCAAAGGATAAAATGCGTAATGATGCTCGGATTCTAAGCATAACATATTAGGGTTTGTTGGGTTTGTAAGTAATTTTATTTATTTATTATTTTCTTACTATGCAACTAATATAAATTTTTTTTAATAAAAATGGAGTATTATTTTTTTTTACAAATTATTATACTCCGTCCGTCCCATAAGTAAATATCTATTTGCTTTTTGCACGTAGTTTTAGAAATATTAGTATTATATTGAGATATAGTATGAATAAAGTTTAGTATGTGTGATATAAATGTAATGACATTTGTGTAATATATTGTAAGTTGTAAGGATATCTGTAATGTTAGGTAGATAGTATAGTTATTAAAAAAAGAAATGGATACTTTGTTATGAGACAGATTAAAATAGAAAAATGGATACTTTGTTATGGGACGGAGGAAGTACTTTTTTCGTCCGATCAGAAAGTATACATATTTTTATTTTAGATTGTCCAATTATAGCATAACTATTTCATTAAATATCTTATTTTTTTTCACAAATATTTCTACTTTATCATCACATTATTACTTTTATTTTTTTTAAAAAAAAGAAGGACAAAGTTTTTAAAAAGCCAGTGCACTCTTAGGTACCTCCGTCCCATATATTTTAGGATTATTACAGTAGATACAGGAATTTAGGTAAAATATAATTAGTAAGTAATTAAAAAGTATATTAGTAAAATTAATTATAAATTAAGATTAAGATAAATAAATAGTTTAATTAAGATTAAAAAATTTATAAAATTTAAAATGTGATTAAAGCGGATAATCATATTTTTTTAAAAAAATGACAAATTATGTGGATGGACGAAAAAAAATAGAGACAAATTATGTGGAATGGACGAAGTAAATTTTTTGTATATCACAGTATTTGTTTCTTTTTTTTAAAATATTTTTTTGTAGTTTTTTTTTTTCCTTATTTTTTCAAAAAACAATAATATTACATTTAATGGGTGAGTCAACTTGGACAATATTTTTTGTAATGCGATTTACAATATATATATATGTATATAATATTTATACTTTATTATATTGTATAATAAAAATTAGTAATTTAACACAAAATACTAGTATTGTTTATATTATATATATGATTTACCCTCCTTCCCACATACATTGTCCGTTACATTATAGACACGGTATTTTAGGAGGGGTGTAATTAGTAGATAATTAAGAATTATTAGTGAAAATAATTATCCGATAATATAAATAATTATAAATTAAGATTAAGATAACTAATTAATTTAATTAAAATTAAAAAAATAAAATTAAAAAGTTTAAAATGAGATTAAAGTGTGTAATCACTTTCCAAAAAAGAAAAATGACATGGTATGTGGGACGGACAGAAACGACAATGTGGACATGGTACGTGGGACGGAGGGAATATCTTACTTTATATAAAAAAAGAAAGAAAAAAAATTAATTAAAACACAACAAATATATTGAATATATATTTTTTAAAAATATCATATTAATAAGTATTTTGCCTAAAAAAATATTCAAAATTTAAAGCACGAACATTATCAATTTTATTCAATGAAACTCCAATGATGATTTTCTACTTTAATGCATAAAAAGGACAATGAAGGTGAAATTATTTTGTGGAAAAATGAATGACCAATAACTCAAAAACAAAAAATAATTTTAATTTTTTCTTTTAAAAAAAATCCATAATGAAATTGAGCGAATATCAAAACTTATTGACCTGTCTATTGACAAGTAGTCATTTCTCCATCCCTCTGATTGAGTCAAACCCCCTTTTCATTTCCATATAATAATAATTAAATAAATATTCCCTCCGTCCCACATAATTTGTCTTTATTTTCTATTTTCTCGTCCATTTCACATAATTTATTATTTTTTTTGAAAAATATTATACATTTTAATCATATTTTGAATACTCTCTTCGTCCCATAACTACATATCCGTTTTTTTTTGCACAAAATTTTAGAATATTAGTATTATATTGAGATATAATAAGAATAAAATATAAATGACTAAAATAATC